GTAGTAAAGACAACTGCTTGCATTGCTTACTGGAGAACCTTCTGAAGGTCCTCCCTAAAGAGTGACTATATACTATGTTCGGTTCTGTTGATCGCCTGTGCTCGTGTCCCGAGCACTCTCGAGCACTTGCCTGCTCGTCGTGCTATATCTTCAATCACCTCGAGCATTTTGCATGCTGCGAGGCGCTCGTCCGCCTAGGCGTCATAGCACTTCAGCCTTGCCTTGATTGGTCTGCCTGATGTTTCTAAATGATTGGCTCGGGGCTCCCTGCCCTCCGCATGTAGTCTTCCGCCATGCGGCCTGCTGTTGGTTAATTCGTGACACTATGCCAGGCCTACATAATCCGAGGGTTGTATGTATGTATGGACTATGGAGAGGGAAGCTGAGAGCCACAACCCAACCCGGGTAGATGGCATAGGATGACAATTTGTTGATAAGATTTTGAGTAACACTGCTGCTTGTGACTTTCAAGATCACGCCGTTTCTCCCTTTGCTTCCCCTCCTCTCATATTGGGAGAGTCAAAGGGTCTCAAATGTGGCAGCTGCAATGTCGGCTGCTGGAAACCCTTTCGTGTATCCTCCACTTCCCGTCGAAGCCGACTCGATCCGCATTCTTTCAGTGGAACCTGGAGACTTCTACGACCCTCTTGTGTGCACCCTCACGCCCACCACGTTTGGAAGCAAACCTAGATATGTAGCACTGTCCTACACTTGGGGCATCTCATATCCAGATAATGCGCGGCTTCCTGTAGTGCCACCCGTAACGCCCGTTCATGAGGGACGGACTCGGACACCTCCAAACGCTTCCACTAGGGCGTCCCTGGCTCCGGACAATCAGGTACTGCCAAGGGCTCGGACAGTAACGATGTCACACACTGCCCCGGTTAGTGTCAATGGCCGGGAATTCCCTATCCATCACAACCTCCATCTCGCTCTGTTGCACTTGCGGTCCCCGACTCACCCACTGGCAGTCTGGGTCGACGCTGTTTGCATAGACCAAGGAAATATCGAGGAGCGCAACGCCCAAGTCGCACTCATGTCTTTCATCTACATGCGGGCCGCAAAGGTGGTAGTGTGGCTCGGAGCTAAGGGCTATCATGAGAGCCAACCAGACCTATTCCGTTGCATGGCAATGGATTGGAAGACTGGCCAGAGCCGGCATCTCGCCGAATCCCTGAGCAGAGGGTTTGAGCCGTGCTGTTCATTGGAGCCGGATCAGAGCACTTTTGTTCGCGTTGCCCAGAGTTCGTACTGGACGCGGTTGTGGATCGTTCAAGAAGCGTGCCTTCCCCGAGCCCTGATTTTCCTGTACGGGTCCAAGGCCTGGTCATACGAAGGACTGCGTCAGTGGGAGACCCTCAAAACCGCAAACAAGCCAGGATTGCCGCCGCAAATGCTTTTAAGAAGTCCTGCTCAACACCATGAAAATGAAGGGGCCGCTGCAGCCATGATCCGCCTTCTTGACACTAGAGGCGCAAGACACACCGAGCGCATGACTCTTGAGTTTCTGGTCGAAGCCTTTTCTAAGCAGGCATGCACTGAGCTGAGAGACAGAGTCTTCGCCCTGCTAGGACTGGCAATTGACGTCCGCCCGCGCTCAAAACACGCCGAGGGGGACTCGGGAGAGGGTGCCACCCCTGATGGTAGCGGTGCTGTGCCGGGGAATTAGCCGGAAATTGTTCCAGAGTCTGAGCGCAGAGGCAAGGGATCCTTCAGCATCGATTACTCGCACTCGTTCAGCCGGATTTGGGAAGATGTCGTTAAGTTTGTCTTCGTTCGACCACGGAGAACTGATCGGTGGATCATAGCTGGGGCGGAAAGCCCAGATCGAGAGCCGCAAAACCCTCTCCTCCCAAACGAGAGACGAATAAGCATTGTGAGAACAGCGGGGGTCGTCCAGGAGGCTTTAGGCCAAATGGTCGAGGCAGAGGTGGGCCTCCTGACTTCCGTCAAGGCAAGTCTCCTTGTTCTGTCAACTCACTGTTGAGATTCTCGGCTACTAAACTAACAAAGTTAAAGCCCGTAGATAGTAATCCCACACTCAAAGTCATAGGTTACCTTGCCGGCGAGATCCTGGAGATAGGACCAGAGTGCACATCCCTCGCAGCTTCGTTCGAGGCACACGAGGACTGGCTGGATTGCTGGCAGCGCCACTGTCAAAGCGCAGCTGACTTGGAACGTTTGCGGTGGATCAATGAAGAATACACAGCAAAGATTATGGCCTTCGGGGAGAAAGATCTGGAAAGAATACGAGAAGTCCGAAACCAAAAGGTCACGGCTCGGAAAAGCGCGGGTGAGTACAAACCCAACACACTTGACCAGATGTATGCTGCAGAATACAACAAGTTATGGGCGGAAGCCGAGAACGGGAAGAGCAACAACCGAGCTAAGGGACCGAGTATTTGCCTTGGCACAAGCCATCTCATCGGCCTCGTCCCGGCCCCGGCAAAAGTCGGCGACGTGATAGTGCGGTTCTGGGGCTGCGATGCGGCCATGGTCATGCGACCGGTGGCGAGGAACGGCAGTAATGAGTATTCGGCCTTCGTGCTGGTGGGCAGGGCGGACGTAGCCGAAGTGGTAGATCGGAAGGAAACGCCGGGGCGGGATGCGCATGCTGAGAGGGCTCTTTCCGGTGGCTCCGGCAACTCTCGCACCTCGGGACCGGTGTTGGTGAAGCTAGACTTTGTGACCTTGCAAATCATCACTGCCTACGTGACCTGCTGATAATAAGCGGGCGCGCAGCTAAGCAGTGGTTAGAATCTGCATCACTCCAGTCCTTCCCAAGAATGCAAGTTGATGAGTTTGTTGTTCTTGTCGACCGTTTTTACCACCACCTTTACCACCATACCTCATTTGCTGCTGATACCAAAAAAAAAAAAATAATGGTGGCGTCCAGCGAGAGTCAAAGGGTTGTGCAAGGCGATAGTGTATTGTGTGTTGTTGTGGTGGTCTTTGTTGGAAGAGACGGGTGCCTCGAGGGAATTTATCTCGAGGCTACCCCTAACCCTGAATTAATCGACAAGCCGTCTTACCATTCGATTCATCTGAACTGCCAGCCAACTTCCGAATCCATCACTTACGGAGTACATACATACTTACCTCTCCATCCCAGCCACCATTCATCCATCCATATCCAAGCTCGAGCCAAGATAGCTGCAGCTTGCAAGAGAATGTCTTCCTACAACCCTCCCGCACCGTACCCAGTCCTTGTCCACTCCTACCTTCCCTCCATCTCCTCATCGGCCCATCAGTCCCCGGAGCAGCAGCGCCCTATACAGACCTACGAACACCTGCCAGCCGATGCCATTAGCAACAGCAATTGGAACACCCTACCACGCGCAGAGAATGCGCTGATATTCGTAGGCGGCCTGGGCGACGGGCCGCACACAATCCCCTACGTGCGCACGCTCGCAACCCACCTCTTCGGCTCGGCGTTACTGCCGCTGTCGTCCCGTTACTCCGTTTTCGAAGCGCGGCTGTCAAGCGCCTTCTCAGCATTTGGGCACGCCTCGCTCGCCCAGGACGCCCGTGAGCTGGCCGACTTGGTGCGCTACCTGCGCGTGACGCTCGGGAAGAAGAAGGTAGTCATCATGGGCCATTCCACCGGCTGTCAGGACTGCATGGAGTATGCGACGCGGTTCTTGGCTGAGTTTCGGGGCGATGCCGAGGAGGAGATGAAGGCCTCGGTGAGGGTGGATGGGCTGATCCTGCAGGGCCCCGTGTCCGATCGCCAGGCTATTGCCATGGCCGAGGACCCCGCCGAGGTCAAGGCTTGTCTAGAGACGGCGGAGGAAATGGTCAGGCAGGGACGGGCCACCGATGTGATACCGACGGAAAAGATGCCGGCTGGGTGGAAAAAGGTGCCGATGACGGCGTACCGATGGATCTCCCTTGCTGGGGTCGGGTGAGGGCTTTGTGTTATTCTTGATGTCGGTTTTGGAGGCGGTATTGCTGATAACTGACGGTCTGACCAGGGGCGACGATGATTACTTCTCTTCGGACCTGTCAGATGAGAAGGTCGAAGCCATCTGGGGCAAGCTAAGCCAGCCGGTGCTGATCTTGCCGTCAGAGAAGGATGAATGGGTGCCCAAGGATATTGACGTCGCCGGGCTCGTGGACCGATGGAAGCGCTTCTGCAAACCTGGCATTGCCAGCGACCTCAGCGGCCCGATCCCTGGAGCGAACCATCGCGTCGAGGATGCCACCGCGCAACAGTGGCTTTCAAGACGGGTAGCAGCTTTTCTGGGCGGAGTTAATAAGAGGCAACTTGCATCATATGGTTTCTGAATTTTGATCACGTCAAGGGAGGTGCTTCGTTATCCGGGGCTTCGGGGAACACCAGAATATTACGAACATTTTCCGGGAACCTGAAATTACAGGTATAGATTACAGTGGCGCCCGAGGGAGTGGTCCCCGCTGCACTCCGGCGAGGAGGTTGCCCCACCACACACCACGATCGGCGATTTGATGATGGGGCATCTTGAATCTTGGGAACTTCGGCGACCCTTTGGCAGGATGCATTTTGGTACCCAGATCGAGGGGCATTCATCCCTGGTTTCCATCTACGCTGGTTATTTATTCGCCCAGCTCTCGCTTCCAATCCGACCGGTTCACTCGACAAAGAGCTTCTACTCCAGTATCCAGTCAAGAGGCTTGAAGACGGTCCCTCAATCATCGGCTTCATCTCCCCACAGAAGAACGTCGTTGGATTTTTGATCATGTGCTTTGGTACCACCTGTCCTACTTGCTGTGAGTATCTCCAAGGGTCCAACGCTGTAAGGCGCAAAGGCATCTAACATCTTCACAGCCAAGCAGGCTTGGCGTGGCTGCGGCAGCCACGTCCCCTCCGTCTTTGCCAACGTTCCCGAAGAGGAGTGGTGCACCTGCGAGCCCAAGGTGGAGGTCAACGGCCGGTCTTATCCGCCGCAGGCCAAGATGCAGCTGGGGATGCCGTCGTGGCTGAAGGGATGGACTGGCGGAAACAAACAGTAGTCAGCCACGGGTGTGTCTGACGGGCGATTATGTCGTACAAATATTTGGCATGTGTACGGAGTATCGAAGATTGATGACCCGAGATTACTGTGGGCCCGGCCATCCGATGTTGGGAAGGATGCCGATTGCCGGCCCGTGCACCCCTGTACTGGCCTTGTGCCGGTACCCTCCGATGCAACCAGTCATGCCCATTGCACAATACCCATCTCTGACCTATCAATGACACTGCCGGACCATCTTGTGAACCAAATCTCGGGTATGAGAGCTAAACCCGCCTTTACCATCATTACACTATGATGTCCCTACTGCTCATCGGCTTCTCCCTTCTCTTCATTGCCGTCCATACTCTCAGGACATCCCTCGCCTCGCCGCTCAACAAGATTCCGGGACCATGGTACGCCAAATTCACTTCCTTGGTCCTGAAATGGCACGAATTCAGGGCCAACAGAACGCGATACATTCATCGCTTGCACTTGGAGTACGGCCAGGCAGTTCGCATTGCCCCTGACGAAGTCGCCTTCGCCTCAGCGACCGCTGTCAAGGAAATCTATTGCTCCGGGGGCAGCGGTTATGATAAGACCAACTTCTATGATCTTTTCAAAGTATATGGGAAAAGGTATAACAGTTCCCGCATATACATTCCTGCGATGAGTTGCACACGGCTGACTCCGTCCGGCAGGACCATGTTTACGACCCTGAACAAGGACGATGTGAGATGGCCTGAGATCTGAAGTCGCCAGCCCCTTTCGTTATCTGACAATGACTTCGCTGCCAGCATGCAAAGAGAAAACGTGTCATCGCAGACCGTTATGCCAACACCAACATTGTCCGGCCGCAGTCACTCAACGGCATCGCCGAGCGCGCAACTAATTTCGTCATGAGATGCTATGAGTCTGTGGGCGGAAGCCTTGACCTTTATGTATGTCCTCCGTACTCATCCATATGATAACAAGCTGACGGGGCGGTCTAGATATGTAAGTGTCTTCCAGGCTGCCCGACTTCGAAGACTGCGTTTGCCCCTGACCCTGCATCCTAGACCTGCATGCATACGCTTTTGACTGCGTTACTCACCATTTATTCCATCCATACGGAACCAACTCGCTGTTGGATGCCCATGACGAAGCCGTCATGCGCGAGGTAACATTCGACGACAGCCTTCAGAGTAAGTCGGATCAATGTCCACTTGTGCTCTGGTTTTGTGCCTAACCATGCTTCAGACCGGTTGGTGGCATACTACTGGCCGACAATACATAAGGTATTCGGACAGATCCTGTCCCTGTTTGCAAAGCCCAGGGAAACTCCTCTGGCCGATTCCTTTGTCCTAGACACGAGTGCCAAGACGGGTGCGGCACCCTTCACGCTCCTTGATCGTCTCCACGGATCAAGCTCCCAGCTGGATCAGCTGGATATTGCCGCCGAGTGCCTCGACCACATGGTAGCCGGTATCGACACGACGGGCGATGCGCTATGCTTTCTAATGTGGGAGCTCTCACAGCCGGCTTCGATGCATTACCAGAGGAAACTCCAGCAGGAGCTTCGAGCCAACCCAACGGCCAGCTTCGACAAGCTTCCGTTCCTCGACGCCGTGGTCATGGAAGGCCTTAGGTGTTTTCCGGCTATTCCAATGTCTCTCCCCCGCCATGTCCCTTCTGGGGGACGAACCATCGACACCTTCTACCTGCCGGAGGGGACAGAAGTCAGTTGTCAAGCCTATTCGGTGCACCGGGTCGATCGAAGCGTGTTCCCGGATCCAGATGCGTTCAAGCCCGATCGATGGCTGGAGCCGAAAGGCGATGCTGAGAGGAAAAGGCTTTTCTTTGCTTTTGCGACCGGTGGCAGGGGCTGTGTGGGCAAGCAGTACGTTAACTATGCCACAAGCCTAGAGTTCTTGCTAATGAGACGCGGCACAGCCTGGCACTCGCCGAGATGAAGATGCTGCTTCAGTCCGTCTACTCCAGGTTCACCACGCTCCCAGACGCTACCATGAAGCCCATCGACCTTGAGATGTCAGATCAGTTGATCTCGTCGCGGCCACAGGCTCAGAAATGCCGTCTTCGATTTGTCCCGCTCGAACCGGCGAATGGGAAATAAAACAGTGTCTGGTCCTGCGCTGCTTCCACAGAATGCAAACCATTTGCGTTTAGTCAGTTTCGTTGCGTGTATATGGCATCGAGGCAAGGCCAAGGCATTTTTGTCAGTCAGAGAAGCCTTGGTGCCACGATTTCCGTGCAACTCTCCGCCTGTACTGCACAGTAACCCGAGTCAACCCCTTTCTGAAAGAGACACTACGTTCTCTTAGCACAAAGAACATCTCGAGAAAAATGTCTGATTCGTAAATCAAGGGAAAGCCGGAACTTATTAATGAATGGCGGTAGAAGATTGGGCTAAGTGGGTGCAGGAACGTCAACCACTTGAGGCGTAAGAAAACAACATCGATATAACGTTACAGAAAGAAACTAGCAAAAGCCCCACCCCGGGCGTTTGGTGGGGTCGACGATTTTGTTTCGGGTTCAAGTTGGGCGTTCTAGACTGGGCACATGGGTTCATTGGGCAGCCTCGACTGGCTCAGAGCGCCACACTGACTTCGCACAATGGTAGCATTGTCTTGCCGCCCACAGCTGCGCACAATATGTATAAGCACAATGAACAGATCAAGGGGTGACCGGCGGGCAAAGAAGTCCTGTGGATTGCTTTGCCGCATGCAACCATCGGGAACAACGGAATGACAAGACGAAAAGAGTTAAAGACGGGGCGCAGTACGGAGTACTCTGTAGGCGAGTCAGACAGCGCGTGGAGGCAAACTTTCGATTTGCTCAACTCCGCCCAGAGTTCCGCAAGGTAAATTACTGTACGTTCATACACAGCAGTACCGTTTCTGTATCGCGTACTCTTCAAGATGAGCTGGAACACAACGGTAAGGCCTAAAAGATGCATAATCACTAAGTTATCATGCTCCGAATAATGCAATTGAAAATGTACATACATGTACTTACAAAAGGTATCATAAGTCTGACATTACGGAAAGGTAAATAGTTTCGAAGTTTCAAATCTTGAATATTCTTGCACTTAGCGTTGAACGTTACCTCTTTATCCGTATCGGGGAGGCAACAGGGCGCATGTGCGAACGTTAGCATGGCTGCCTCAGGGTCCTAGCCACAATCAGTGTCTGTGCCCGATCCCGATTTCTCCACCAAACTGCTGAACTCCGGATTTCTCAAACCTTTTTCCCACCTGCACCAAGAAAACTTTCTTCCATCACCCACATTTCTTCAACTTTTAAACTAGCCCGTTCCCAACTCCGTCGCCTTCGGAATTCCAAGGCGCTATCATACATCTTTGACCGCGTTTGTATCGCTGCAAGTTTCAACCATCTTGTCCTCAACTGGGCAATTAGCCATCAGCTCGGGCTTCTCGCCAGATTCAAATCCTGAACAAACCACAAGAGGCAAAGGAAAACCTTGCACCCTCTGATCCACCGTGGTTCAAATCCGCTTCCTCCTTTCCGACAAAGCTCCCGTCTTCACAGACAGCAAGATACAACACCCAAGGCCGATACGCAGCAAAGCGTTGTTTATGTATCAGCACGACCGACACTCCGTCTTTCGACACTCTCCTCCGCTCGGGTTGCATCCGTTCCGCATAGAGCGGAAACCTTGTAGTCCTAACATCAAATCTGACGGTTGAAGGACCTCGCGTCGTCGTCTTTCAGCGTTAATGCATGCCTCCGATTGTCATCAGTTCTACCCTATGTCAACCCCGCCTCCCGCTTCCTACTGACGGCCCGGCTCGTTTCGCCCTTCGAAGAATCCTCGCAACAAGCCCATCCACACCCCGCCTGGAAAGTCTGCGGTACTAGCATCTTCTCCAGATCAGAATCAAGACCTCGTTTCAAACTCGCCTCAACCAGAGTCTTCCAGTTTCAATCGCCAAAACCGCCAAAATGGCTGCTCTCGTCAACGTCCGTCGCGATGTCAGCGACCCTTTCTATCGCTACAAGATGGAGCGTCTGCAGACCAAGATTGAGGGCAAGGGCAACGGCATCAAGACCGTTGTTGTCAACCTAAGCGGTGTCGCCCAATCCTTGGCTCGTCCTGGTGCCTACCTCATCAAGTACTTTGGCTTTGAGCTTGGCGCCCAGACCAACATTGACCCCCCGGATGATCGCTGGATTATCAACGGCGCCCATGAGGCTAGCAAGCTTCAAGAACTGTTGGACGGCTTCATTGGCAAGTTTGTTCTCTGCAAGAAGTGCAAGAACCCAGAGACCGCCGTTGAGATCAAGGATGGTCGCATCCTGCTCGACTGCAAGGCGTGTGGTCAGCGTACCGAAGTTGACCTGCGCCTGAAGCTCAGCGGCTTCATCCTCAAGAACGTCCCCAAGAAGACCAAAAAGGACAAGGCCGAACGCAAGGCTGCCCGCAGGGCCAAGCAGAACGGCAAGGGCGACAAGGAAAATGGCTCTGGAGGCGACGACGCTTCTGACCAGGCCTCCCCCATTGGCGACAAGGGCATCGAGAGTGATGACGATGCCCTGACCCGCAAGATCAAGACTGAGGCTCAGGTTCTTGAGACCAAGGCGGTTGAGGTCAAGGACGACGAATGGGCTGTGGACATGAGTGCCGAAGCTGTCAAGGCTCGTCAGCAGCAGCTTCCTGGCGAGTTTAAGCAGAAGCTCGTTCTGAACGGAGACGATGAGGATGAGGAGGGCGAGGGCGGTGGAAACACCGTCTACGATCAGTTGGGCACCTGGATCCAGGAGCAGGCTGAGACCAAGGATGGCATCGACAACGTTGACGACGTTGATATCTACATCAAGGCAAAGGAGCTGGGCATTGAGTCCAAGCATCGCACTGTTCTGGTTCTTGTGCAGACCATTTTCGACGAGAACATTTGCGCCCAGATCAGCAAGCGTGCCCCCATGCTCAAGAGGGTACGTTACGGATTGTTCACCCCTCCGATATTGATACAAGGAACTAACTTGCTGTTCGCTAGATTGTCTCGTCCGAGCGCCACGAGAAGGCCCTCCTCGGTGGCACCGAGCGTCTGATCGGCCAGCTCGGCAAGGACCACCCGGAAATGTACGACAAGATTGTCAAGATCCTGCAGCTGTACTACCACCATGACCTCATCTCCGAGGAGGTTGTGACCAAGTGGGGTTCTAAGGCTTCCAAGAAGTATGTCGACCTGTCCACTTCTAAGAAGGTCCGCAAGGCTGCCGAGCCCTTCCTCAAGTGGCTTGCTGAGGCCGAAGAGGAGTCGGAGGAGGAGTCTGAGTAAGACTCGGGCAGAATTGCAGTGCCGTTAGTAGTGCGAGGTTGCCTAGTTGAAGGCATGGCTCTCAGGTTGCTATTGTTCCGGACGCAGTCTGTCTCTGGTTTTCATACGGGAAAAGCCGAGCATCGCCCCTCATTCAACTGCTTCGATCATGACGTTCTTTCCCCTCCCCGCCAGCATGGATGGTCTACAGAAAAGGGGCTTTATTGCCCGCGTGTATGCTAGTATGGTTTCTGATGTTGCATGGAGGATTGTTCGCATGCTACTCGATCAAGTGCAGCGTTTAACCGCTTGCAATTTGTTCTCAGCCTCTGCCAGTCTCAATCGCCATTCGATGTTGTAATGATGTCAAGCTTGAGACAGCAATCACCAAGTGCCTGCCTTCTAATAAGATCTACTAGTGAACCTGTGTGTGTTACGCACTTTTTCCAACCTGATTTCTTGATTTCTAGGAAATCAAGACGACGATGAAATGTCTTCTGAATTTGGTCTCTGCCGGACTTGTCGGCGAGAAGAAGGTGCTTCTCGACCGACTGGTCCAGGGATGCATTACACTATCTTGGTGCTCAACCATACAAAGCTGCGAACTCACTCGCCTAACCCGAATTCTGTTATCTTCTCCCTAGTGCCACCCGCAGTCTGTCAGGATGACAGATTCAGCCGGCCAAGTTTTCCACGCCCGATCCTGTCCTCTCGCCCATGCCGAGCGATGAAATTAGCAGGCAAGCCTAGTCTAGTCGCTCTGGTCACCCTCCCGGTAGGCAATCATCCGTCCATCAGGCAACCCTACCGATGATGATGCTCACCATCCCAAAGCCAAAGCCAGGCCAAAAGACCAGCCGCCACCACCGCGCATTCCATGAAGAAGGATCCTCTTTCTTTCCGTCCCGCAATTGCGAACCCCGTCGTCGGCCTCTGCCGCGCAGAAAGTGGTACCGAGCGTGCCTACCACGTGCCACTTTGAGCGGCGGACGGATCGGCCCAGTCGGTGGCTGCTGTTCCCCAGTTGGTGTCCTCGTTGTTGTTGTTGTTGGTATTGTCTCCGGTGTTGTCGTTGTTTTCGTTGTTGCCCCAATCCCAGTTTCCGTTGTCGTAATCATTGTTGTTGTTGTTGTTGTTGTTATTATTGTCATTGTTGTTATCGTTGCCGTCAGCCCCATTACACCAGCTTCCGGGCATCATCTCTGGATGAGTGGTATGCTGAGCGGTTTCTTCGGTATGTTGATTATTATCATTGGCCTCGACCGTATCGGTGACGGTTGCGCGTCTGCTGGATCTGCTGTGCTTGGAACGGGAGCGGCCTGTTCCGTCCTTGAGGGAGGGGTTTTGTTGCCAAAGGTGCGCCGGCGATGAAGGGGTGGGGTTATTGTTGTTGTCCCCGTTATTGTTGTTGTCCCAGTTATTGTTGTTGTCCCAGTTGTTGGTGTTGTCCCAGAAGTTGGTGTCGTTGCCCGCATTGTTCTGGTCGCTTTCGTTCTTATCCTTGGTGCCCCCTTCCCTCACCCAGCCGCTCGGTCCGGGCGAGTTCCACTTGATGCCGGTTCCTTTGGCAGATTTGAAGTTGGACCAGGGACGGTTACTGTTGCTTGTCGTGTTTCCGTCCTTGGCCTTTTCGTTCTCTTTGACCTCTGTCTGTTGCCCGCCGTTCCAAGAGCCCTTGAGCGGGGTGAGGGAAAAGCCGGCAAGAGGGTCTCCTTCCTTGGAATTGGCAGGGACCCCCGGGACTGCAGCTTTCGGTGTTTTTGGTGTTTGCGCTTGACTGCCAGAACGAGCCGGCGCTGGCTGGCGATTGTTCGGAGTTGGAAACGGCACGTGGTGATGCGAAGGGCCTTCCCAGGTTGGGTACGGTGGATAGCCTGTCACCGGCGGTCCGGTTGCCCTCTGGTGAGGTGGCAAGAAGGCCGGCGGCGGATACGGATTGAAAGGCAGAGCAGGCGGACCAGGGTGTATCGGGTAATGTGGTCCAGCGATGGGATTAGGGGGGCCATACGGTCCTCCCCAGTAGGGCCCGTGATAGACGCGACAGACTCCACGGTCCTTGTCGAAATAGGAGTTGGGAGGAGGGTCGTGTCTGGGATCTTCGACCACGTGCTCCAACTGGAGAAGCCGCTCCCGTGGAGACATGATTTTCTGTGGATGACGTGCTCCAAAGTCTCTTGGCGAGTCCTTTCTCGATCCATTGCCGGAGTCGTTCTTCTTGGACGAGGTCTCATTGACCGCTGCATTGCCATCTTTCGACGTCTCCCCATTCGTTTTGGAGTCGGGCTTGCCCTCCTTTCCTTTGGTCTCATCCTTCGATGTACCATTGGCTTCGTGATTAGCTCCGTCGTTGGATTTCTTTCCATTCTTGTTAGATGCTGCATCACCATCTTGGCCCTTATCGTTCTTGGGCTGTCCTTCACTTTTGGCATCCGAGTTGCCACTGCTCGCTCCCTTCCCATCTTTCTTACTCTTCTTTTTGTTGTTTTTCTTGTTCTTCGCAGGCGGCTCTGGCTTAGCCTCCTCATCAGTCTCGGGCGCTGACGACTCATCACCCGACTCAGCTCCAGACGAGTCTTCAACCCCAGTCGACCCGGTGTCTTCCGCGCTTGTGTCAGTGTTGTCCGCAGCCGTGTCACTGCTATCCGCAGTTGCTTCGGTGTCAGTATCCGTATCCGTCTCACTCTCGGCCGGTTTCTTAGCTCTCTTCTTGGCGGCATCCTTGGCAGACTTCCTTTTCTTCTGTTTCTTGCACTTCTTCTTTTTCTTCTTGCTCTCCTTGTCTTTTCGCTCTGGCGACACATCCTTGCACTTGGCAGCCACTTTGACTGCTTTTACCAGCAGCAATTTCCCTTCGGTACAGCATACACAAGAGCAGTCCTTGTGCGAACTCCCATCTGAGCTTGACTCTGAGTCCGAGTCGGAATCTGAGTCAGAGTTGTTACTTGTCTTTTTGCCACATCTCTTCGATTTCGCCAGTCTCTTTTTCTTTCTCTTTGCCTTCGTTTTCTTGATGCGTTTCCGAGGCTGAGGCTCGGAGTCGTCGCTGCTCTCGACAGCACTACTCTCCGTTTCAGACTCTTCGCTCCCAGGCTCAGATGAGGCTTCCTCCGGGGACGAAGGGGTAGGTTTCTTCAAAGCAGACTTGAGCGGCTTGTCCTCGAAGCTGACTTTCTTGCCTTTTGGGCCATTGTCGGGCTTGGATACTGTGCTCTCTTCGTTTTTCTTCTTGGAGTGAAGCTCGCGTGGGTAGGTTACTGTGACGATGTTGGTCTCATCTTCATCGTCGGTAGCGAGTTCGACATTGATGAGGTCGCGCCTTGAGGATTGCTTCTTTTTGGGCACTTTCTGTCCGACCACCCATTCGAACAAAGTACTGGGAGGCATGGCGAGAGATGGGCGAATCAACGAGTTTGAAATATCAATTGGATGTGTTGAATGATCCGGATCGGCCTGAGATGTGGATGAAGCGCTCTTAGCTGGAGAAGAAACGGGAAGACTGAGGTATATACGGCTCAGCGACCATGAGGTTGGTGCAAATCTCCGCCAAGAGGATCAGATGGATCGGGATGATGTTGGAATGGAATGGAAGGAATCTTGCAGGTCAAGAGTAAAGAATTGCGATTGAAACAGCATGAGCTGGATGAAGAGCAGGAAGAAATCCCGAGTAGCAGGTGGCCATTGGTATTGTGGGAAGAAAGAAACTGAGAAAGAAGAAGCGTGCTCGCCGAGGGCTGGGTTGTGCCCTAAGTCGTGCGCAGATGTGAAGCGGTTCCTCGGCGCCCCGTAACTGGTGATGGAGGTGCTTTGTTTATCTTCACCACCGGCCGAGCAACCGCAGAAACCGGTGCCATCTCAACCCCTCCAGACTCACAGCTTTGCCCTCTCCCTCAACTCCTGCTGTGCCCAGGCCTTATTGATCCTCAGATTCCTCCAGTAGTTCCAAACACCCAGCAGCACCGCCGCCGGGGGGCACGCCCAGAGAAACCAACTCCACCACTTGGGACTGTACCTGTCCAGCTCCCGCATGACCCTGCCAACCTCAGCCCGCAACTCCTCCTTGCCGCCATCATTCCACACCACCACACCCCTCCCTCTCCCCCTAGCCTCGCACCGCCGAGCCTTATCCCGCACGTCCCCCTGGCTGCGCACTCTGTTCTCGGCGTCCTCGGCGGTCAGGTGCGGATCCCTGGCCCGCAGCCGGGCCATTTGCACCGCGGGGTCTTTGACCGCAACGACGAGGACGGCGCCACAGAAGCGGTCCAGCGCGCTCTCGAACAGGAGCGGCACGTCCAGCACGACCGCCCTGCAACCCCTCAGGTAGTTGCCCACGACGGCCTTGAGCATCTCGCGCCTGACGGCGGGATGGACGATGGAGTTGAGCACGGCGCGGTCGCGTCTGCGCTGCTCGTCATCACCAAACACGCGGCGGCCGAGCGCAGGGCGGTTGAGGGGGCGGCCGTGGCCGGACGGGCCTGAGAGGGGCATGTCCGGCCCAGCGGGGACGAGAAGGTCCGGGGTAGAAGGGCCAAAGTACTCGACGATGGCGCGGTAGCCTGGTGTTCCGGGCTCGACGACCTTGCGCGCGAGCAGGTCGGCGTCTATGACGGGGAGCGAATAGGGGGGCTGGGAGAGCAGGGCCGAGACGGTTGATTTGCCCGTGGCGATGGACCCTGTGAGGCCGATGACGAGCATTTTGTGGTCGGCGCTGTTGCCCTGCCTATGGGTTTGGTGTTGTAATCCCTGTGTAAATAAGTGTATATGGTCAATTCAGCAGGTTCATCTCAGAGGTCAAAGTTGATGTCGAGTCAGACAGTTGGGGCTGCCAAGCTCTCGTGTATGCTGGGCGCCGCTGTCCAATGATCGCGCTGGATCCTGCCGATCTCCCGAATGCCAAGAGAACGTTAATGGGGAGAGCAGGGGTTGTGCCTGCATGTGAACTTTAGTTTTCAGCCTCGTCCATCTTTGGTAACCTCCCGTCATTTCAGATATCGCATTGTTCTGACATTGTCAACCTTCACAAATGTGACGCAGTACTCACAAGATGAAGAGGAAGTCTCAATGGCTAAACGATCTCGCTATGTACCGTCCATAAACCCGATTGCCATCACCATCCGCCATGCAAGATGTTTGCGCCACTACTCTTCAGGTTCCCCATCATGAGCACGAAGTAAACCCTGGCCTCTCCCAGATTCCGAGGGCCCGAAGAAAACAAACCGATAAGAACCCATGCGCCAGTCGTGCGGATAATGGAAGAAATTCCCCAGGTGAAATCCGTTATGCTATCGCTTGGAAGGCCTCAGTCAGCAATGATCTGGAAGTAGGCAGCAGTCGCGATCCCATGGACTAACCGAAGTCGCCACTTGGTCCGAGTTCAGCTTTAGTCTGAAAGTCGAACGGCATAGAAGGCTCCCTGGTCAGTGCGGTACCACCGCGCATTGAGGCGGTCGATCTGGCGACGAGAAAAGATTGCCCAATGTCCATTGAGCTCTCGGAGCCAGTATAGACGGTGGGGGTCGGGATCAGCGGGAACAAAATCCTGTGGCTCATTGCATCGGTTATTCTGGGCGATTCGGACATTCTGAGCTACAGTTTCGCTGGGCGTCAAGCCGACCCCCAAGGCTGGCTCAACGTGGACTGGCGGCTGGACAGGCAAACCAGGCACTGGATGGATGTTACCTGGCTGGGCAGGCATCTGCAGCATGAATGGCTGGCCCGGAGCAGCGGGGCAAGGAGGCATGGGGCCGCCCTGGATGACCATCGGAGGTACGACCGGCTGCTGCATCACGATCGGATTGATGGGAGCCGTCATTGGTGCGGCCACTGGCACCATGCCGACGGGTTGCAATGGCTGCATAGGAGTTGCCTGGGGACAAAATCGGTTAGCAATCTGGGTAGCGCTGATAACTGATAGGTGGAAGCGTGAAACAAGATCAAGATTGCATATTGCAGGTCGCAGCGACCGCCCAGCCTCATTGGATTTAGCGTCTTCGGTCAAAACTAACCATAGCGACGGGCGCCTGCTGGACAGGGTAGCACATCTCGGGGCCAGCATTCGGAATGCCATTATCATAGCGTGGCACATAGTGATGAACCATGGGACCCATATCAGTGGCCGGAACCGGGGGCTGGAAATGGACGCCATAGGGATTCAAGACCGGCGGGATAGCAGGCGGCGGTGGAGGAGGCGGAGGAGGTGCTGGGGGCGGATCAGGCTTCTTGGCCTGAGGAATTTGTTGAGCCGCCATGTCAGTTGATTTGCTGCCTGTGGAGAACGTGTTCGCGCGGTGGTAGTTTCTGGGAAGGTTGTTTTTGGCGGCGAGCGGCGGAAACGATTCAAGGCACCAGAAGAACCAGATGGACGACTCGATGCCGGCAAGGTGCTGGGGAAGAGCTCCGTGACTGGAGCTGCCTGAAATGTTTTGAGAAGCGATCGATGACGAGATATGCGAAAAGATGTCGAGTCGCTTTCGCGACAAATGGTCCCCGTCGCAAGGCTGATTAATTCAGGACAGGTTTGATCTGGAGAAAGTCGCCTTGTTCGGAGAGGTCTTGGTGATTGTTATTGGGGAAGAACGGATGGTTCAAAGCAGACGATCCCAGGTATGAAGGTCGGTTCTCTTCTTCAGGTCCTGGCTAGAGAATTTGTGCGTGTGTGCGTGTGAAAGTCGTGGTGGTGAAGGTCGAGGTATGGTTAATTTGCGGCAGGTGATTTCAGATGTGAACTTAGGGTGAGTCACCGTCGACGGCGTCGAACCCCTACTGTGCTGATTGCAGCTGAGGTCCTCGGTCCAAATTGTAGCTGGACGTCAAGATAAAAGGGCAGGTAGGACTTGGAGAGAAATTGAGGCCGGCGGGGCAGCAATGGTACGATTTGGTTTGTCGACGCAGGGAAGGAGCCTTCTGAGTCCAGGTGGCTCAGCGAGGCATGAGGAATGAGGCATGAGGCCTGAGGCATCTCCCGCTAATACAAACCAGAGACTCTGCTCACCCGGTTTCGTGCGATTTCCATGCGCACCCATGAAGGCAGGACGGGTAGATAGGGACGGGAGGCTCGAAAGAAACATCTTACCGTGTCCCGGAGAATCCACGCGTGACCGTTCCAGACATATTGGTACTGGCGGAAGCGTTGACGGTTGCCCCTTTCGTACTGGGCTTTCGCAAAGGGAAAGCAAGGAAGACACATCTTGCTGAGCCTCGCTTCACTGTTCGCTGTCTGACGGTTGTTTCGTCGAATCTTAGTTGACGGGACAGATCAGGTTGGCGGGCGAAAACTGATGGATATGGAAAGAACAGGAGCACCTGCAGATTGCGAAGAATATGTAGCTGATCGACCGTGTGCCTGCCAATCTTTTTGGCTACTCATATTGTGTGTTGAGCGCATCCAATTCCAAGTGGGAAATCGCACATGGTACCTAGAAACCCCAATGAGCTCTGGAAGAGCAGCGAATCTCAGCCATTCCATACCATGGATCTTGGATACCTAAGGTAGGATCCATACTGAGTTCGAATATCTCCTATGGATACAAAGCAGCTTGTTCTGCATTCCTTATTAGACGTTCGAACCATGATGTCTGTGTTACATATGGATACCATCCTTCCACTCAGATACATGCTACAGGCTTCTTTGCTATGCGACACGAGCCAAAGCATCAAGATACAAGCAGTAATCAATATTCCATTGGCCACGTTTAGTGTGGGGTTTAAACCAAGCTGTGACAGTGTGTAGAAAAGCAAGATGGGAAAGACCAGGGGCGATATGACAAAGACAAGGAGGTACGTTGGGTACACCAGCGCCAGCCGGAAATCTGTTAAGAGCGGTAGTCGAGAGGATGATTTTACACGTAAAAATTTGGCTGCACTAACAGTGAGCCATTGCTCTCGAAGAAGTACCTTGCCTTTTCTGCTTGGAAGACATCAGGAGTCGACCGGCAGCTGCTTATCTTACCTATTCGCAGCTGGTAGGCCAACATGATCAAGGATATAGAGGACTTGAAGCTGCTGGATTCCAACAATGATTTGATTGTCACATACTGTATAAATAAACACTGCTCCCCAATCGCTAGACCTCCCAAGTCTTGTAGATGCGATGCATCCAATGCAACAGACCGGTCACTGTTGGGTGCCTTCCTGTCCTAACGACAACAAACCTCTCCAGCGGTTACACGACGACTATCAGGCGTTTCTAGATCTGCAGCTACAGTCCTCACTCCAGTTCGCTGATGTCCTATCGAAGGGTTGACCGCACTCTGAGCAGCGCAAGTAATCCCAAGGGGATACTGTGTTATCACCAATATCATCGAAAAAGGCCTTGGCAATCGGATCCGCCTCGAGTGCTATGTTGTAGAGCTCGGTGTGGTACTGCGTTTGTCGCTCCTGCAACTGACGGATCTGGCGCCAGACGAGGTAAAGGCGTAATTGCCACGGCTGTTGATTATGGCTGTCAGCTACGAGGACAGCTCCGATGGGAGAAGCTGAACAGGGAACGACGTACTCTTAAAAGTACCGGAACCTTCTTTTGCTGCTTGGCCAAGTGCTTCATTGTCCCGAAGTCGCTAGGCTTCCTCAGAGGTGTCCATTGCCGGTCTTCCATCCGCCGATTATCCCCAGCACTGTCACAGAGGAAGTATGACCATGGCGCCTCATCCTGTACAGGCTCTTGAGACTCCAGTTTCTTGATCATGGACTGGGCTTCGTTGAAGACGTCTGGGGGATCAATAATGCGCTTAAGCTCCTGAACATGCCTAGCAAAAGCAGTTTCAGGATCGAATAAAGCCGGCGAGGAATCGTCTAGTATCTGGCTTATGTCCTCTTCAGTACATCCCCAGCCAGGGTACTTCCACTTCATCTCGACACCCCCATATTCCGTCACGGTTGCGATGGCCAACCTGAATGCTCGCTTGCGGGGATCGTCGGACCGCAGGGCATCAAGTCCCTCTTCCATGAGACGCCACTGGGCAACCAACCGAACCTATGTATAGACGCTCAGCACGAATCCGGCCGTGGTCTTCATGTAATGCTTGCCTTGCCCAGGAAATCGAGCTGAATCGTGCTCCCGTCCTCAGAGTAACCCAAAGAGTATTGTTGAACCTCCTCGTCTAAAAGTCTCTTAACTTGTAGCAAGAGTGGGCGGCAACGTCGATCGGCCGCCCATGCTTCAAGCTTCTGGATACGTCCCAGGAGATCGGCGGGAAGCCCTTTCGTATCATCATTGTAACGGACAAATACATGCCCCCTTGTGCCGTCAGGGATGATGCATCCCAGATGTCCGCCTCGATCTATCTCCCAGCCGTAGCATAACGGGCCCATGTGTGTCGGTAGCTCATTGCGGGGTACCGGTTCTTGCTTCGACTTCCAGCGGTTCACTCGCTGCAAGACGAACTCATCCCGTATTTGCTCGATCGTGAGGGGTGTCGATCCCGCCGAAGGCTCACATGGCAAGCCCGCCATGGCCGGTGTGCGCTCGCCTAGGGAGTTTTGTGGCCGTGAGAGACACTAAACAAAAACAATACCTGACGCTGAACCTGGCTGATCTAATAAATGCATCGATAATGGAATCAGAGCTGGTATTTATAGACACCGATCGCTCCAAGGAACAAGAGTAGATGCTAGCACTTTGGTAAATTCTGGACCGGTGGGATGTTGATGTTATCGTGAGACCAGGGTCGAATGGAAAGCAGGCCAAATATTCCAAGAGATGGTGAATCCGCATGAAGGAAGCAGCGTTACTGCCATGCCAAGGATATAAAGATTGGTAAACAACCTAGGCGTGCTTCAAAGGGTTTTGGGCTATTGGAACGGGCCCACCAAGCAACCGAGGGAAGGGCGGAAAGAGAAAGGGAAAGGGAAATCAAAAGAACCTGATGTCGGAATATCGATATGTTTTGCTGCCTGTGAGTAGCAGCCCCAAGTTTCTAGCGCCCAGGCACCGAATACCAAGAACCTCACATGCGCGTCGAGAATCAGTTCCAATTCCCAGACCCTACTCCAGCAGAATGTCTCAGGGAGTGCAACCCAGGGCCTGCCAAGCAGATTCGACAGTCGCATTCTTGATGGCCAACCTCTTCCATATGCTTTACACGCCCAACCGGGGCACTCTATATCACCATAAGCCGCTAATATACAAATTTCCATGGGAGGAGAGATACCGTGCGCTATGCATACCCGTCCTACCAATCCTGGCCGAGTCTCGTACAAGATGACCCCTTAAGGTCATGAATCCACAAATCAGCTTTGTGAAAGAGTGCTGTTCTCTGTATATTAAGTGAGAAGATAAAACGCGATATCGCAGCGAATACCAGCTATTTTGTTTCACAGCATCGCATGAGCCTCAGCCTTGGGTTCCGGGATAGGAAAGGCTGACCGCCGGACAATCTGTATGGAAGTTAGAGGCACGATAGGCGGAAAAAGAGAATGAAGGAATCGGTAAAGACATACCGCCCAGAGTCCGGCAATGGACGCTACAATGCCTCCCGAAATCATCATCGGCCGCAACCCCCTTGTGCTCTTGAACAGCATGCCGCTAAGCGCGCCAGCGAGGATGGAGTTGGCGGCATCGTTCTTTCCCCTGAGATATCCGATGTAGGAATTTATGAGGTTGTAACAGATGGCAACCACGCCGGCTGAGTTACCCAGGAACGGGCCTCTTCGGGTGACGGAGTTGAGCACCGAGTTCAGTCGTAACTTTGGCGGCTGGTTGACCGACTTTCTCAGACCCTCCTGCAAGCCCCACGCGCCGCCTATCGACAGGCCTAACAAGTATGTGGTGCCAGTGCCATAGCACAAGTCATCGGTGAAGCCACGGGATGGCAGTACGGATTGGGAGCCCGGCAGCTCGGAGAGCGCAGACTCTTCAAGGGTTATGTAATCGAGCGTGTCCTTGTTCAGCCCTGCGAGAGGATGTAGTTGTGTAGGGTCGGCGAAGGAGGAGCTGCCTAGAAACTGATCGACGCCTTGGACGGACGTAGGATCGAAGGGAGATGAAGAAAAGGACGAGGCGGTTGTTGTCGGCGCAGCCGGTGGTCTCGGCGACGACGTCTGGGATGACGACTTGCGTCCAGTCAAGGCATCCCAAATGGACATGTTGGAGAAATGAGATCAACTGAATCAGGAAGGCAATGCGATCGAGGATAGAACTGGATCAAGTGGGTGCCGTGTGATGTCGGTGGGTAAGTGTTCAGTCGAAGATAACTACCACACTGTTGCTCTGCTGGTTTGGACAAGCGGCTGGGCTGAGGGCGCGAGCCAGTCTGCGATCTTGATTCTTGATAACGAACGTTAAAACAGACGTCAAAAAAAATTTACGGGACAAGGAGGGTTGGTCTGTGCGGTGCTCCACAACTTCACCTTAGGCCTAGCCTGATCTGGCGCAAGGTGAGCGAGGTGAAGCACCGACGCCGGACATGTGCTGATGAGTACGAAGGTACCAAAAAAAATCACAAGCTTCTTTCTCAATCCCTATCTCAATACCCTGCAACTAAGTGGCAGTCTAGACAACGCGGCTTCTTGTTACAGGTGGGTTTCTCGGAAAGTCTGGCTGATTGAATGGACCTATGTTTTTTTCTCAGCTTGGAAACCTCTCCAGTTCTTCGTATTCCCTTGTTTTCACTTGGGTTGGGCTAGGTAGCAGCACCCTCTCAACTCTTTGAGGTTGGCCGATTGCGATTGCCAAAAGCATGGAACACTCAGACACACCAATTGCGCTGGTTGCTGGAGCTGGCATCGAGGATTTTGAGAGTGCAAACACAATCACCAGATGGCTAATGTCGCAACCGGAAGAGTCTCGGTCCCGGTACGTCTTTAACTACCTGGCCAAAATCACCAAAATCACCCTTGGACTCAACTAAGACAGGGCAGGACTGCTCAAGAGCTCTTCCAGAAGCTGCTGCGGGAAGCCTCGCAGTCGCGACAGTATCATGGGAATGGTCATGCTTGCGTCAAGCTCTGCAGCTTTGTCCAACAGTGTGCCAAGTCGAGCGACGACGCCTTGAAGCGATGGGCCTTCACTGAGTCTCTCTCAAGGGAGCTGTTCCACTTCTACCTGGAGTGGTACGAACATGACCCCCACCGTGCGTTGCGGCTGGTGCTGGATGTGCTTGTGATGTCCGCGGCCTCGAACCCGGATTCTGAGACTGGCAGGCTCGTGAAGGAGCACATTTTGGAGACCCTAATCTCCATCGTGGCGCGGAAATCCTCGAGGCAGCTGACGAAGTCAGGACTGCAGTGCCTTGACTACTTGCTGAACAAGCGGGTGGTTGACCTCAACGATATCTTGCTAATATACAAAGAAGTGGAACCTGCAGTGGCGGCTCTGCCCAGCCTCTCGATATGGAGATCATTTGTCTCCCAGCTATTCTCGTGGATGGAGCTTACATATGTCTGCCCACTGGCTGGAAAGTGCCTTGTTCACATTTTCCGGGGTTTGGGTAAAGCGGAATCGGAAGGCTTCACTATCGAGCTTTGGCGGGACTGGCTCCAGGAGGCTTTGGTCCAAAATCCTGCCATCCTAGAAGACATGAAGAACTATGTCCTAGCGCCCACTTTTAAGACAGACAGGAATACATCCCTGCTGCTTCTGGAACTTTTCAATAGGGCCCAACCTTTGACAGTGATCAATCACGAATCAGCCGACCAAAGCCTCTTGCTTCAATTAGCTACGCTCGAACTTGGGAAGAAGTACGGATTGGTCGAGGAACCTAGTAAGTGAAATGGGCCGCCGAAGAGGACGTATGCTGATGCGACACATTGGCAGCTAATGAAAGCGGCTTACCTCAAAAGTCGACCGCCGTCATTGCCCTACAAGAGTCCATCTTGAACAGGCTCCTTGCACACCCTTCAGTATCCGTCAGGTCCAGCGCCTTCTCATTGCTAGTCTCCTCTCAGGCAACAACGAAACCGTTCTCTGAGGTCTCTTTCAGCCTGCTAAAGAGTCACCTCGCAGCGTTCCACTCTGACTACGACGCCAGGATCCGTAACGAGGTACTTGGCCATACAAAGAACCTGGTCAAGCGTGTCAAGAATGTCATTACTGTTGCTCAGAGGAATGTCTCCGGGCCTCTCAGCAGGCAGAGCCAACAACCCCCTGGAGCTGGGGCTCGCTCGCATGGCAAGAACAGCACTCTTGGTCCCGAGGTTTGGTTGAGGAATGCTTCCGAGGCAAGACATGTCCTTGACACCCACGAAGCCTTTCTGGCATGGTATCTGGATTTTCTGAAGCACGAGCTTCTGCCTACCGCCTCGTACCAGCGGCACATTACCGCCGTGAAAGCCGCACTGCTGGTCATAAGGACTGGGAAACATGCAGGCGTCACGGATGATACGGTGGATGAAGACATTGCCCAGTCGATATCGTCCGACAACACTTGGATCCGGCTTCTCCTTAATCTCTTGTTGGACCCATTTGATGATGTTAGAGACAGCGCGTCGGTGCTCTTGACGTTGCTTCAACCGAAACCGGTGGAAGCTGACGGAGATCCCAAACCAACCTCTGAAACTCTGCTCGGGGAGCTCCGAGAGTTCTGTACCAGAGCTAGCAAGTTGGCAGATCGAACCGGGCGAGCTGACCACGGCGATGGCGCTGCTCGTTCTCAGGGTCTACTGTGCAGTTGGCTACCCAGCCAAGACTCACAGATTGCCCTCTTGTCAGACATTCTCACACGGCTCGAGTACAAGATTTCAACAGCAGAGCGGGACCTGGGACATGCAGCCATCGAAAGCCCAGTACATGCAGATTTTGCGGCTTTAAGGTGCGTTTCTTCCGAGCTCAGAGACGGTAGAAATCCTTCTGTCTGGCCGTCACTGACATAGCTCCATTTCAGCCATGTCTGGCAGGTTCTAGCCAAAAGGACTTACCCTGCCCACCAGCTGGAAGCTCTCCAGCAGCTCCAGCGCAAGGTTTTCGCCTGCTCCAAGCGCATATGGCTGACTGTGAAACATGTTCTTTGCGATGACTCCCCGGAGGGGCATCTACCGGGGGAGTTGGAAGACATTGAGGGATTAGATACTAAGGATCTTCTGAGCTTCAGCTTCCGGGCGGTTCATGAATCCAGGTACGGTGACCTTCCATAAGCGTGGGGACATCGGCTAACCACCTCAAGCAATGTTTTGCGTTTGATGATGAGTTCATTGCGACTCAAGAATGCACCAGGCGTTCCGTTTCCGCCATTCGACGTATTCAGGGATACAGGCTACTTGACTTTTGAACAACTTGCCAATCTGCGGCATCGTGGTGCTTTTTCCACAGTGTCTCATACGTTCACAACCTGCTGTCAACTTACCCAGCACCTGAGGAGCATATTTCCGAATACCGTCGAGTCGGAGAGCCTGCTTCGTGGATGGTACCAGGTAAGATTGGCCAAACCCCGTTTGTGCAAAGTGCATGCACCGACTGTATCTAGGGGGCAATCAACTGCATCTTGACGCAAGCCTCGACAACACGCCGCTCCGCGGGAATCCCCTCTCTCATCGCAGCGGTTCTATCGGCAAATGCGCAGTCACCATCCTTCGACGAAGTGTACGGGACTCTCGAAGAAATTGGCAAAAAGCACGTCCGTGTCTCGGAGACTGACGGGTCGAACCTCCCTCAAGTCCACGCTCTCAATTCCCTACGGGAGATTTTCAGGAGCTCGCTCTTGAGTAAGAAGGCTGAAGCCTACCTGGCCAGGACGCTCTTCCTGGCAGCAAACAGCCTACAATCCGAAGTGTAAGTGGGAAAAAACTTCTATTCCGCTGCGGTGCTTCACTTCTCTAACCTGATTTAGGTGGGCAATACGGAACTGTGGCCTTCTTCTGCTTAGAAGTCTTATCGATTGCCTGCTCGGCACAGGTGAAAGCAAAGCAACCATCGAATCCGGGTGGGATGGTCATTCGGTCCGCATATCCTACAACAAATATCCGACGTTGCCGGGGGTCATTCTCGGTCTGCTGCAATCAGCGGATGCCACTTTGGACCAAGCAGCAGGTTCCGCCGCAGCCGAGGCAGTTTTTCCTGCGCTGGACATCATCCGACGTGCCGGCCCCCCTGAGGAGCACCGGGACGAGTTGCGGAAGCGTATTGAAGGATACCTTGGCAGCCGCATCTGGCATGTTCGAGAGATAGCCGCGAGGACCTTGTGTTCCTTCCTTATTCAGGAAGATTGGGCCGGAGAAATCGGAAGGCTTCTTGATGAATCCGGCAACAGCACAAACAGGCTCCATGGGATCCTGCTAACGTTGAGGTTTATCATCGAACGGAAAGCGGACTTGGGCGCTGATGTCAGGTCTGGTGAGTGCAGACAGTTCCAGATCAAGAATTTACATCTTAAGCGGCTGCTAATAAGCGGGTTACACGTCCGTAGATTTAACGTCGATTCAATCACTCCCCAAACAACTTGGTACAAGGCAAGCGCTATTCGAGCGTTGCGCAGAACTCAAAGCGGCATACTTCGAGATAATGAATTTACTCTCCAGATTGGGATGTCATCAACAAGTCACCGAAGACTTACCGGTCATCCAAGCAGAACCGGGAACTGCAGCTTCGGCTTTACTAAACATGCAATTAGCGCTGAGGTTGATCTACGATTCTGCGGCACGTGGTGATCTGGATGGGCTGAGGACCGGGTTACTGAAGACGCTGGAGAGCGACGTCAACACAGCAAGCAGGATGCTTGAGGTGATTCCACAAGCGTGGGGACAGACTGGCAGCGCCAATGACCGACCTGGACTCTTCAACCTCTATCTGGAGGTCTGTGAAGTTTCAACGATACCAGAAATCCGAGCCCAGGCACTGCTGAACCTCCGATCGCTGATGGATAGTGCCCTTTCCTGTGGCAACGTTGCGGGACTGCCCAGCCCTCAACGACTGGATCGTTTATGGGCACGACTACAGAACGGAGACATCAATCCTGCTCTGTCAGGGGCGGTAGTGGAAACAAGCGGGGCAATGATGGCTGTGTTCGTCTCCTGCGATTCTGGCAGTGTCTTGGATCTCGATCACAGATCACGAAGTTGGGGAGACATGATGAGCGAGTGCTTGGACGTGGATAACGTGGGTTACGCATTCATGACTTGCTTCGGAGACGCTTGGCTAACCAACTCGGCCAGCCTTTTGACACAAGATATGCGGCAATACTGGCGCTTCAGTCTTTCTTCACGGGCCAGAAAACCGATCACTGGGACGGCAAGTATCTTCCAGCTCTCTCGGCACTATACGACGGCCTTGTCGATGACGACGACGAGATCAGACAGGTTGCCGCGTGCGCTGCTTCCGGGGTCACAGGTACCTACGCCGAGGCTTCAACGGCAGGCGACGGCCTTGTACAATGGCTTTGGGAACACTTTGGAGACACTGAAGAGTTCAAAGCACGCGCCGTCTGCAGGATGGCCGGGCAGCCGTATGCAGAGCCGCTTCTCCTGACTCCCGCCGAAGACCAATTCCGCAAGGCGCTGGACTTTGACGACTCCTTGTTCGCCGCCGAGGAGCAGAACCTCTTCATTGACGAGGTTAGGGAGACCAGGAGATGGCAACGGGCCTACGAGATGCTCAATCCCTCGGACAATCAGCCGGCATTTGACTGTCTAAGCCGTTGGGTGGAAGCGGGTCTAAGCTACCTCGTTGGGCTTACGCAGAAGGAAGACGGTCCACTTGGCTGGACGTCTGACCAACATGTGTTCGCGGTGTGCGCTCGCGTCCTTCTCTGTGCTGTGACGGTGGCCAAATTCGGAAAGGGCGGTGGGATTATGGGGCTCCTGAAGGAATTTGTGGCGCTGGGAGAGACTAGGAAGATTCATGGATCTCTGTTGGATATGGCGAGATGTTGACGCCCGACATTAGGGGACATGGCATGACCCTGATTCTCGTTGATCAACTGGAGCCCCTTTTTGAATTGGTGGACAAGGGGGAATGTGTCCTGCACACACCTGCCTCCGGAATTCCCGAGTGTTATCGGGCCATGTTTGGCGGCCAGGTCTGCAGTGGATCTTCCACCTGCAGGCTGCAAAGCCGTTGAAAGCGCAGAACTTGTATTGGAGCAAGGGCAATTTGTACTGCGCATAAGGTACATACGTACCTCACCAGCTCACTTACTGCAGGTTGCCCGACTCCACCTAACTGCGCGGTAGGCTCTTGTTGGCTCCATCGCACCAGCCTCATGGAGTCTGGAACCATGGATAGGAGAAAAGCTAACGAACTTTGAACGGACCTGCTAATGAATAATACATGACCTTCGCAGGCATACGGGAATTGCTCAAGGGACAAATATATGTAAAACAGATAACAACAGAGGATTTGGATTGCGATGGCTTAACGTTAGACCTTGGGCGAGAGATATGGCAAAGAGAAATCTTGGTGTGGCGCATAAACGACGTGGCAAGCCACTGCACGTCCAGGGGAAGCAAGTTGCTCGGCAGTCGGCTGCCTCCGGGCGATCGGCTGTCCGCCCGCCTGCCGCAGCATGTGGGTCGCTCCTGGATGCGCCCCCGCTTGTCTTCGGCCCCCTCACTTGCCTCCCCTCGGTTCACCTCCACTTTCCTGTTCTCTGTGCGCTGTGGCAGAGGCGAAAAGTCCAAGTTAGAGAGCAACGTGTCTCTTCTGATATTGCCCTTTGCGCTCAGTAAACTGCGGGTTTCAGCTTCGTTTGTCGGCCCTAGTGCACACACTGTGACTAGGACAGATGTTTCTTTTCCCCTGGCTTTCTTAGCCTTAGCGGTGACGTCAACTGTGTCGGGCTAGGCGCGATGCGCTCCGAACAACCGACCCGTCCCATTGGTAGCACCCGAGACATGGAGGACATCTAAGACTCATCTCGAAAGAGTCATCCACCCGCGAAAAGGCCTCGTCCACCGGGAGGCAAAACTCTGCTCCACAAATGGTCCCTCTACACATAGCGTTGCCAAATTTTCTGTGAAGAAACAGCCAAGGCCAGCGTGCATGCAAATGCCAACTTTCAATCGCATCGCCATTGCCGATCCCGGAATGCCGAGGGAGGAAACAAGGAGAGCCCTCCTGAAAGAGCCAGAGATGGAGACTGAAACTTGCCCGGCACCCCGTTTCCTTCCCTTGTCCGGCTGAGGACGAAGTCATCGCAAATCGTGGGCGCAACGCGGCCAGAAGTTCTTGCATGAGGTAACCGGGAACGTGTCCATGTGCGGGTGCGACGCCCAATAGTCAGTTGACCTTAATAGGCAGACGGGAGCAATGCAGACATGTCTGCTGGCTTGAGGTTGAGGGCGACAAGCTGTCAGGAGATCATTTGACTGGCTGCATATGTAGCTCAGCAGTAACTCTGAAATCCCTGACGGGCAGTTTCATACTCGATACCTACGGATACAGTATCTCTGAAATGAGGGGCCCGCGCGGGGATCGAGAAACGCAACGCGTCAAAGGCGTCAGGGTCCTCGAATGAACACCAAGGTCAAGCAGAGAGGTGCCAGGGCTGGTTTTTGACACTCCTGGGATTGCGATTGGATTTGCAGTGTCACGGGATCTTCTTTGTGGAAGGCAGGATTTTCCCAAGGTCAAGTACGTGACCAGGGCGGTTGTCATGGGATCTACGGATTTGTACCCGACAATTTCCCCGAGCTGAGCGGTAACTGAAGGGTGAGGCGATAACGTTTAGCCCCCGCCTTACTACTCCCCAGCACCTGCCCCTGGAGGGCCCGGCCTTGGCGTCGGGGGTGCGAATAGTGTACAGTACATAATGCTGTAGCGTAGACAAGCCGCCACGCAAGCCACAACATGTCAAAGCCTGTTACGTGAACATCGGGTCTGCTAGTTGATCATTCGTAGTCAGGAAAGGCGTTGAGCAAAGTTCCGATGAAACCCATTCGGCTGTACTACACTGCGCAGCACTTCCTCCAGTTTCTACTCTTGTTCTGAACAGTACATCGTTTGGTGATGGAAGCCCGGTCAATAAACGGAGATCTCCCTCGCCTTCCAGGGTGCCCACGGATAATCAAGGCAAGTCCAGGCTCCATAGAAATGCCAAGCCCAAACGGCCGGCCAGCCGGCTTAACCGTGCCTGGCCTTTCCCATCAGGCTTTTCAATTTTGGCGTCGTAATCCAACAGACTCTTCAACGTTGCAACATACTAGCCTCGGCCGTCCTCTCTTTGCACTATCTGTCGACAATATATTTGATATCCCAGACAGGAACCATCACCGGAATTGCAGCAAGCCACAAAGCCAGCCAGGGCCGACTGCTAATCCGGGAACTGTGACACGGGGAAGGGCATTGGCACATGCTCTCCCGTTCTGGACCTCGACATTTACTTCCCAAAAGCGGCATCTTACATTATCCAGGTTTCAAACATTTTCGCCAATCAGAGCCAGCCGGCTCGGTCTTTCTCCAAAATGTAGGCCGAGAGGGCGTCAGCCCGGCAGCCAATGAGGCTCCAAAACAGGGGTCCGAATTCACACACCTTCTGCTCACCTTCTGCGCTAGCATGGGATGGCAGGACGTCTCATCCATGACACGGGATTGATGAGAGGCTGGCGTTGCTTGCTGGCCCTTTCCCCCCTCTCTCTTGAATCGCGCCGTTGGGGATTCCAAGGGGCCCATTGTCCCTCTGGTCGCTCCTTCAGGAAACATACCCGACCTCGACAATCTTCGAGACCAGTCGATGGGTGTAGATCCAGCATCTGGCCAGAAGTCTCTTACCCCACGGATTACCGAATCGGGACTCCAACAGGTGAACGAGCCATAGTGGTGGGTGAGACGGGAAGGGAAGAAGGGTCGCTCCTGGAAGCGCGCTTGTTCTGTCTGTTTCAAGTTCTCTGTCATGGAAAGCGTCTCCTAGACGCAGTCATCTATAACTCCATGTAGACACAGAACGAGGCTACTGGCTGGAGTTGGCTGGATCTCCGACCATGCAGCCAGCCATAATCATACATGCCTGAAAAGGGCTGTCAATCACCATTTTCGCTATCTGGGCTTCATGCTCAGACTATCCATTAAGCGGACAGACTGCGAAGATGCTACTGGCAAACTGCGACAAGGCCCTGGGCTAATGGCTTGACACAATTTCGTAGGACGAATGACGCCTTTCCGCTTGCTTGGCCCATTAGAACTCAACTTGATTCTCGAACGCTTCTGGCAACTTGCAGGTTCCATCAGCAACGTCTGGCTCGGGATGGCTGACAGCCACTGCAAGATAGATTATCTCTGGGTCCGAGGCGAGAGCCTCTTGCAGCCAGGGTTCGGTCGAGTGTTCATCATGCGGCAAGTTAATTTCGACGAGTGCATAATAATGGGGGTCAGGAATATCAAGTGTGGCGCTCCACGGCCCTGCTCTCGATACGCTCACTGGAGTGCAGTGCCGGCCGCATTCCGGAGGACCATCGGAAGACGAATGGGGCTGCCTCGTCGAGGTTGGTGCGGTGAGAGTTTAATTTATCGCTATCACAACTCACAAGAGGGGCCGGACACGGTCAAGACGAGGGCTGCTGCATGAGGAGGGTACTGTACTGTACATAATGCGCAGGAGGCAGTCTTGCTCAGAACACTTCCCCAGTCACGGGCAGGCTCTTCGAAAGGAGCGAGCCCTCTCCAGGGCCGGGAGTCCAGGCTCTCTCGAGACTGGGTTAGCCGAACGTCGGAGAGTCGTGAGAAGGGCTCCGGACAAGCCAGTAATAATCTTGCTGGGCGGTGGCGGTTCTACGTGGGAGCTAACATGACTCCTCACTTTCACGGCACACACGGCTCATGCAAGCAGTAGGTCCTTTTTTTGCGCTCATCACTGCGCTGTGATACTCACGCGCTCCTCTGCCCATCCGAGACGCGTCATGCCTATCTCGGCAACAGGAAAAGCGAACACGAGAAAACGTGCCGCCGCGATTCGTTGGTGTTTTGAAAATGCGTTGAAGAACACGAGTCATTGCGCCTTCGTTATCGATTGCCGTAGGGGGTCCTCGGCCACAAGAGCTGTGGCCACAGATCGGCAGCCACAAACTGTCGTCGCAAGACTGCCAGATCAAGCAAGGTTTGGGTGTGGGCTGGTGGGGCGAGTCTCAGCGGGGGCTGGTTGCCTGGCTTGGCGATGGAGTTACGGTACAATACGTACTGATGGGCTGGTGGCGTTGCACTGACCACATGCAGCTTTCAGCTACGGTCGCATGCGACCGATCCAGGCCGACCAGCCCATTCGCCTGATGACCGTCGGGAATTTTGTCATTCAGCATTGTGCAGACAAGCAAATTTGCTGCACAGCCCACCACCAAGGTCCAGCTACCTCCCATCGGCCTTTGCCTGCTTCGTTAGCGTTGGCGGCGATATGCCGCGCAACGCCAGGGGGGCGCTTGTTGTTGCTTCTAGTTTCTTTTTCCAACCTGTTTTCCATGTTCTCTGTCCTGGGTAAGGGATCGAATTGAGAGCATGGGTGTAAAGCCTAACCAGGTACACAGGTACTCCCTCCTCCGTACCCAAGCGCGACCATCAAGAGTTTGGGCGGGGACGAAACGAACAGTCGCTTCTATTGGTGGTTGTCCCAGTTAAAGGCTTAGGGTGGTGGTGACTGCTGGCTGATCAGAAATCTTCCGGCAGGCGCAGGCGGATATGCAGACGCAGTGCAGACGCCAGGCCGCCGGAACCCGAGCAGCGACTCTTGACAAGCTGGAGGCGGTGGGAAGTACGTGTAGGAATGCACCCACTAGGTGGTCGCTGCTTCTGCAATCGCAGCCTTTGCCTTCCACCGAAGGAACGGCCTTCCCCGTCTTGCATAGACTGTGGAAGAGAAGGAGAGAGCGATGCAGGTATCTCAGAGGCACCTCGCTGCAGGGCGGGTCGCCCGGGCATTCCCGCCATCTGGCCATCCATCTCAACTGCCCACTGTCCCACGGCCTATGAACAGTCGTGTATACATGTCCACTACTCTAATATACATAGGCAGCACCGGTCGCCTCCTGAACAGGTATGAACACTAATAAAGCATGCCCGGCCAAGATAAGCATTTCCCCGGGAAGCAGAAAAAGTACCTTAACGGCGGTACGCTACCCCTACCTACAACCTACCTACCTAAGGCACTTACCGAGCTCGGGATTGACCCGCCCAACCCCAACTCCCTATAACACCCCACAAGACCTCCCTCTCAGTCTAATAATACGAGTCTCTCACCCTCCTTCTTCTTCCTCGCCTTCCTCCCGAGGTCCTCTCCCCCGCCTTTCTCTTCTTCTCATTTGCGGTTGCTGGTGTCCGACGCTAGGGCGGTTCCGTCACCTTGTCACCTTGTCACCTTCTTCATCTTGTTTCTTATTCACTATTCGTCTCCCGGCCCGTTAGCAGTCATTCCCCAAGCGCCGCCGCTCATATCCCATAATGCCGCCCCAACTATTACCAGCTTCGGCCGCCGCTTTCGCTCCCCGGGCCTCCTCGGTGAACGTCGTGTTGGGTTCCAAGGTCGAGCCATGGCTGACACAAACTCTCAAACGCATCAACAAGATCAAGCGTCCGCTCAACAGCGTGCCCCAACACCAGAGATGTCTGACCGAAACCTTGTCGTCACCACATGCCATCTGGACTCTGGCGTCGCTGATGCTGCCCAAGGCCCCCGAGTCCGAGTTGAGGAAAGACTCCAACCCGCTCATCGAGGCCATATTTAACTATCAGCTCATCCACCTCGAGGCCTACATCGTCCATGTCGACATGGTGCTCCGGAATGAGGTGGCCTACAAGCTGATGCCCGAGACGATCGAGACGCTGATCGAGTATCACAAAGACATCCATTGTGTCAATGCCAATGCCAACACGTACGACTGGTCCGAGAAGGAGCAGCAGTGCAAGAAGCTGCATGAGGATTTTGTGCAAGCCATCAACAAGTTCGTCTTCCGGACCCACGTATCAGCCCTCGAGGGGCTCGAGGAGGATGGCGCGGGGGAGCTGCTCGGAGGGAAGAGCGAGGAAGTGAAGAACAGCATCATGGGTCTGCTCAAGCCCCTGCTTCCTCCGCCACAAAGGATTGTCGACGTCGTCCGCCAGCCGCCACTCCTGCCCAGCTCGCCCGCCGGCGCTGCGATATGGTCCCAACCACCAACAACGTCGTCGATGCCCGCGCCCGTCGAATCGTGGAAGATTTTGCCGTCGAGCACAAACGTTACCTCGAACGTGGCTTCGACCTCTGCCGATACAAGCGCGTCAATCTGGGCTACCATTGGCATGAGCGACGTCCAATTACCGTCTCCTCCGCCCGCCTTCAGCCAGCCGTATTCGTCTGCCGGGCTGTTTTACAGCTCACCAGTTGTGACGGCTCCCATTCCGCACCTTCCTTTGCCGAGCATGCTCGCGCCTCAATGCGGTGTCAGCGTGGGATATAATTCGTTCGGCAGTTGGGACCGGTATCAGGAGTACACGCCCACCATGTGACAATCACCACCCGGCTCCGGAACCAGCTACCCAGTCGTGACGACCGCTCCATGAAGAAGCGCGCGGGCCCAAGACCAACGCTGCTAGTCACGAAACTGGCAGCCGTAAGTTCACCGGGCCGGTATGAAGCGCGGCGGTAGAGCATAGGTCACCCCGTCACACGGACGTCAACCACGTACGCTAAAGGGCATTGGGATGTTTCTTTGACCTTGCATGGGCTTGGAGCGACTCTTGAATCATCCGCATACCTCATTTTCGATGCATATATCCGGGTTGGTTTTCTATCGGTTGTCAAGGATCAGCGAGCGATTGTCGGTTTTTTACCTCTTTTTGCGCTTTTGATTTTCGGGATACCACTGCTATAGCCGCGAGCTCGGTCACAGCCTCTTCATTTCCTATTTCGACACCCTCTTAATGGCCGGATCCTGGGGCGGATATATTGATATGCATTTCACAGCATGGAGGGCGGTTACGGGCGGGTTCTGTTTGTTTTTTTGGCTTAAGAGGAGACGCAGCAATGCAAACCCCCCCCAAACCTCGGCAGAGACCGAGCAGCACTTTCTATTTTCTTTGACCTATATTTTTCTCCCCTTTCCTTTTGGTTATTCGGGGCCTGGTAGGATGGCACACGGCACAGGAGGCTGGCTGGTCTCAAGACATTTTAAACCCCCTACCAGCGTGCCTTCCTCATATCTTCCTCCCTTCACCTTCTTTATTTCCCTTACCATCTTGTCTCATGGATAATGTTTACGGCCTTTACGACGGATATACCCCTTCCTTTTCTGCCCGGCTTACGGCTCCTTCCCCAACCTCTTCTGACAACGAGGGACGGGTTTGTGTTGTTGGCTCAGCTTGATGTTGGGTGACGAACAGCAACCAGTTGGCCGAGGGAATGAAAGGGGCGGATGCGGTACAAGCACATCGCGTGCTGTGAGGTTAATTTTTCGGGACGAAGAGACACTGCATGACTACCCGCCTTTTCTGGGACTGGATCCTCATTTGGGATGCGGACGAATGCGATGTCTTCTCCTCGTTGCGACGAAAAGGCCGATTTACAAAACGATACATATCCATCTAGGCTTTCGGGAGCTTGCGACATAGCTGGGATATGGCCTTGCTTGTCGGAGGCAGACACTGGTTGTCGACAAGAGCAAGGTGGCTGGCTGCTTCCTGGGCTTGGCTGGCTTGGCTGGCTTGGGAGGTGGTAGGGGAAAGGACTCAAAGGGGCCTTTGCGTCCGATGTTCGGTGACCGCGTTTTGGGAAGGGAGACTCGGAACGAGATTACTGCTACGGCAAGCACCACGACTCCGACATTGCCTGCTCAACCCCTTGACGCCATCTTCTAGGCAGGATGGCATCGGTTTTGCATGTGGCGTTCGGAGCTTAGAGGCTGCATGATTCGTAGGTCAGGTCAAGGTCTTCCGGGCTTCCGAGAACCAGGAGGCGGATATCTAGACAATCGGCGAAACAAGCTTGGGAACCCTCAAAGAAGCGGGGTCAAGAAGGAAGGTGAACGGAGAGGAAGCGCGGGTCATTCCACCGCATGTTTCACTGTCGCTTCTCCCGTTCCGTTGACATCTACGATGACACGGAAAGAATATGGGAAAGCGCAAAAGGAACGAAACCGGCTTGGTCCAGCGGTTCTCGGCTTGTTTCTTTCGATCATGAGGCAGGTTGAAGGAGCTGTGCTCCTTACTGCCCTGTCTACGGATCAAAGGATAAAGTTTCACGAGCCGTTTGGGCTTGTCAGGTATGGGATGCTGGACTGAACTGGCAGGGGGTGATAGGAAGAGAAAGGTGTTCCGCCCTGGATGGCGGCTGGATCACAACAATGCATATCACACACTCGCAGGCAGTGTCTTTTGTTAGTTTGTCGAGTATAGTTTCTGATAGTAGTCTTACTCTACTCTCCAACTTACTAGTAGTTAATGCAAAGAACTGCAGAAAAAAAAATGAGAAAGGCAAACCTGTCCTGATTGCCGAAGGATGTGACGGTTGCAGTGGGATTTTAGCCGTTGCTTACTTGCTCAAGCAAGCAAACAAAATTTCTATGTAACGTTTCCTCATGCAACACTGATCATCTTGAAAAGATCAATGTGGTAAATCAAGGTTGGTTATAGTATGCTGCAATAATCAGATCAAGGAGGTTGCTGTTGCACGTTGAAGGAAGGTGGGGTTAATATCACATGTGTGGAATGGGAGCCAGGCTGCACATAGCGGTATAATGGTAAGCGCGACACCCATCTTCCAGGTTTCTGCTTTCCTTTCTTTCTCGTCTATTTTTTCCTCTCGGTCCTGCGGCACGGCACAAGAAAGGTCGGGCATGTTCAGGTGTCAAAGAGGCTGGTTCTGCCATACCGGTCCAGCGTGCCGGGGCGGGAAGGGTGGCCGGGGTGGGTGACTGTACTGTACACACCACCGAGAAGCGGGTGTATGTATTGTACTTGTACATACAGTACTTGTGGCTCCGAGTGGTTCCATACAGTCGGGGTCAGCGGGAAAGTCACTTACTTAGGTAGTTGAAACGAGGGTTAAGGAACACAATCTGTCCTAGGAATGCTTTTGCCATACGTTAGACCTCTTGTTCTGAGCCCCGTGCGTGCAGGTTCAGGGAGTACAGCGTCGGAGGTGGGCTTGACGAAGGCTCGGGCAGGGCATTGGCTGGATTACGGCTGTGCAAGATGAGGTGGGAAATCATGGGATGGATGGAGCGGCTGTTGCCGGGCGGGCGGTCCCCCAGCCAAGGCAAATTACAGGACCTAGGTAACGTATGTAATTGCTGTATTTTACATACTGGACTGGCAACCCTAACCCGGATATACAACCACCTATATAAAAGGAGATGGGAAGATAAATTGTTTGCTCCTTCCAACAAACCATCCGATCTTCACCCAAACAACAAGATTACCGATGATCCAATATCAATCACTTTAGTTTACATTGTCCAGCGGAAGGAACGACCAACAAACCCCGTTCAGAGATCTACTCCGTCTTGAACTTTGCGCAGTATGCATGTCGCTTTGCTTCGCCCCCCTCCCCCCTCCTTGGGCGCAGGCACACCATACGGCATATGTAAGGATTCAATGACTTAGGGTAGGTGAACAGTCACCATTCACCAACACCGCCCTCACATAACAGAGGTTTCTGCAGTTGGGCCACCGAACCAGGCTTTTCAAGTCTTAGCGTAGGACGGGCGGCACCTCTGTTTGCTCGTATGTAATTGCTGTCGTTGGGAGGCACATCCTGATCGGCAATTCCATAGCCTTTTTTCATGTGACTGTTGTTTCTGCCCCGACGGTATAGCCGTCCTGTGTGTGATACATGAGCGCCTTTCCAGAAGTGTTACACAAGGCAGACGGTCATGGTTGTGAAGAAACGGATGCAGCCGCTCAAGGATTGACGGGCTGGGCGAAGCCGCTGACTGGTGCGATGGTCCCTGGGCCCCTATACGTACATACAGTACTTCTTTCCGCGGCATACTAGCCGTAGGTGAGAGCATGTTGGCCTTATTGTGTTGTGGGCTTATGTTGTCAGGTAGTATTCTCAGCACTGGGGATCGGGCAAAGAGCGCCGCAAGCCCGCATGTTTTTCAGATGTATCCGTATAATGTATATACAATACGTTATGTATGTACCGAGTGGTTTGATCCCCTGAATGGAATGCCGGCCAGGATCTAGTGTAACCTCAAAGTCGCCCGCCCACCATTCCTCCGCTCGCTTTGACCCCGTCACCGATGCCCCTTATGGGGAAAATACTCGATGCTGTGGTTCGGAGAACGGCGCGGCAGGGATGTTCACCTCTCCTGTCCCGCACCGTCTTCTTACGGCACAGCCCGATCCCTCCGCGATACTTCGTACTCCATATTTTCCTTCAGGAGAAAACATCGCAAGCTCACCATGCAATGTTTACCCTGCATACTTCCTCGATCCTTCGGGCAAGATCCATGGCCTAGCGTTTAGCTTCCGAGCTGCCCGGATGGCCCCGTCAAGCCGACATTTGTTCTCTGCTTACCAGTCGGGCGCTAACGTCAGTTGGTACCCTACATCTACTCAGCCTTACGCCTAAATTCTGAGGTGCATATCAAGAACTACCTCAGGTAATTGCTGCTACCGTTCCCCTGAGTAGTGCCGCTATGTGAAGTGATACACAACCTGCCCCTGGAGCGCCTGATGCATCTTGTATCCTCATATGTATTAGCCATACTAAGTTTACTAGGATGTCTTTTGCCTGGTCCCTCAGTCAGCCCTGCCAGCACAGGGCATTATTCCAATGACGGATATTAAGAAGTCTGTACAGTTAGCTCTATCAAGCGCAGAAAGAAGACCTTCATTCTGTCTGTATACAGAGTACTATGACCGAGCATAGGCTAAGATCCTTTTGTCTACTGGTTACTACTCGTACTACTAGTAGACTATCTCGCCGCACCCATGAAAAGAAGAGCGTCTTCTTCTCCTTCTTCACAAACCCAGCCGTGTCAGTACCGGTGAACTAGGATGGACTCGGGAGCACAGAGTTGCCCACAACTCTCCCTCCGCCCCCTTTTTGCACATCACCCTTGAACCACTCCCGGAGTAACCATCCTACCCGCCCCGGTGGTCGCACCATTGCCGGGACCGGCACCGCTAGTACCAGCACCACCGCCAGCACCAACAACGCCCGCACCTACCACAGCCTCCTTGGGCTTGGTAATCTCAAAGAACTCGGTCAGGCCCTTGACAACAACATCAACATTCATGTTGATCTGGGGCATCTTGTCGTAGCTGCCCTCCTTCATGATGGCGACGAGCGCCAAAAAGCGGTCGACCTCGCGGAGCATGATGGGGCGGCGGGCGTCGGCAAGGACCATGCCGCTCTCGGCCCACTCGCAGGCGACCTGGTCCTCGAGGGGCTGGCACCAGGGCTCTGCCTCGAGGCGATCGCGCCATTGCTGCGAGCGCGGCCAGCTGCCGTAGACCTCGGTAAAGTCAATAATGACGTCGACGTAGTCGGAGCAAATCTCGTAGCTGGCCATGTCGGCGGGCGTGCTGTCGGTGGCGATGTAGATCTTGGTGTTGACGTCAAACAGGTAGGCTTTTTCGAACCGGCAGGTGCGGCACAGGTTGGTGAGCATGGCCTCAAGCTGGCCCAGCCGCGGGATCAGCTTTTGGATCACTTTACTAAAGGCCTCAAAGATGCTGTGGTTGTAGATGCTGGTCAGGTGAAAGTTGACGGGCGCGTTCTCGATGCCCTGGTCCGAGAGCTCATCCTGGATGCGGATCGTCACGTCGCGCTGGATGTCTAACCTGTAGTCGTCGCTCAGCCCGTCCACCTTGTGAATGAAAACCTCAATGTTGATGTGCGGGTAGCTGCGCTGGAGGTGGAGGATAGTCGTGTTCAGACGTGCGACGGCCTCCAGATAATCGTCTTGCGCGTCAATTACCCATATCAGGGCGCCGATTTCGCCAAAGATGGCGTCCATGTCAAAGGTAAAGTTGGGGTTGTCGAAGATGTCGATCTGCCCGGGAAAATCCCAAACCTGAAACTCCATGAACGAGCTGAATGCATGTCAGCAGGTACTGGCAATCGTCAGGACACCGCATGACATACTTCAAACTATCCTTCTGAATGCGTGCAGTCGACTCGAGGAATAGCGTCTCGCTCGCTGGCAGCTTGTGGAAAACGACGCTGGAGATGGATGACTTTCCGCTCCTATCACGCTGGTTAGTAAGGCACCCCAACAAGAGGCCTGTCATACCCTCACCTCCTTTGTCCCATCAGGAGGAGTCTCGGTTTTCCCTTCGTTTGGGGGGCAATCGCGTCTGGCACTTTGGCGCCATCGTGCTTTTGGAGTCGTTGCCGGTTCTGTTCGTAAACACGATGAAGATTTAGCGCTGCTGGACTGATAAATCGGACTGTGCGAGGACGTGAAGGCCCGCTGGTTGTCTCAGCATGAGAATCGCTGTCGCCCACAGAAGTTGCAGACATGGTGCAAGTAGTGTCCTAGAAAAGCCCCCTTCCCCCGGATGTTGTGATGACAGAGTTCCTACTCTGTCTCAACACCTCAACCGCTCTTGCATGACGGAAGCAGTGAACCTTTCGTGCTGCGTTCTTTCGTTTGCAGTCTGGGAGAGCGTGGGCAAATATAGCGGGAAGTTGGAAGAAGCTCGCCACTTGAGGAGGACGCTCGCATGTGAGAGAGAGATTCAGAGCAGCTGCTACAAGATAGCGAGCACCTGGTTCCTGCCGATCAGAAAGACACGGCAGCATCGAGGGCTGCCAGGTCTCTGTTTCTTCCCCCATTCTCTTCTCTCATTTTGTCCTCGACTACAAGCAGGACGATGTGAAACGGGAGGCGGCGGGAACGGAAGTTGCGGTAAAGGGGACAGGTATATAAGAGGAGCCGGCAGAACCGCCTAGAGTCTTATGGTAGTACGGCGAATTGCAGGTGGCTCAGCATGGCCAACCAAAGCGAGGGCAAGGTCACTCAACCACGGAGCGCGCCCACAGGAAAAATGAAAAATGGACCAAAATCAAGAAGCATGAATAAAAAGAAGAAGGCTAGGAGAACCCGTACTCCTCTGTCATCCACACCGCAACAAGTAAAAGGGCATTGTTGGTCATGCGGCTGGCTGAGCAGGCGTGACAGTTGGTCGATTCGATGATGCGGTGAATGTGCCCAAATCAACCTGTCACGCCCGCTTCCCCAGGCAAGAATATTATGATGGGTTCATAGCGCGCCCGAGGCTAGTCGGAGAAAGGAAGCTCAGAGACCCGGATAGCGCACCCGAACAACGGGATTTCCAACGGCACCTCCCAGAAAACGGCTTTGCGTGTAACTCGGGTGCTGCGATATCACCAGGATCGTGAGACTCAAAGCCCCTCGCTTGCAGGGGTGAGATCCGGGACGAACCATGTTTGTGAACAGGCAACAGAAACGAAGAGAAGTGAAGAGGAAAGAAAAGTCGAGGGCGAAGAGCGAAAAGTGAAAGTGAAAGCGAAGGAAGCAAAGAAGCAAAGTCTAGCTCACACTGACCTCCATGCCCGTGCAACGGCCGCGGCCGTATATTCTACCCGCAGTTGACCAAACTCCCAATCAGCAGCTCTACACTAACTGGCAGGAAGCGATTTCCTCCATACAGGAGGAGAGAGAGGCGTGGAGGCCGGTGTCAAACAAGGCCTTGGGCCAGTCCTCCGAGAATGACAGGGGGCTGATATCGCTCGGTGGGCAAGTAACCAAAAGCCTGGCGAATGAGAAGGAGGTCCTCGGCATTAGCAAACCTCGGGTTAACAGAGGATTGATCGAGATGGATCATTGATGAGAGATAGCGAGGTTGGGAGATCCGATTGACTCACGCTCGGTGTGTATGGAATTCCCCTGATAAGAGAGCTGCCTAAATAATAAGAAGGAAAAACCCGTATCGGACTACTTTGATGATCGTTTAATCGTCTCACTATGTACTCCGTTGCTGGGTGCGTGCAATGAGATGGAACGACGTGTAACGAGAAAACCGGTGTTGAAGACCGGTAGCGAGCCGGTTCTAGTCCGAGCCAATGCTCCCCGCAGGAAACGCTTCGTCGTCAGCCTGGATGGAGAAAAATATGGAATTTTGCGTAGTTGAGGGCCGGTGCGTCGGTTGCTGGCTTTGATTGACCGGACAGGTAAAGTCTATAGAAGGACAAACCCATGTCTAGCAATCTCTATCATTTTGATGATAACGACCGCAAGCCCCCTCTGCGTGGCTTGCCTGGTTGCTCGCTATCTCAGACCGGTGGAAACTCAGGTGAGCTTCACCGAGCGGGGGCGTACCTGAAAAGGCTGAAACCTAGGACGCTGACTAAGCAAACGCCCAAAGGTGCCGCTCCGAAATTCGAAGAAACCCCGCAGTGGAGTAACTGGCATCCCTATGGTGTGGGGCTTGTGGGGGAGCAACGCTTGGCATCAACCCCCTGAACTCCTCAACTTCACTTCACCCACGCATTCTGACGGCGACCATGTACTGCCTCCATATTCCTCCCCCACGACTTAGATACTCTATCTCCGCAACCAACCCTAATTCAATCCTGTCTATCAACTAAACGCAAAAGAGAGAACGGAGTTCACCCCGACACACAATTGTAGAATCTCCTTAAGGAGCCCTGGCCCAGCCTCCTCGTCCCTCGTCGTATTCACCCGCCCCTTACTACTTATTGCCGGACCGGCTGAAGATGCTGGCCACAAAACTCTTCTTTCTTTGACGCGTCTGATTTTGGTGCTGGGGCAAGGACGTCTCCATGTCCTCGTCCTGCATAGGATCTCCTTCTGTTCCCAGGCCAAAAGACGGCCTCACTGGCATCGTGGATAAGCCCTCTCCCGCGCTCCCGGGCGGCGTCAAATCGGGCGTGGGTATTCCTATGCCAGGCAGTGGCCGAAGTATGTTAAATACCTGCGGCTCCTTTGTGCGTTAGGCTACTGGAGATACCCAGGGAGATACCTTCGCCTTAGACAGGAGTCCTTACCTTGACACTCGGCATCCTTTTATTGCTCATCCCCTTAAAGATCACTCTTGACCCACTACCCGTCTTATCATGCCCTTGATGGCTGACCGGCGATGACGCCCGCCTGTCTTGGCGGGATTCATGACGGGAACCCTTCTCCAACTCTTCGATTTCCCCTGCCGCCGTCTTTCCATTGCACGCCAAGTGCTCCTCTTGGGTTGGCACAAATCTCAGAAATCCCCTCGCAGGCCTGACCCCAAGAGCCTCTAGCATATAGTCCTGTATCAGGGCGGCGTTTCTTTTGTTCGTGGTAGGGAGAAGCTGTGATGGTAACGCGAAAATTGACATGACATAGGCCGCTTCGAATGAACCCGCAAAGAACATGCAGGCCCCGTGTTGCAGCGTGATGACGATGGATGAGATTGGGCGCTGATATCGTGCCGAGAGGTGATACGAAAGTCCTGTGATGAATGTGTATTCATCGCTGATCTGCAAATAGTGACACTTCCGTTAGCGCAGATGGGTACGCTAGGAGGCCTTGACGGGCAAGCTGTGCGCACAATCACATTTGTCTTCAATTCGGCCATGACAATTGCATCTCCATGTACCCTCTCCCTCGCCCAGCTGCTCTGGTCTCCTAAGAAGGCTTCCTCAAAGAAGCCAAGGTTGCTCCGTTTCTTGGCTAGTTTTGGCTTTGAGGGTGCCTTGCTGTACCTGGAAACAAAACCATCGGAATCGGCAGGGCTCATCTCGTGCGCAATGAGACTTTCCATAGCAAGATGTGGTGAAGGTCTGGCGCCTCCTGTCTGGGTCTCCCTCTCTTCAAGGGGGAGTTCGGTGCTGGCGAAACGGATCACATTGCTAGAAGTTGCTGGTGAACGTTGGCCAGATACCGTCGACGCCGCCGGTCGAGTCATTGTGGCCCGGTGGTCAAATCTTCAAACGGGTAGGTTTCTAGAGCAGTGATAATATTTCACGATCAGCTTTGTGTAGAGTCGTCATAAAGATTGCTAAGCCTTAAGGAGCTGTGAACTTGGCGAACCTCTGCCGCGGAAAGAAATCTATTGGTATCAGCGAGGACGTTTCCCAGATATGTTGCTTGAACGGCGAAAGAGGATACGCCTTGATGCGCCAGTAGCAGCTGAACCGCTCGGAAGAGAAAAGGAGTGGAACGAGTATAGTCTGATGTGTCAGATCTCTCTTCGAGTGGATGGTGGTGTACCTTAAAGGCCGTTACCGAGACGCGGCAAACAATCAAGACCTGTCAGGAGCAGCTACCCGCACTTGCTAATGTTGTGAGACGTCTTCCACCTTCTTTAATACCGAGCGTGGTAGTTGCGTCTCGATTAGGCACGATATGAACCCTGTCTCCACGAACAACAGGGGCGAACAAAAGATAAGGCAGGAACGGAGGAAAGGGAACAGAAGAAGGTTATTACCTTACCTTGGGTAACCAAGCGCATTAGCACCTGCCTGTATGGGCTGCTTGATGACGGGTGACTCGGAGTGCTCTCTCGCAAGATACTTACCTTACCTAGAAGTGAAGGCGCATCGTCGTGATAAGGTGATGCACGCCATCTACTGCATCGGCTTGCAAAGCGACTTGCAGCCGGGTATCTGAGACTCGCCCATACCAGCACGTTGAACGCGCGGCCGAGGAAACTTGCCGCATTGTGAGACAGATAAACCTACATTGGGACACTGCAGCCGTCAGTTTGCTTCTTGTACTACAGGGCAGCATTACATTACTTGTGTTGCGAACTGTTTCGAGGTGATGACGGCCGAGAAGTGGTCGGAGACGGAACGAGAGAGGCTGGGATTAAACTACCTAGGAAGATACCCACCCGTAGGCTAGAAAGGCACACTGCTAGCTCTTTCATGTGTATCCTCTTAACCGGGTTTGTCGAGAGAAGTGGCATTACCAGGGATCTAGGCAATCCAGGAGCCGTGTCCCACGTAGCGCTGCACGTAGTATTGGTCCAATCAGCAATTTGCGTCGATAACGCTGCAGATGTTTCTAGGTGCCTATATGTGAGTAGATACTCATCATATCATATACGCTGGATAGGCAACAAGGCGGCTCGGTATTTCCCGCAAACGAGCCACGATAAGCTGCCGCTCGAGACGGGACGGATAATGATGGAAGGGCGGAGGTGTGACTTCGGTCGGCAAGCAGGGGCAACCTTAGATGTGGTGTAGTTGCTATTCCAAAACCATTGGGAATATGAAGTGGGAATGCATTCCCAACTTCCCAGAACATGAAGAGACATCCAGAAATAGGGGCGCAGGATAGAAATTAGATAACAAAATCAACACCCTCCTTGACTAATCGCTCGCATTGATAATATCAAGCATCTCCTTCCCCTTGGGCGCCGTCGTAAGATTCTCATAGCCATCCTCGGTAACAAGAATGTCGTCTTCTATCCGAACGCCTCCAACGTCCCAGTACTTTTCCAGTTCCGCCGTGTTGATGTACTTGGCATGCTGCGGGTTGTCGAGGAAGTAGGCCTGAATGTACGGCCGACAGAAATAACTGTGTGTTGTCAATACCCTGCTGGTTCTATCAAACGACGAGAGAAACTAAGGGCTTGGGTGGTGGAAGGCGGAAAGCGAAAAGCGAAGGCGAGAAAGAGAAAGGCAAGGGAGGAGGGGGGAAGGGAAGAGAGAAGCGGAGAAAGCATGCTCACATTCCCGGCTCAATAGTGACCACCATGCCCTTTTCCAGCTTCTGCCCCTTACTCGACGCCGTATCGCCTCCAACGAGGCCGGTTGCCTCGCGGTACATGGCCACCAGCATCTCAGGGCTGAGCCACTCCCGCTTGCCGCGCGGGGTGCGTGCATGCCGTTGATGCCGCCATCTGGCACTACTGCTGCAATCCCAAGGGCTCAGATTTGACACATCCGCGGCCTGCTCCTCCCACTCAGCCGGCTCAGCCAACAGCAGCCTCTCCTTGCCAGAGACATCGTGCACCTCCAGACCGACATGATGGCCCAGACCATGCGGGAAGAACGCAGCCACGGTACCAGTCTTGAAAATCTCCGACGGCGTGCCATTGTGCAAAATCTTGAGCCTCAACAACTCACCCACCGCAACAGCACATGCATGAAGATGCAGAACATGGTACGCCACGCCCGGCCTGACACGCGCAATACATGCATTCTGCATGCGCTCGACGGCGGCGTAGACGGCAGCGGCCTCGGGGGTGAAGCGGCCCGAGACGGGGAAAGTGCGCGTGATGTCGCTGGCGTAGCAGTTCCACTCACACCCGGCGTCAAGCACGACCAGCTGGCGGCCCGCGAGCGGCTGGTCGTTGGCAAAGTAGTGCAGCGTCGCGGCCGCGGGCCCGGAGGCCGCGATCACGGGGTACGCCTGGTGCTTGGCCCCGCGCGACATGCAGAAGCCCCGGAAGAGGGCGTCGAGCTCGCACTCGTTGGTGAGTTTTTTGAGCCGGGTGAGGACTAGTTTGTGCGCGGCGCTCTAGGGCAGGCGGGTGAGTTGGTTGGCTATTTCTGGGGGGAGAGAGCGGAAAGGAGATAGGAGAGGAGAGGGGGATAACTTACGGAGATGGCGTTTGCGCGGCGTATCATGGCGATCTCGTAGTCGGTCTTGATGACTCGCGCGCTGGCCATGGCTGGGGCTAGGCTGACCGAGTCGATGCGAGGAGTAGGCCCTTGGGCACAGCCCAGGTTGGGCGCTTGGTCCGGGTGCAGGATATACAGCGTGCTGCCTGGACTGAGGGTGGAACGCAGGAACCGTTGGAGGCCGGCGATGTGACACACGTCGTCGACGTCCGAGGCGGCCTTGAATTCCTCGGCGGACGGCGCCGTTCCGTAGTAAAGGGCCTTTCTGGGCTCGATGTACGGAATCCACAGGATCAGATGATCGCGCTGAATATCGTACGTAACGGCGCACCCGGGGAAATCCGCCCCCGTGATGTAGAAGAAGCTGAAGCGGTGTCAGAAATGGTTTTTCCACACAGAGCAATCGCAGCAACCCACTATCTTCGCTGGTGAAACTCGGGGCCCATATCCGAGTCCTCATAGAGCAGCTCATGCTGACCGGAAAGGTAGATCAGCCCGCTGTCCACACCCAGTTCTCGCGCCACCTTCTTTGCATGTTGTTTCGCTATGGACAAGGTCAGCGTCCGAGTTCAGACACGGTTGCATGGAAGTGACAGAAAGGTGAGGTGAGTAATGGTAGGACTAGATTCGTACCTGGATATTTTCCCAGATTCTCGTGCAGCCAGCCATGGTTAAGCTGCTCCTTGATCCTAAGTTTCTCCTTTTCTGCCGGCGGTAGCCTTGAAGCTGTTGGTGGTTGGCGAGAAGCAACCTTGAGCTCAATGGACCTGCACGAATCAGCTGTGGATAAGCTGCCGCTTGTCTTTCAAGAGAAATGTCCTCGTGCGCTGAAAAGAGAATTGACCCACAGAGCATCGAACTCGTCGACTAATACCAAGTCGTGATCAACATCCATGTTTTGCGGCTGATTGACTATGTGGTCAGTCCTGCGAGCAATTGGCGTTGTCGACCTGTAGGGGCTCCAAGCAGTTGGAGTCTCGGCGGATTGAGTGATCACGGCTTTGATTGTCTTGTACTCTTGTTAGCATGAGACAACAAGACTACAACCCCGCCTCTTATTTCTCAGCTGCTACGAGGACGACGAGACAGTAAGGATTTTGCTAGAAAAGGGGCCATGCATTGGGCGATGCATTGATCTTATTATACTGGGACTGAGTATGTAGACTTTCCCTCGGCCTCTGTTAGCCTCGATTTGGTCGTCCGTGACGGTTGGAAACTGGAACCTTAGGGTCTTCGTCGGGTGAGGACTACCTAATTCTCGGTGCCACTAACAAGGCGCGGTATTCTAGGAAAGGCGCTATCAAAAGCCGCTCTGATAGCCGTTTTCGCATACGCAGAACTGTACCAAGTACTATACGGCCGTACCTAGGTACTTTACCTTAGCTTCATGGAGGTTTCGTAGGTACTGTACTGTACTGTACATACGGTACTGTCTGTAATCAGGATTCCCCACGCTTCTTGGCTCCTTACCCCAAGGACATCATCTCTTGCGCCCTTTCAATCATTAGCACGCCCTGTTGCCCTGTTGCCTCGTATTCACCTCGCAGAGGTGATTTTACTACATGGAACGAGAGAAAAATTGATGTTGTGACTTGTTCTGTATCTTCGGATCATTGTATTTTCTACTATTTTTCCCTTTTTCTGTTTGTTCTCACCCATCTTGGCTTGTCCGGCATATACGGAGTAGTAGGAGTGCTGGTTCCGGAACATCTCGTGCCCCTGGAAGCGACTTCCCGTCTTATCTCATCATTCCCGTTCCCAACTCCTACATCATACCCGTCGGACCGGCCAAACGAGTGTGACTGGACACTCTAGTACGTGAACAGTCTCCGTGACTGTGAGAAAGCCGATTCTATCCAAGTCGCCGACCGACCAAAGACGTAAGCCACTCCGCTCATTTTGACCATTTTGAGTTTCGAGATGGGTATCAATTGCCAAAGGCACTCCGTTTACTGTCCCAGTTCAGCCTGCACACTCGGACATCGTAAAAATTCCGGCCCAAACGCCCCGGTTCCCTCCAACTGAGCGACCCTCGCGTCTGCCGGCTCCAAAAACCTGGCGCCTAGACGCCGAGAAAAGGGGTATATGAGGTTTTCCACGTATGGAACTGTGAACGGCAACTGGGTAATCCATGCCGCCATCCCACAGGCCATAGGAGGGAATGCCTCTACCGAGAGCCCGAGTGGCTCAGGATATCATCCCAGTCGGGGAAGCTTGCGTCAGTCATCATATCCTCCATGTTACCTCGCTGCTGCTGCTGCTGCTGCTGCTGCTGCTGCTGCTGCTGAGGTTGCGTCATGTGATGGTGCTGATGTTGTTGATGTTGGTGCCTGTGGCTGCCATGCTCCGACTGCATTGCGAGCATGCTGGATGTGTTGTACATATGGGCTGCCGGGTCTAGTCCGTCGTGCTGGCCCTGGCCTAGCCCCTGACCCTGACCTTGATGAATGAGGTACGACGGGATGGGCTCAAGCAGCTGACCTTCGATGCCATCGTACATGGTCGGCATGTAGAATTGCATGCCTGGGGACTGGCCCACTCCAGGCTGGGCCATTTGGCTGCCCGGATGATGGCCGCTGTGGTCCATCAACGGTTGGTTTGGGTAGGCGAAGGGATCTCCCGATGGGAACATCATAGCGTTCAGCTTGTACAGTGAGCTGATTGGCACACCGGGCTGTTGGCCCTGCTGGAAACCTTGAGCATGCCCGTGAACAGCCCCGCCTTGCGCGCTAGAAGGCTCTGGACTGATTCCCGGTACAGTCATGTCCATGGGGAAAAGGTCCTGAAAGTTTGTAAAGCTTTGTTCCGCCAGACTGCCGTGATGGAATCTCACCGTGTCGAAAGACGCGGTCCTCTGAGGAGGGCCTCGCGGTTCTTGCCTGTGTAGCCCGACCTGCGGGCGAACCATCTCGTCCGACCTACGTTGTGGCACCGCGTCCTGCAGGCTAGGACGACTCGGCAATGGCATGGTGCCTGTCTTGGGTCCCTGAGACGGAACTGGAGCTGATCGCTTCTTGGTTGGTGTTGGTCGGGCCGTAGAGTTTTTCAAGCGTTCCGGCAGCTGGTCGAATAGGGGCTAGACACTGTTAGTACCGCAACCTATGCGTAAATTCAGTTTGGTAGGTAGACTTGCCTTAAGAGCGTTTGTAATACGGTCGGCCGCCAGGCTCCGGTCCGCAAGGGTCGCGATGACTTCCCTGCCTGCTCTGGCGTCCGCCAATATCTCAGAAGACCCTGGCTTGTCGGGATTTTCAAGAACATAGAATATGAGCGAAAGGATGGCGAAAAACTCAGTGTACAGAATGAACCAATAGGGTCCAATCAGAACCGCTTGCTTTTGTATTTCGATGCCAATGTGGACGATGTTGCGAGAGACGCTAATTCCTGCGGCTGCGCAATTGTAGTAACGGTCATCTATCTTCTTTCCAGCCGTCAAGCGCGGCGAGATGTAGTGAAGGAACGGCCTGTAGAGCATCATCTGGACATGTGCGTATCCAAACCTCAGGAGTGTCCGGACGCTGTTGAAAGGCCGCGTGTTAGACGTTGAATTCCCATGACTGGTTTGGAAAGAACACATACCGGACAACTTCAATGGGGCCGTCAGGACTCGGCCGCCAGTGAATGGGAAGTTGCTCAGACCATTCTTGAAGTTCTCTTTCGATTTCTTGAATCCGAGAATAGCTGATCATAAAGGTCGCATTTGACCCGCCTTCCTTTGTAACCTCGCCCAACCTCTTGAGCGGGTATATCTCTCTCACTACCCTGGCAAGGATCCCCATGAGCTTGGTGTGCGCATTGAAGGCTTGGAAAAAGGATGGTGTGCCGGGAGGGGGTGTAAGGATGGCGTCTTCCGTGATGTATTCATCGTCGACCTCGGTGGGCAGGGGCTGGTCTATATCCTCATCGTGGAGCAGGAGGGGAAACCCTAAGATGGCTGACACGTAGAAGTCCATTTGACGGATGGTATGGAATGTCCGGCGCCTAGTCTCATCCTCGATTGGTGTGATTTTGGCGTGAGATAGATGGCGATGCAGACCCATCCTCAGACAGGATCGAAGAGCGATACCCAGAAACGCATAGCAGCCGCTGATGTTTGATGTGGCCTGCAGAAATAGTATCATATACAAGAGCCCTTGTAAAGAAGCCATGTCCCGACACTCGGCAACATCTTGAAGGATCAGTCGAGCGGCTGTGTAGTACTTCATGCTAAGACAGTCGTCAGAAAAAAAGGAAAAGAGAGGGCCCAAAAAGTGGCGAAAACACTCACCCTTCTTCCACTGCAGACTTGTACGTCGCTGACGGTTCCGATGACTCCTGTGCAACATTGTATACACAGCCGAGGGCCATGATCGAGTACAGGAGACCTAGAAACCTGTGTTCCTCGTTGCCCCATGATTCTTGAGGGCTCGCGTACAGTCTGTCGACCTTTGCGTAAAAGGAAGGCTGATGCACCACGCGCATAAGACACGTGGCACAGTCCAGAGAGTAATAGCAGAGCGTGCGGACCTTGTCCAAGGGCGGAAGGTCATAGATGTTCGGCAGGACTGGAGCGTCCCATGGCGAGCCGGCGCTCGATCTGGGCGAGTCGAGACTGAACATGCCGGTTGGTAGGGCGGGTCTCGGCAAGAAAGGGATGCGGTACTCGTTAGCCAACAGGCCTTTGAAATGCTCCTTCATGCGTCTAAGGAAGACGGCGCCCGACGAGTTGCCGTAAAAGTCCCATTCCCCGCCTTCCCTGAGCTCGAGCTGGCCAATGCTCTCGATCATGGACATGATTTGCGCATCTTGCTTGTCTTGCTGCTCCTTGGCTGCCTCGGGCTTTGGCTCCATCGCCCGGGCTCTCGCCTGCTCTCTGATGCGGAACTCTTGCTGGACTGCCGGGTCCAGATTTGGGTCGCTGAGGTCAACATCCGGCATGAACTTGCGCAGAAGAGTCTCGGCTCGCTGCAGCTTCGCTTCCAAGGCTTCGATGTACTGCGGGGCTGGATTTCTCCGCCTGTTGGACGGCTTGTCGTACGTGCATTCTACCTATCGGTCAGCAGGACCATGCTGAGAGGACAGGGGGAGAGCCAGAGAACGAGGGGAGGATGAGGGCCCTTACCATAGCTATACACGGAGCAGTGTGTACACGGTTGCTTCCCATCACACTTGATTTTCTTCCGGCGGCATTCATCGCATGCTCTCGTCACCCTGCGGCGTTTCTGCATAGGCATGCTCGGGGCATCCGCAGATTCGCCTTGCGCACCAGAAACATCCTCGAACCCGTCCTTGCTGAAGGCCTGCGCCGAGGACTTGACACTCTCAGACGGCGAGCCATGTTCCTCTGGCGACATGCCCACAGATTCGTCATCGGACATATCGAGCATACCCCCGGTGACAAGGGCCTATGGGATGGTGGCGGGTGAATCTGCCGAGTTGGATGCTCCAGCGCAGGGCGATAGGGTCATTGAGCAACTTCAAGTGGATGACAGTGGCCCGTTTTGTTGCGTGTCAGGATCTCGTGTGCATGTCTTTCCCGGAGCGCGCAGCGTGTCGTTGCAACGTTCTTGTACACATATCTCAACCCGCTGTAGCGGGCCAGTGGTCGTCGGGAAGTATGAGATGGGTCTTGGGTCGCAACAAGCACCGGACTGGAGAAGATGTATTGAGGGTTGAAAACCCAAAACCCCGTGTGGGCGATTCACATATGGCTCCCCAACCCAGGGAGGGGGTGGAGGTAGGGTAGCCTATAGGAGCGCCTGCCTCTCCCGTCGGGGATCGACAATAACGTGTGGAGAGGGTGTTGCAGGGGACACGGCGCAGCGACATATGAGCTGCAGATGCGGCGCGCCTGTGTCTACAGTGTACCTGATGGAGGGTGAGTGTAGTTGTGCCAGTGTGAGGAACCAGCAGGTGTCAGGATATGGCGCGGATTTGTTGTGGACCCTGCTACACTCTGGGTTATCCAGGGCAGTCTTACCTTAGGTGAAAGGGGAGGAAAGTGGGTTTGGGGCGCGAAACGGGATAAGACAGGGTGCGCCGGACCCGACTCGGTACTAGTGTAACACGGACGCTAGAGACGGGCGGCCTCAAGGGTGCCGACGTAATAGCGCATATAGTGTTCAAAATCGCAGCGAGCTTACACTAGGAGCAGAAAAGGGAGACGGGAGGGGGAATAGCAGGAGGATGCGAGTCTCAAACAACCATTTTTCACCGCCAAAAAAAACCTTGGTTATCTGAGTCTGTGAATTCGGGTTCGGAATAGCGCACTAGAATTGTCAAGCCCACCCAGATCCAGTTCACTTTGGCTTTTGGCGGCTCAAGTAGCCGCTGGTGGGTGGTCGATCACCGCCTCTCAGGTTAGGGAAGAGATGGATATGTTGGAACCTTCCCAGTGGAAAAGCTAGCGCTTTACCGGAATCCTACACATTAGGGTGGGCTTGCCAGGCGGCGCCTTGCGGCAGAATCTTCATTTTCCTCGGAGCGGCTCCGAGCTCCGCGTCGGTGGGATCCAACCCAACCACTCGGCTGCGTGACTGCAGGTTGTGTGAGTCCGTATCCGAGCCCGGGATCTCCCAGCCGTGGGCCACTTATGGCGTCTCTTTCGCATCAGCTCTTCGTCAGAGAAGGGCGCCATGTTGACGACTACCACAGTATGTGCCATGCTGCCGGAATTGCGGGGGAAGTGTGTCGGCACCAAATAGCCGTGTGCACCCGCGGGTATTTCAGGAGGGCGGCCCCGAGATGCGCTTTCAAACTATGTATGCAGGGCGCTATCTCAGGGACCGACAGGCATTCTGCTTTGCAGACGTATATGCAACGTAGCAGAAAGGACACGTTCAAGGGACTTGTCATCGGGCCTATCCCAGTCTCGGGGTTTGCGACGCGAAAACGGGAATGGCTCGTCCAAGGATCCAGTTGTGTAATAACAAAGTCTTGGTTGGGATGCTAGATTGGGCCGGTGTGGAGGCGGCAACAAAAACACCCTGGGCCGTGCACTATGTGCGGTGCGGTGGGAGATATTACTGTGGGGTTTCTGTTGGGCCCTTCTTGCAGAAGTGTTTGCCTCGGAAGGAATGAGAAAAAGGGAGCTGCCTCGTACTTGCCGGTATAGAAGCTACATGACTTGAAACTTGATGAGCGCCGGAAAGCAGGATGCCTGGGTAGTTGAAGCGGAATTCAGTGTGCAATAAGGCAACGTGCTTTTCTGATGCTAGAGTCTGAGTAGAAAGTCATCAGCATCCAGGTGCGCGCCCAAGTGTTCTTGTCAACAAACTCTAGGCGTTATCCAAGTGCACGCGGGCTTCTCCTGCCACAGTAGAAGCACGGGAAGCAGAGCGTAGGCTGCATCGGAGGACGAAGATTGGAAGATATTGAAGGTGGAGAAAACCATCGGTTCAGCCTTGGCACGCTAAAGGCCTTGGCCTACGTCACATGCATCTCTGGGCATGCACTACCCCGGCCAAAGCATGGCAGGGACCCCAAAATCAGCCCATGTCTACAGGTTCGCGTCCATTGGGCAGATTTTTCGGTCCTGTGGGATTCGCTCGGCACGCTCAGCTATCGCTCTCATCAGTGAACGGAGGTGTTGTGAGAAGCCCAACAACGTAAAAGGTACGAGGAACTGGATTCCATACAAATGGTATAAACATTAGCAACTGGTCAAGTCTAACTTTAACTACCGATATGTCAGTAGAAGCATCATACCTTAACATCATTGCGTTAGCTAGAGTGGCTGCCGCTCCAAAACAGCCTGAAATCCCCATTGCCGGACATCTTGGCTCACAGCTGAGTGGAGGGGAAAAGCGAAAGAATTCCCGAGACTCATCCGAACCCGAACCTAGTGGATGGCTGCCAACAATGCATGCATTTAGTATTGTAGACTTTTAAGGGTAGGCCCAAGCCTGTCTGTCATAGGGTGTGGAAATTCAAGAACCCACCTTGCAATTCATTTCACAGTCAGCCTTGAATTGCGAATGGAAATTTCAAGAAAAATGAACTAACCCAATTCGGCAGGCAGTAAGCCCCGGGTTAGGGTTATGTATGGTGGCAATCTTACTGCCACACCGACAGTATTCCAGCTTCCAATCCTCCAACACAACTATCACGACTTCAACCACTTCAAATTCGATTTCTTCGTATAAACCCCTCTTCCAATTGCCCTGCCCTGGCCTGTCTCATAGACCAACCCCCTGTTGAAAAAACCTGAAATTCAGGGGCTGGGTTGAAATGCAGAATTTCACAAAATGGCTGAATTTCAGCAATTTGAAAATTTCATTTCCACACCCTAGTCTGTCAGCCTTACCCAGCGAGTGGGAAGGACCTCGGATAGGAAGTCGTCCCGAGAACTCCGAAAATGACAGAAATGGAATAACAAAGTCAACGTTGACTGGGTTGCCGGACTAAAATTCAGGGTCTAGGGCCAAGCTTCTCATAAATGGAGGACGATAATTACATAAACACACACAAAATCTTGTACTACGCTGTATTGCGCCTATCTACGGTGCGGTAATACGGCTGGTAAGATACATACAATGTGTGACGAAGTAATTTCGTATGGACTTGTATACAGTACATTACAGTACACTAACAGCGCCATCATCTCCCCCACCTTCGACTTGCTGCCTGGTCGTTATCCTTTCCCCACGCCTTGAAGCGCCTCAGCCTCGCCGAGCTTCTCGGGTTAACAGCCGCGTCAACTCCGCATCACCATTAACACTTTAAGAAGCTGCAAAGATGGCCAACTCTTTGCTGGCTTTTTTCACGTTGATGGACAATCAAGGCGGGGTGGTGGTAAAAGGTTGGTAATCATCAGAACTGTTTTTCACCGTGTCAAGTTGCAGTGCGCTGGGATCCCCCCCGCGCAAGGCCCCTAGATGAGAGTAAGTGATTGACCGGGAACTTTTGATGAATAGATGCGCCAAAGTTCGACCTCGACCTTTATATCCAGAATTACAAGGGTGAGTGCCATTCACAAGAGGCCCGCTAATCTAATCCTCTCTGACCGCATCCTAAAGGCCGCACCCGGTTCGATCGCCTGTTTCTTATCGGTCGCAGTTCAGTGCCGTTATGTGTCGATGCCTTGAAAGCCGCCATCGCGGAAGCTAAGCGGGGCCGTGACACGCAAAGGTACAAGGAAGCTGTTGAATGCCTACGAATTGCGGCACCTTCGGAGCCGGAGGCCAACCTTGACATGGCATGGCTCGACAACCAAGAGAGAGTCAATCAGATCGAGACAAACCGCTTGTTGACCGAGTTGAAGGGCTACAAGAACAACTTGATCAAGGAGAGCATCAGGGTAAGTTTTTTTCTTTAACATTCCGCAGGAATCCGGAAAACATCGCTGACAGCCCGTGGTCCTGCTACAGATGGGCAATGAAGATCTTGGCAAGCACTATGAGAGTATTGGCGACCTCAACGCCGCTGCCGAGGCATACTCCAAAATGAGGCCAGATGCAAGCACTGTCAAACAATTCATCGACGTGGGCAAACATCTAGTCCGTGTTTCGGTGCAACGGCGCGAATGGGGTATGGTCGGTGCCCACCTCAGCAAGATGGGAGGCGCTCAAAGTGCAGAGGATGAGAAGGCACTGCAACCATACGTCAAAATCGCTCAAGGTATTGCGCTCATCGGACAGGAGAAGTACCTGGCTGCGGCACACAGCTTCTTGGCGGCCGAGCCCACTGCCCCCAGCTCGACATACAGTGACCTTGCCAGTCCGAACGATGTTGCCATCTACGGGGGCCTCCTCGCCCTGGCATTCATGGACCGCACCGATCTCCAAAGCCAAGTGCTCGACAACCCCAGATTCCGAAGCTTCCTAGAACTGGAACCACATATCAGGCGCGCTATCGCACAGTTTGTTAGTGGCAGATACTCTGCGTGCATCGCCATCCTCGAGTCGTATCGGGCAGATTATCTTCTCGATATCTACCTGCAGAAGCACATTCCCCATATCTACGCCCAGATCCGGAGCAAATGCATTGTCCAATACCTAGTCCCGTTCTCGTGCGTCAGCTTAGAGACGATGACCAAAGCCTTCGGTATCCCGGACCAGCCCATCGAGGACGAGCTGGCCGAGATGATCCAGTCAGGCGCCCTTCAAGCCCGCATTAACACCATTGACAAGGTGATTCCATGTCTGACCCCGAGAAATAGTCGTCCGCCACTAACTTTTCTCAAGTACGTCACCACCAAAGCCACTAACTCAAGAGTACAAATGCAAGAGTCAGCGCTCCAAGCGGCCGAAAACTATGAGAGGCAGGCGCTGGATCGGCTTCGGAGAATTGGCCTCGCAGCAGCCGATCTTGAGCTCAAAGGCCCTAAGAAGATGGGGGGACATGGTTTTGCCAACCAGCCCGAATACTTGATGGAGGAGACACTGGGGTGATTACCGAATGGCAGGTTGATGGTATTCTGGTGGGTCTGCTTACAGCTGCATTGCATAGCGGAAAGGACAGAACGGGCTCGGCGTATGGATGCGGTTCGAGCGGTATGGATGGGAAGAGTGGCTCGGTGGCAAAGAAGGTAAAGGCGTACCGGGGCAGAGCACGGCTTTGTTGTGAAAACATCCGAGAACGAAGTCATCACCATCAGTATCAGCGGCTCAAGTCGTTTACAGACATAGAATGGCAACTGGTCTGGTGTTAGAACACGCTCAGTTCTTCAGGTCCGTAGATACGAGCCCAACCGTTGTCCTGCCATCAAGCATTCTTATTCGGGTATCACTAGGTTTGACTGCTCATTCCCTCCATCCACCATCCAGCGTTCATCCCATTAACTGACGGATATCCTCTGGGGGCCAGCGGACCTGAGCGAACGTCAAGCATCTCTTGATGCTTTGCAGGTACTTGCGCGTGACCTCGCTACCCATGATATGACCTCTCTCTCCGTCATGGAGCTTCTCGCGCGCGCTACGCTCATGGATACCCACCATGGTGACACCAATGGGCCACGCCGCCTTGCCAATACTCAAGCGCAGATACCCGTCGTTGGCGTCAACGTAGCGCCGTTCTTGCGCGGCCTTGACGATCTCGACGATCGCCTCGAGAATGCTCTCATCTAGGTCGCCCTGCTCAAACTTGCGAAAGAGCGGCCGCATAGTCTCTTTGCTCGACACCATCGCGTTGCGCGCGGCCTGGCCCGCGAACGTGTCGGCGTTGTTTTCGCGCACCAACGCCGCCTCCCACTCGCGTAGTACCATGTTGAAGTACGACGCCAGCTGCCGGAAAAGGAACCGCCGCGCCTTCTTGTCGGATGCAGGGGGCAGCTTGTCAGGGACCTTCATGTCCTTCTCCTCAACGGGAAGAAGCGTGGTAGCAATCGGCCCGGCCGCTGCCGCCGCCGCCGCTGCCGATCCCAACCTGACCAGCCTGCGGTACCGCCTCAACCGCGCCTCGTGGCCCTCGCCGAACAACACGGCCGGCTCCCCGAGCCCTCTCAGCTTAGCCAGTAGCTCCTCCTCGGGGATATCACCCTGTGCCCCTCCAGCCCCATCCAATTCCGCCCCCTCCTCATCATCGTAATCCTCATCCCTCTTTTGCCCCTGACCGTCGCCGTCCTTGTTCTGCTCAACCAGCTCGGGCAAGCCCAGTCTCTTCCTCCTCGCCCGCTCCTCCTCGGCCTCCTTGGCCTCCCGCCGCCGCCGAAGTTCCTCGGCCAGCCGCCGCTTCTTCTCCTCGCGCGCGCGCGCCTCCTCCGCGGCTTCCTCCTCCCGCTTGCGCTTGGCCGCCGCCTTGGCCGCCCGCTGCTCCTCGAGTGCCTTTTGCTCGGCTAGGTATGCTGCTTCACGCGCCTTTTCGGCTTCGCGCCGAGAGATGTATTTGGGCTGTGTGGTGGATGCGGATGGCGAGGAGGAGGTGGTGGTGGCGCCTTTGGCTTTGGCGATTTCTTTGGACATTAACGAGGCGAAGTCCATTTTCTAGGCGTTCGTTCCCCTTTTTGTACCTCGCGGGGTGGCTTCTGAAAGTCGCTGATCGGTGGTGGGTGGGTTAGTAGACCCGGTAAACTTGTTTGTCGTCGAGGTGGTGTAATACGCTGGTTTGTTCTACTTCGATGTTTTTGAACTTCAATTACAGGTGAGGTTGGAGATGGGTTGGGAAGTTACGGGTCGCTCCGTCAAGTGAGAAAGCGCCAAGGGCCTAACACCATGCACTCTCGCCCAATCAGGGAACGCCTGGCCCACTTTCGCGGTGGGCTGACGGGTCCACGCCCGGGCCAGGCTAGCACCTACACGATACGTACCGTAGCTTCCCTGGCATGTGTTAACGACTCGACATGATTCTCAAGAAACGACCACTGATAATATCAACTTCCCTTTTCAAGTTTTCAACCATCCTGGGCCTGAAGTGGATTCTTTAACTCCGTAGATCCTCCGTGGTGGGCTACACCTGTTTGGCGCCCGTGCCGCCTTCATTGATCCTGTGGCCCACCAAGTTGGCCAAAGACAGCCATGACGGCGGATGTCAGGCGAGATGAGGAGGCGCCGTTCCTCGTGAAGCTCTTTTATCGGACAGGCGCATTCCATAGGTTCGTTCCTGCCTTTACCGGGCCATCATATCAAGATGTTAACACCTCTTCAGACCTGATGAATTCGGCCCGGAGACCCAGCTCCCTTATATCTCCATTTACACCTGGAAGGACTGCTCGCTCAGAGAGTTTTCACACCACCTGCTCGGCGAGTCCCCTCCAGTCCTGCCAGACCCTGCAATCGGCACCCGTCTTTGCTTTCGCCTCATCTACGCCGATACGCGCGCTAGGATCGACCAGCCACCACGCTATGTAGCCAAGGACCTCGGCAGCATAGTGCTGGGTGGCGGAGGGCCGGGTGCGGGACCAGACGAGGGCGTCCCGGAGGGTAGTGTTGATGATGGCGACAGGACACTGGCTGACGGTCGGTTCATGACGGGCGACTTCATCAGCTGCGCCATTCTCCCGCCGGACGAACTCACAGGCGACGTGATGCCGGCGAGCAGCGCTAGGATCGGGCGCGGTGCTGGAGTGGGTGAGGCCAAGGGTGATATGGGCTCCGCGCCGCCGCCACCACAACGAAGCATGGATTATGGGCCGTCCAGTGGGTTTCGTGGTAGGGCGTTTAGAGGAAACTCCCGTGGCTATGGCCGTGGGGGAGGCTACTATGGTAGGGATGAACCTTCCGGGAGAGGGAACGGCCTGCCAGAAGGCGAGTGGAGGAGAGGAGACAGGCTACCAGATCTTCCTCAAGAACGGGGCCGGTGGGGGAGATGAGAACTCCAGGCCTTTCGTGGATCAGGAGACTCACTTATTATGGGGGTTATGCTGGGAATGGTCTTACGAGATCTGCTCTCGCGGACTTATGGGTCCTGTCGATGGCTTACTTCCACCGCCATGGCTATGTAGCGAGAGCTACTGTGGCATGATCAACCTTTACGACGAGGAGGCCGCCGAGTTGGTGGTGCTGGGGAAATTATAATCCACCACCTTAGAACCTGGGTGAAGGCAAGTTGACGTACCCATTTCCGGCTATCCAATCGCAAGCCGCGGGAAAGTCGGAAAACGACATAAAGAGCTCCCGTGCTGGACCCGGCGATGCTTCCTAGCTTATGGGGTTGGTTTTCGCTGAGGATAGCAACAAGCATATCCATCTAAGGAAACGTCAACATATCAGGCCACAATGCTTGGCCAGGAGTTAGTCGCAATGCTAGACACCAGTGCTTCGTAACAGCTTGGTATAAAGGATGAGTGTTGAATGAGCCAAATCTGGGACTCCCGCGCAGCATATGTACAACACTCATCCAACAAAGGGTATCGATCCTTCCCGGTCTTCCCCCTCAACGCTCAGAAATAATATCGCCTCTCCGCTTCGCCCGCAGGTCCCAGAGACCCTAAGAATCAGCCGTCCCAAGTCAGCGAGCCTCGTCCTCCAGCCGCACCACGCTACCCCTGAGGGGGTGATGGCTAAACTTACGTCTGTCTTATAGCCCAAGTACCCGATAATGCTCGGCACCACAAAGACGTACATGACGGTGATCCCCGCCGTCCGCCTCGTCCACCTGAAGTACTTGTAGCGGTTTGTGATCATGCCTGTACGCACGCATGGTTAGAAGCAGGGTCGACGACAATCGGCTCCGGGAATCTGAGTCGCAGAAGTGAAATGAAGCGGTTGGCTTTTTCGAAAAGAAAGGACGTACTCCCCAGGCGGACCAGGGCCGGGTCCATGGCCACCTCTGTAGACGTTGGATTAGCATACACAACAATGGACGTTCCTGCGCATTCCGATTATGAGCATACTGTAGTGTGGTAGTCCAGCCATCTTGGAATGATTTGATGACCGGCTTATTCCTTCGGTTCTGCGGATGGGACTTGTCAAGAGGTTGACGCTACGCTGAATTGGCGCAAGATCCAGATCAACGTGCGATTTCGAAGCTTCATCAATTGAGAGGTGCTTCCCGCCGTCAACCAACCATCTCTTGGCGCCAAGTCTTCGAGCAGTTACGTACTGAGGTCACGTGAAGATAAGCTATTAACGTCATGATACCGGTGCCTTACGGAAAATTACTCTGGTATCTTACCGTTTGCAACGATGATCCTCAGTCTTACAGGTTTGAGCGAGTTTCAATGAACTGATTCATGATGAGATACCTTATAGTGATAGTGATGCATGCGTCTCACATTCAAGGTTTAAACAAGCGAGAAATGGTCGCGTCATGTTGCATATACTGTACTATCTAACTTTCTATGCCTTAGAGTTCTTAGAGTTGTTCAAACTGCACAGTCGGCCACTCGGCCATATACCAATGTGTTTGTAACACTTTTATCTCTTTGATCTCCTTTTGATCGGGCTGGACCGCCTTCCCAGTCTCGCATCCACGTAAATGGTCTAAAGTTCCGGTCAGGAAATCGTCTGCTCTAGATAGGAAAGTCCAGGACCGAATGAACTGAGGTCTTAAACCAGTTCTGCTCCGGGGCTGATCCAGGCTCCTCCGAAAGGCGACAGCCGAGGCACGCTATCCAATATCAAGACCTTCCCCGCTAACACACTGGCACACGCGACCGTCCTCGTTCCCTTATACCGCTCACCGAGTCTCCCAACCTGAATAACTTCAAATAGCAATCTTAAGATTCTCTCTGACAATGACAGGGGAAGCACAAGTCAAGCTCCATTGGTGCGAACCCCTAGCCCTGCAAAGTCCTGTTCACTGTCGCTGACATCATTATCAGGCTCAATGGATCCCGAGCGCAGAGCATACTATGGCTTCTCGAGGAGCTCGAGATTCCTTATGAACTCGATATCCACCACCGTCAGAAGGACATGCTAGCCCCGCCCGAGCTCAGGAAGCTCCATCCACTCGGCAAATCCCCGTTGGTCTCGATCACGACGCCTGGGGCTACGGAGCCGTTTGTTCTCGCAGAAAGCGGCTTCATTGTGCAGTACCTGTGCGACCACTTTCCAAAGGGCAAAGCACTCGTCCCTCAACGCTGGAAAGACGGCCAGGAGAACAAGCTCGGTGGCGAGACGGAGGAGTGGATGCGGTATCAGTACCTGCTGTACTATATCGAGGGCAGTTTCATGTTCACGCTGGTGTTGCACTTCATCCTCAGCGGTAAGCAGGTTCTCACACGGGTCACAGAAGTGTCGCATTCGGGGCCACTGACATGTTGCCGACAGGCCTCAAGGGACCCAACGTTCCGTTCTTTATCCGACCGGTCACCTCATTCATTGCAAACCAAATGATCGCCATGGTCGTTATTCCGAATATGAAGCGGCATTTTGGTATGATGGAGCAGTATCTTGCCAAGTCACCCAAGGGCGGCAAGTACATGTGTGGTCCGAGCCTCACCGGCGCCGACATCTTGCTCGGTTACCCACTCTTAGCTGGGAAGGACGGTGCATTCGACGCCATGGCCACGTGGGAGAAGGGGTCTTTCAAGGAGACGTTCCCGAATCTCCATGCCTACATGGGACGACTCTCGGAAGAAGCCGGTTGGAAGAAATCTGTGGCCAAGATCGAATCGATTGAGGGTAGCTTTTCGATCTTGCCAGCCACCACCAAGCTCTAATGTGCTTGAGGTGGCCCAGGGTTGATTCCTGTTGGCCAATTTGACCTCCTGGTGGCAGATGACAAGTTATTGCTATGTAGGTCCAAAATCTCCCCCGGAAATTGCAGTCCCCACAGGAGGAAATTGCCTGCCCACAGGACATTCTCTCCCCACAATTGTTAGTGCAAATTCATCTTTGCAATTCTCAACTTCAAAACCACACTCAAAAATCATTCAAAACAAATGCATTTCGCAACGTTTTCATCCATATATTCACTCTAACTCGAAGCCCTAACCGCTAACCCTAATCCTAACCGCTAACCCTAACCTAGCCCAGTTTCTTGCGTGTGTCTCGCGTGGAGTGTGTGCAGGTGGGAGCAATAACAGTGGAAAGGTGGCTCGGGGGTGGGTACGTGTCCAGATCGGGAAGAGTGGAGGCGTGGCGTTTTGGACCTCGATAGCAAAAGGCAGATGACACCCAAGCTCAAAAGCTTGATGTTGGAGGGGCGGTCTGACCCAAGCAGCCGGAGGCGCAGGAGGCGGGGCAGCCGGAGCCTCGGACTGCACGAAGTCCTTCATAGAAGCATCCAATTTTTTTGCGGTAAGCTTGTTAAGTGCCAAGCGTTTTGAAACGGGCCAATTGGGCTTCTAGACCCATGACGTCAAAGCACAAGTGACGGAGGGAAAACAATCCATTCAATTGCATTGAAATGGACGCCATGCGAGCTGCAAAGAACACCTGCCTATCAACGCTGGTTGATTCTAGTGTAGGCATCAGCATTCAAATGCGCGATCTTTTAGTGGGAGCCAGAGATCAGGGCGCTCCTCATTGGGGTTGCAGCGCCCCAACGGGGCAGTGTCCATGCCCATGTCCCTGTATCGTATTACCAACAAGGGCCGCGATGGATGACAGGCCTGGCAAGGCTCCAGATCCTCCGAAGCACCCGGCCTCGGGTCGTTGAGAAATGAGGACCCCGTTGCCCGTTATCAGCCTCCTGTCAGCTTACTGCATCATCCAAATCTAAAATACCAAGGATCTCGTCTGATCTCTTTCCGCGGAAACTCTCCGAATGTTTATTGTTTTGGTGATTTCTGGCGAACATCTGCGGCTTCAGGGAAGGAGCGAAAGCTGCAAGCACTAACACCAGCACTTTCAAAGTTCCGAGAACGCCGAAGCTGAATGCTCAAAACACCCTGGAAGCTGCTTGGGGTCTCTTGGTTACTGGTTACATCGAGATTAATAAGCCGATCGACGACGATGAGCTTGGGAGATTCTGGTTGCACCAACAATTTACAATGATCGTGTCTTCAGCATCTACATCTTACTCCAGCATGGCGGAAGCAGTCTCTCTTGCCAGCACTGTACCCCGAGCAGGCGATGCATCTCTCCCGGGAGACCAGCAGCCTTCACCAACTCGATCAGATGGCTCTGAAGATGACGAGTACGAGGTCGATCAAGATGACGCCCAGTCGTTCATGCAGCCAGCAATCAGCCCGTTAGCAACTCTGCTTACATCTCCCACAGTTCCAGCGGCTGACAAGGCTGCGGTTCTGGATGACGAGCCTGACAAGGGCGTTTTTGAAGGGCCGGAAAATGAGCAGTCCGGCCCGCAATTGCCCAAGGGCAATGCTCTCGGCCTTCCTACGGCGACTACACACTCGTCTGGACATGCTTCAACGCCTCAGTATTCCACGGTTCGGCTTCCTGCACCATGGCAGGCCGGGCCGAAGCAATTGGTGATCACTGAACCAGGCCGGCTTAAGCTACCCACGACCCCTGAGACGCAGACCCGGTCGAGACATCAACGTTCATTCTCAGTCGGCGAGAATGCACTGAGGAGGTTGTCAAGGGCCTTGCCCTCCATCTCGATCCCACACGGCCTTATTCTCAGCATCCCCACGCCAAGTTTCTTCTCATCTAGCTCCCTCTCCTCTCACAAAAACGGCCCACCGCCCTCATCTCGAACGCCAGCAGCACCCTTACTTATAGAGTCATCAGCTCTTGAACCCTTTTCTGACCTGGTTACTCCACGAAAGCAGGGAACCTCTGGGTCCCATAAGCTCCGGAAAACGACATCAGACGAATCTCTCCTCTATCACACATTATCTCGAGTTTCCTCTCTAGGGGACGATGAACGCTTCGCCCATGTTCGAGAGCCAGTGAATGTACGAATCAAGGCCATCATGGACAGCTTCGATGGGCCTTCATTCAAGTTCCCACAGATGACGAGTACGCCACTCCCACCCGCCATATCCGGTAGTTAGGTGCTGACCAGGTTAGATCTGCTCAACACCCCTCTGAAGAAATCAGCAACTGAGCCAATGCCGAGATTTGATCGGCCGGGTGCCGTGCTGAGCGGCCAACGCGTTGGCCAAGATCCGCTCGACTCGGTTCTGGACTCACTAACAGGAGACATCGTGATAATGGGAGGATATCGCGGCTCCATTCTGCGATCAGCAAAAGCCCCTCACAGGCAGCTATGGGTTCCCGTCAAGGTTCAGCTGGGGGTTCGCAAGGTCAACCTAGAAGTCGGATTGGATCCCGCCGACGAGGAGAGCATGGAGAAACACATTATTCCTGGCGGAATGCTCCAGAACATCGGCCCAGTTGACATCTCGAGGCGGCTGTTCAAGAAGCTGAGGGATTGCAAAAACGCCCGGACCGGTAAACTGAGAGTTCACGACTATGGCTACGACTGGCGGCTCAGCCCGCACCGTTTATCCCGCAAACTAGTCGAGTTCCTCGAGAAGCTTCCCTCGAACCAACCAAACGTTCCGCAGGAGCAGCGAGGTGCTCTGGTTATCGCCCACAGCTTGGGCGGGCTCATCAGCCGGCACGCGGTGAACCAGCGGCCGGATCTTTTCTCCGGCGTTCTATATGCCGGCGTGCCACAGCGGTGCATTAACATTCTCGGACCGCTCCGCAACGGCGACGCCGTCCTCTTGAATGAGAAGCTTCTCAGTGCGCAGGTTAACTTCTCCCTTCGGACCACGTTTGTCTTCCTCCCCGAGGACGGTTTCTGCTTCGTAGACAAGGTCACAAAGGAAGAGTACAAAGTTGATTTTTACAACGTCGACGACTGGATCAAGTATCGCTGGTGCCCGTGCGTCTCGGGGCCTGCTCTTCCGGCCCTCTCCAGAAGCAACGGGCCCTTTGGCTCCTTTCTCAGCCTATCCGATTCCCTCTCGAGCTTGCCCCTCCGCAGCCGGAGCGGAAGCGGCCAGAACAAGAGAATGTCTATGGCCGCCGAGGGCTTGCACGGCATCACCGCCGCCGCCACCAAAGATAGAAGCCTCGCGCCGCAGATGAACAGCAGCTCCTCCACTTCCCCATCGACTTCCCCCTACTTACGCCTCACCAGCAACAACAACAGCACCTGGAGCAGCGCTGCGGCAAAAACAACAACGGCCACAAAGACGGCCACCGAGGAGGCGGCACGCGCGCGCAACATCGCATACCTGGCGCGGACGCTGGCGGAAACCAAGCGGTTCCGGGCCGAGCTGGCGCACCGCAAGGAGCACCAGGAGGCCAACGCCTACCCGCCGCTGGCCGTCATGTACGCCAAGGACATACCCACGACGTACGCGGCGAGCGTGGCGGGCCGCGAGGGCATCGCGTGCGCCGACGCGTACGACGACCTGCTCTTCCGCAGCGGCGACGGCGTCGTCCTCGCCCGCGAGGCCATGCTCCCCCCGGGTTACGAGCTCGTCCGCGACGGCAGGATTTGCACCGACCGTGGGCATATTACCATGCTGGGCGACTTGGCGGGTGTTGGGAGGGCGCTTGAGGCGCTGGTCAGAGGTCGTAGGAAGGGGATTGGTTTGGGAGTTGGGAGGGGTTAGATTAGGGGATACATACTGGAAGGTTGCCGTTGATTTGGGTTTGGCGTTGGGGTAGGAGTGAGAGAGGGGTTCAGAGTGGGAGAGGCGGTTCAAACTTTCAAGTGGGTGGAGGAGGTTGCAGCGTGCTGTATCGATACCCATCAATCAATCAATAGATTACAGGAATACAACTGACTGAGCTCATCTCACTCGGTGACTCGACACTCGCAGTGCCAGGGGGTAGAGTTCCCCATACTCGTCAGAACTTCATAATCGCGACCTGCCCCACCACTCCGTGGACAGGTCGCGATTATGAAGCCCTGACGAGTACTTCGTACTTTGTTTGCACTACCGTCAATTCCGGGACGAAGACGATCGACTTCCAATTGCAACCTTGACGTCTGCTCTTCCGGTTGATACGCTTTGCGATGCCGATCTAAGATTCGGTCATGCAGCTTGGGCGTTTACACTTGTAGAGTCGGGTGCCCCCCCCCCGATTCGGGTCAGATGCGGGATGGAAGCGCCAAACAAACGAGCTCGGCAAAGGGGAGTCGCCGGCAGGGCTTCTGCATCACCATTGGTCCTCCGTGAGATATGCTTAAGCGCCTGGTGGGGCTGCCGAGATCCGTGCTCGAAGGCACACACATTCCCCACCTTTTCCGTTTCCTTTTTCACATCATCGGCCGGCCAATCCGTGTACTATTTCTAGGTCCTGGTCTGCTGGCTCTCGGAAACGGAAGAGCACTATCACCAAGGGAGGGTAGCGGCAGCGCGATATCGTGCAGGTAGATGCACATTTCCTAGCCTTTGTTGCTACGATCTTTCGCTTGCACGCTTTGCTTAACCGCCCGGCTGTCGACCTGCTGGTTAGCGCACAGCATTGAAGTCGACACTGGTTGAGATGGTACTGGTAAGAATGGACGAGGTATTAGAATGTCCAGATCTGGCCCTTGAGGGCATTCCTTCTCCTCTTACCCTTTTCTTTAGTCAGTGGCTCGTTGTTCTTCAACTCCAGTGTTCTTTCCTCTTTCCTCTTTCCTCTTTTCTTTTTTCCTCCATTTCCTCTTCCGTTTGGTGTTCCCCAAGGTCTCCTTGAGCGAACCCCTATCTCTATTAATCCCGTGTCTCCCTCGGTTCTACTCCTTTCCAAGCAGCGCTTGGTCATCTTCGGTGCTTGTCTCCTACAACGAAACATCAAAAATGGAGAAGAATTCGGGCTCCCATGGCTCCGTATCCGAATTCGAAGCCCAGTCTCAAGACGTCCATCTTCAGTCCAAAATGAAGACCCTCCGCATGGTCGACACCGCGCGGGTAGGCGCAACAGCACTGGCGCTCCTCATGAGCTTGACCGTCCTTGGAGTCTCCGCCAACACACTCCGTGTCTACAATGACACACATGTCTCATCCGATTTCTTGCTGCCGCTCTGGCCAGACGAGTTCAACATCGGCCCCACGGTGGCCCTCGTGATCGGGAGCGCAATTGTTATGGTCGCCCATGTTGTCGGCCTTTTGTTTAGTCAGCTGCGCTTTGTGAGTCTGATCCCCTGCTGGTTCCCCTTTTGTCTCACCACACGCAAAAGCTAACCCTCCTGCAACAGCTCCGTGCGAGGGCTGCAGCTCACACCTCTACCACCATCATCTGCCCCGTCCTCGGTCTTGCCGGCGCCCTTATCTCGGTCATCTTCTTCTATGCTGTCAACGCCTCGGACACGGTCGACACATTCCTCTCGTGGACGTGCCGGTGGCGGGATATCCCCATGTCCCAGCAGCCGTATTGGGGAACGCTCTGCGAGCAGAGCCATGCCGGTTTGGATATGTCCATCGCTCTCATTCCTGTTGAGGTGGTAATCCTGGGGCTAGCTGCGTTTCAGTGGAAGACGGAGAAGTATGTTAACAACTACCTGGGGGCGAGGAAGAGCCCCGCGCTGTCTTGAAATGGGCCAGGAAGGCTCGGGAATGGGTGGGATCTGCCGGTTGGTAATATTGACGGTGCCCGCGGCATCAAGTTGGCCTATACTGGTCTATTTGCCCCGTGGACGATACGTGTTCTCATATCGCATTGATGGCCGATGATAAGGCCGGCCGGTTATCTGTAATATCATATTTATGGCGCAATTTCGAAGTACAGATCGGGATCGAGTCCCACGGGAACATCAAGCCCTGATGATGGTCAAGGAGGCCTTGCGGCTGCATCCTCATGTCCAAATATGAACGAGCTGCAGATGTCTATCTCAACTGCCTATCTGTTAAAGCTTACCCGCGCTTCCCGAGACCGGGATAGAACTTCTTTAAGGACTCCTGCACTAGTTAGCTCACCTCGGTAGGTATGCTATGGCAAAGGATATAGCTAATCGGGTGTCACCTATGTAGGTATCTGATTCAGCTCGGGTTTCGAGCTGAGCATACCAACTTAAGATGGAAGGGGGCTTACGTGACTGTGAGCCAATGGTTACCTGTACCGTATTTCGGTACTTGCAGGCAGCGACAACCGTCTCGCACAATGCCAGTGATGCCTGACGCACCAACCTTCTGTCAGCCCTGAGCCCGGTGCATCCAAGATCTCTACGCCGTTTATTCAGTCGGTACGGTCCGGACTCCAGGGTATTCTATTGAACAGTCAGTCAAAAATCAAGCTACAGATTTCAGTAGCTTCGAAGCATGTCCTCGCTGACTATCGACAGATAAAGGAACACGGCCCGTTCCCTCCCTCCGTCACGAACAGAAGCCCACGTCTTGACATAGTTTCGAGTGGAAGCGCAGGCCGAGGACGCAGACAATCAACCGCATTCATCCTGGCCAACAAGACAATATCTTAAGTTCTGAACAGGTATGACACCGTATTGTTTACTGTTACGAGCCCTAACTAGTAAGTCGCCGCAGGGTCTGTCTGCAACTGCCAAAAGCCATGGTCGCAGGCGAGCACGAGAGCCTTGAGGACCCCCCGCAGCCGAGACTTGGTCCGTCACCGGAACGAGTGAGCGTACCTTCCGGGTCGCTCGAGGCCAAAGATGTCCCATCTTTGGTTTCAGAGATGCGAAAGGAGCTTTGGAGCAACGCTTATAGTCGCCTTGTAGAGGAGGCGCCTGACCTTGTTGATGCGTTTGAGAGAATTTTGTCTGCCCAGCTCCGCGGACTTGAATTGAGCTCCGCGTCCCTCGCATCCCAAACAAACGACATTGATCGTGACGACCCGGAGGAAAGGCTATCGCAGTTTAGGCATATCGCCGAGAGGGGACTTCTAGGACTACGAACACGGAGTCTAGCTGATCATGGTATCAAAGAAGCAAATAAGGCACGATGGCTTGTAAGCGAAATCATCGACAAGGCGCTTGCGGCGGCTCGAGAGCTTGCTACCCCATGGGTTGGCATATACCTTGGTCTAGAGGTACTTCAATATCGCCTGGATCGCTTTTTGAAATCGGACTAATAGTTGCTAGGCGCTATTGGACTCGGGCCTTGTCGATGGAGTTAAACGTCCAGGGCTCGCCCACGATATCTCAAAAACAGAGTTCTACTGGAACCTGCCAGTGCTCTTCCTCAATGAGTACTGGACTCGCCCACTGACCCGAGAGAATCGAAGGGTACAACAGAACAAGGTCATCGAATCATGTGTGACAATCTTGTCGTCCCAGATGATGACGATCTGCTCGTACACCAAATCTCGACAGCCGGATGTCGACTTCTTGCGGAATTTACCTCAAATCTGCAACTGGAAACACGTTAGTGTCGACTTCAGAGGCCACATACAAGACCTACTGGAACATCACTGGTGGTCCATCACCAACCGTTTGGGAAAAAACTATATCCAAGGTCTTACTAATAAGGCGATGTCGAAAGAGATCATGCTTCGTCAGCTGCATTCGGAGAAATTTTCCTTTGTGTGTGCCGCCTGCGGAAACCTCGACTCAGACAATTGGGGGGACAAGTTTTACACAACGTGCATTGTGGATGTACAAAATGGCTCTTACGACTGTCCTGCATGCGAAGTTCTTATCAAAGGGACGACACATTTTGTGAAACCTCTGGATGAGACAGCAAAGCTAACTCTATACGCTCACAAAGATGGCTCCCTAAAGGTTGAATACCATTGGGGTTCCCTTAATACAGAAGACGCCCGACGTTTTGAATTCTTTACTGAAGAAGGTATGTCCGAAACGTCTCTCTTGCTGGCAGCCGCGACGCAGCTTAACCCTCGACGGTCGAAACTTCCCAAATTCCTATACACATTTCTTACTATCGATGTTAGGTCTCCCAAAGCCTTGGCCAGTCATTGGGTATTCACGCATGATGAAGTCGATAACCCTAAGCAGGAGCGCTCAGCTTGTATCACGATGGTTCCGCCATTGTCTTGCAGAACATCGACTTTGCAAACGACCAAGACAAAACCTGCCAACTAGGGTTCTGTATGTGGGCAGCGAACATCGCGAGCCACGCCTTGTTGAAATCCACAATGAAGAAGCCCAGTATACTGCTCTGAGTCATTGCTGGGGTGGAATGCAGCATATCCACCTAACGACCACCCGACAAACATTGGAGGACCGAAGAGAATCCATTCCACTGACTACTCTGCCCCGGACTTTTAGAGACGCTGTCCTCTTGACCAGAATGATCGGTATTGAGTACATCTGGATAGACTCGTTGTGTATCATTCAAGACGACGACGAAGACTGGGCGAGGGAATCCGCACGCATGGCTGAAGTATATCAAAACGCTGCCCTCACAATCTCGGCAGACGGTGCTGCAAATGACTCGGAAGGCTTGTTTGAGCCAAGCAGGAAACGTTCCGTGGAGGAAAGCCGAATACAGGCTAGCCATCCAGCAGATTCGGCTCCGGTTTACGTGCGCAAAACAACCCTCAGACCGTTCGGTGATTACGTACATGTTATAACCCATAGATCTGACCAACCTTTGCGTCGTCGTGGCTGGACTCTCCAGGAGTGGTTGCTGTCAGCGAGGGTTGTGCACTTTTACAACGGACGAGATCCTCTGGGAATGCAACGACCTCCAACTTTGCGAGTGCCAAGTTACCTCTCAATCGCCAACCATATGGGAAGGCCAGCATATTCGGTATCTAGCAAAGGCCGATTACTACCATAAAGGTGATGAGGCCAGAAACCGTGGATACTTTCGATGGCGAGAGGTGGTAGAGGAGTTTTGCCGGAGACAACTCACGAAGCAGACGGACAGGCTCCCGGCACTTTCTGGTGTAGCGGCATTCAGCAAAGCTAATGCTAAGGTAGACTACATTGCCGGACTCTGGAAATCCGAGCTCCCAGACGCATTGGTATGGCGGGCCGTTGGGGCGACCAAGAATACTGGCAATTCCTTCAGTGACAGCAAAGAAATGCTTGACGCAGCACATGGGCGCGAGACAACACGTCACGAGAAATATTATGCCCCATCCTGGTCATGGGCTTCAATCGATGGACCTATTTGTTTTGAAACAATGGCAAGCAGTGAATGGCCCAACAGGTTTCCTATCGAATGCAAGGTCCTCGAACTTTCCAGCACCCTAGCGACGAGCAACCCCTTTGGAGCGCTGAGAATAGCTTCATCAAAATCAGTGGAGGCGTTGGAATGTTGTCCAAGAACGCGATGCGAATGGGCGGTTGGGTCTACAGGGGAGATGAGCCCGAGAGTGACGATTTGAGGTGCCAAATTGATCTATCTATTGATGTCGACGCCTTGATCTCCGAAGTCAGGTCGGCGGATGAGATCCCCTTCATGGCCATCAAGCGGGTGACTGTCAATGTGGATGAAACATACGGCATAGCGCTCGAACCAGTGGACGAAGCAAGCAGCACTTTTACGCGTGTAGGTTTGGTGTTGATAATAGTCAGGACGGGCTCGAAGCCCAATGACGATGCCCGCCACGACCATTCAAGGGAACTGTGGATACTGGAAAAGTTTGGGATTTCGGAACGGACCATTACTATTATATAGATGCTTACTACTAGTAGTACCGAATCGGCACTTGCTCTTTTTTTGTAGTCATGCTCAGGGACGCCGCTTTGACTATTGCTGACTTGAATAGTAAGAGAGAGACAACTAGCGGAACGTCGAGCCCCCGGCCTGCCCCAAGTCCCCCCGATATTACTAAAGAACCTGTGACAGACTACTATGTAGTAAGGTAGCTACGTCAATCGTGTCACGTAGACACAGCTACTGCGATCAGTAGTAACACAAGGTAGTACTCGCCATGATCTCGCCTAGATGTACTGCAATGATACGTAACTGAGGGTAATTTAGGTCTCCCAAGGGCCTTCGGCCGAGTGGCAAGGCATACGGAGACTGCTGACTTAGTAAAACAACAGAATTAGAGGTTATAAAAACCTTCGAGGCGGATCTGATTCGCCACATTCTACTAGAAGAACGAACAGGTAAAGGCAAGTCCTAGCAACCTGTGAAAAGAACATTCTACTAGTATATTTGAGTTGTCAATCTATCTACAGTACCTCCCAGTAGTCGTATCCTCTATGATGCTTGACTAAGTTAGTAGTACCTAGGCGGCTAGAAATTACATCAACCCATATCGGGGTCTGGACGGGGCAGGCAGGAACAAAAATTGAAATACTTTGCTGATAATTGCGCGAGTATAGTCTTCGATCGAGAAGATTGACGAGTGATATGATGTAACGAGTCTGATGAGATGCAAATACATTCGGTTGACCAGACAACCTCAAGTGTGACATGGGAAAAAGAAATGGCATAAAGCTCAGGCGAGAAGGCCACCGTTCTTTGCGGACAGTCCGAAGACTGGACTCGAACTGGTGACCTCCCCGCCCTACGAAACCGTGCATAAAGATTTCATAGTTAGCTGGATATCCACTCGGCCACAGGACCAAGATCCTGTGGTGAGGCTAACTTGCTTTACCTCGGACGAAACGATGGCTATATACCCTTCCACCCTCGTTGCCCCGGGCTACCCCCTCCATGCCACCCAAGCCATGCGCCCCTGCTCCAGCTCCTCCTGCGTCACCAAACTCAAGTCCCAATCCCAACTGCCAGCAACCATACTTCCCTACCTCCAATATCCATCCTCTCCTTTCATCCCATCTACTGCTTCCGACGGGGACGAATCTCATACATACCGTATGTATATGCTGGATCATACATGGGATATAGATCGAATTACGCTTTAAACCCTTTAGCAATCCAACTATGGACCCAAACCTATGCAATCATACACAACATAACGCCAATTGCCCCGGCTTATGTACAGCATTTCTTCATGAAACCGAAAAGGAGAACAATATCGACCCCCCACACAGCCGGCCCCCGCCGAACAGCTACAGATACTTCTTCGGCGACGCCCGTTTCCGCTTGTAAAACATGTACGCCCCCACGAGCAGCGCGTTGCCGCAGAGGACGACGAGGATGAGCTTGGTATGGCCCTGCTTGGTGTGCGTCTTGACGTGGTCGGCCAGGGTCTCGTGCTTATCGCTGACGTGGTACTTGATGGCGTTCTCCGAGTCACGCAGGCGGCCTGAGAGTTCAGACCGCATGGAACGCATCTCGCGCTCAATGTCGCCCAGACGGTGCTCGAGCGCGTCCAACTTGTCGAGCCGCGACAGCATGCCCTTGAGCTCGCCCAGCATGATTGACACCTCCTCGTGCCGCTGCTCACCTGTGCCCAGCCCCTGCGAGTACACCCGGAAGATGTTGGACAGGTGGTGGTTGATGTTCTGAAGGCGGGTGTGCAGGTCCGCGAACTGCGCCTTGGAGCTGGTGATTTGGTCCGCGTCCTGGTCGGGGATCACGTTGTCATAGGGGTCCTCCACCACGGCCTGGCCCCCCCGCCCAAATGTCATTCGCTGCTGCTTGTTGTTGTTGGCGTCACCTCCCGCCGGAGGGGCCGCGGCCGCCGCATCGTGATGGCTTCCGTAGTTCTCGTGGGTATTCTCCGTGAGCACGACCAGCTTGAAGACCTCGAACGAGTCCGGGTTGTCGGCCGAGGCGGCGCTGATGCCAAAGTTGTAACCGCTAGGCAGGCGAATCTTGTCGCTCTCGAAACAGGGGCGCCCGGCGACCTCAACGCTGAACTTGTGTTCGTTGTGACGCAGCTTAATTTGCGTTGGGCGGCCCAGGTTACGGTACGCGAATCTACAGTGGCCAAACGAGAGACTGTCGACGTTGTGGTGCGATTTGAAGTCGATCGTTCCGTCGTTCAGGAAGCCACGCATCATGCCTCCAGACCCGCTGTACTGATCAACCACCAGCGCCAGACCTTCAAACCTGCCAGCCGTGTAGATGCTGCTCGACCCAATGGCGTGCGCACCGTCCCTCACCAGCCATATGTTGAAGTTGCCTCCCGCCCGTTCGGGGCCATTCGCGCGGAACTCAACATCTGCGATCCATGACTGATGCTGAAGCGGCCTGTCCGCCCACACAGCGCCACGTTGGTTCCCTGGCGCTACAGGCGTGAGGATGACCTTGTTGGAAAGCAATTCGGGAAGGTTAGGCCGGCCTTGGAGGGAGAAGTTGGGGATTGACTGTGTCCCCTCGGGGCTTATCCTGAAGATTGGGTGCACATCAGCGTCTCCGGTCGTCCGGTGAGAAGGTGGGACAATGCACGTACCTGCTGCCATAACCGAAACTGAGCTCATTGACGAGATACTGAGCCTGTGCTTGGGCCAAGCCAACCACGAGCGCAGCGAAGCTCGATGGCAGGCGCATTTTCGGCGGGCAGTCTGATGGTTGCCAGTTTGTCAAACGAGGACAATTGGCAAGGATCTCGGCCCAAGAAACAAACGGGAAACACAGAAAAAGAACGAAAGCAAGTATTAGTAGCTAATGAGCGACGGGGTTCCGGTTCTAGTTTCCGGCAGATTGTGACCAAATTGCTTGCTTCGCCGGACCGAACGCGTTGAGGACACTTTGCAGCTCCGTCGCCGGCAGGTTATCCGTATCTGCGGCTGGCCAATGTGGAGAAGAGACCAAACACCAGACCACAATACCGGGAGCTGATGTCTGCTACCTAAAGAGCAGGTGAATAGCTTGTAAATCAGCGAGATTTTGAACAAAACCAGCAAAATTAGAAGCAGTACACTAAGGACCCGTCCGCCGAGGTGTCTGAGAACCAGCTTCTTTTCATTACATTGTGTTCGAGTCTCAGGCTGAAGTGCTGCTAACAAAGAGGTAGGCTAACTGCTAAGTTATCCTCAAACGCAAGGACCCCTGTCCCGAGGTTTGTTGGCGGAAGCTGAGCGTTGGAGACAGGGGTCTTGCACTAGCGCGGTTTCTCCACAAGGTCTGTGAGGAGCATCGTGGCTTGCACTGTCGGTGGCGCGGTGATTGGCCCCTGTGCTGTGGATTCACTGGATTGGCAGTGGCTGACTGCACACATTGCCCCACTAAAAAGCTTCCTGTCCAAAATGCCCAGCACATCCTCAAATGAACTTCATCTGAGCACCCGACTGGTATCGTACACCACTACCTTAGTAATTTCATGGGATGCATCTTGCAGTCTATGGCAGCCCAGAGTCGCCGCAATGGGTGACATATACCCCTCGCTCTTGCAATGCGCGATAGTGGCCGCTGCATTCAAAGTCCTCCTTTTCCCGGCCTAGTGAGCTTCCCCTCGGCTGCCTGCTGACTCCTTTTCCGACGAGGCATAAGTTCCGCACTGACACTGCGCACGACAGCAGATCGACCGACTTCGAAGTCCATCGCAACTGGCTTGCCATCACCCATAGCTTGCCGCTGTGGGAGTGGTACTACGAAAAGACATCAGAATGGACTCTCGACTACCCGCCCTTCTTTGCCTACTTCGAATGGGTTCTGTCGCACGTCGCAAGGCTGGCCGACCCGGCCATGCTCAAGGTGTACAATCTCGAGTACGATAGCTGGCAGACAATATACTTTCAGAGGCTTACCGTCATCATCATGGAGCTCCTCTTAGTCTACGCGCTTCAGATGTACGTGTAGCTGCCATCACCCGGCTTGCGGCGTGCAACGTATACTGTCCAATACTAATGGGCTCCACCCTAGGTTCGTGGACTCGGCGCAAGGGGCATCCAAACGGGCTGCACAAGCGGCTGCCATCTCCATCCTGCTCTCGCCAGGCCTGCTCATCATTGACCACATCCATTTCCAGTACAATGGCTGCATGTACGGCATACTCATCGCGTCACTGGTTCTCGCGCGGCAAAAGTCGTCGCTACTGCTGAGCGGCCTCGTGTTTGCCGCGCTGCTGTGCATGAAGCACATCTATTTGTACCTCGCCCCGGCCTACTTCGTCTTTCTCCTCAGGGCCTACTGTCTCTCGCCGAAGTCGATCTTCCGGATCCAGTTTCTCAATTGCTTGAAGCTGGGTGGCGGGATCGCGGCCATCTTGGGCACAGCCTTTGGTCCATTCGCGCTGAAGGGCCAGATACCGCAAATAATGAGCCGCCTCTTTCCCTTTTCGCGCGGGCTCTGTCATGCCTACTGGGCTCCCAACGTTTGGGCCATGTACTCCTTTGTGGACCGTGTCTTGATTCTCGTGGCGCCGAGGATCGGTCTGCCAGTGAAGGAGGGAGCATTGCAGAGCGTGACGCGCGGCCTCGTCGGGGACACTGCCTTTGCGGTGCTCCCAGACATCACGCCGCGTATGTGCTTTGCCTTGACGCTGGTTTTCCAGGCCATTCCGCTGCTTAAGCTCTTCTTCCAGCCGACGTGGGACAACTTTATCGGGACCGTCACGCTTTGTGGATTCGCCTCGTTCCTGTTTGGCTGGCACGTTCACGAAAAGGCGGTTCTCCTGGTCATCATCCCCTTCAGCCTCATCGCTCTCAAGGACCGGCGACATCTGAGCGCATTCCGACCTCTTGCGGTAGCAGGCCACGTGTCGCTGTTCCCCCTGTTGTTTACTCCGGCAGAGTTTCCCATCAAGACGGTCTACACGGTGTTGTGGCTGATTTTATTTCTTATGGTCTTCGACCGCCTGGCGCCCGCATCGAGCCGGGCCCGATTCTTTCTGTTCGATCGCTTCAGCACGCTCTACATCACCGTCAGTATTCCGCTCATCGTGTACTGCTCGCTGATGCATGGAGTTGTATTTGGAAAGAGCTACGAGTTCCTGCCGTTGATGTTTACTAGCTCGTACTCGGCAATAGGGGTAGTCGGCAGCTGGGTGGGTTTCATGGTCGTTTATTTCACATCATAGCAAAATAGCAACCGACTGCAGTATGTAGACAAATCTGGCCAGAGCGAACTTCACCCATCGCCTTGCAGAACCAGCCATCAGTTGGAGGTTTTGGTTCTGCCTACCTTACCTTGATGTGTTTCTGTCGTTGTCTGATTGGTTGATCCTCGGGTAAGGCGGTAGGACCCACAGACTTTTGCAGCAGGTACTCCGTACGGAGTAACGTATGTACTTCGTACCGGTACCTAACATACAAAAATATTTCTTCAGGGACGGAACACCCACCTTTGCCTCAATCAGACGGACCTAAGCATCGAGTCCAGTATCAAGGCACTATAAACATGGCAGCAACAAAGCAGGGAGTATAGATCAACAAGTATCTTGAAGAGCGCCATCCCGATCGGCAAGTTACCCTTGGACATAGCTTTTTGGGAGTCATCTGCAAGGCTGACAACTGCCCCCTCGAAATCTCTCAGCCTTGTAAATGCCAAGACCCACTTCAGGTTTGAATGTGGCGGTTTCCACAAACAAAAACTCATGTTCCCCTCAAACTTGTCAACACCGCTCACTGCAGACTACGCAAACCGCAAATCACTTGCAGCAGCGAAGCTTTCGCGGAGCTGCAATTGGCTAGCCTGTGCTGCGCAAGCACATAATGAGGAGATAACTAAAAGCCCAAGGCACTCTCGTGTTTTCAGTGAAAGCCCCTGAGGAGCGACTTACACGGATTCTCCCGGCATGTGTATGTACTGTACCAATTACAGAAAGAAGTACAATGGATTGCGCAAGCTCATTCCGTCCTGCGTCAAATACAATGGACCATGTTCTGCTATCTATTGCATTCGAGGTGAAAGGTGCCGGGGAAGGGACAGTCATGCGGGTCAAACAGTGGACTTCCCCCAAGGTAACCGTGTTGATGTCTGCTAGCGCGGTACGGAGGTACTTTGTACTTTCATGTATGCATTGAGGTCAACCGATTGAACGATGCACCGACAGCGCGTGCCCAATGTCGACATTCTTCAGAACGCGGGATGCAGGTCATAATAAGCTCTTCTCAAGATTAATGCATTCCTTTCTTTTTTGCAGCCTGATCCGGAACGGCCCAAGCAACAGCAAGCTCGACGGCCACGGTAAGGTACAGCCAAGGTAGCTCTCTCTGCCGGCGATCTCGAGGAACCTCCCGTGTTGGGGGCTGCGGACCCCTACCCTTGGAAAATAAAATTTGGCCAGGGCTCTTCTGGGCATAAACAATTGATAAAAGGGCCAATTTGCATGCTTCAAGCATCGGTAGATAGCTCTCGTCGAGGCGAGCAGAATGAGTACAAAAACATGGGCAAAGTGTGCATTGGGGGGCAGGTTGGCTGCAGCAATGGCCTCCCGGGGTGGTCGGGGGTGTGGACGAGGAGGAGCCCTTTTCTGGGTCGGAGCTGGGAGCGATCCCGTCCCTGTCTGGCGGGTCCGGGATGCCAGCACGCTGGACCTGGCAGCCAGCCCGTGCTCCCTCCCCATTTGCCGTTACGTTTCCCTTCTCTCCCCTTGTTGAACTTTTTCCTCGTGCTCGCACCCGACTTCCCTTCACTCATTTTCTCCCACCAACATCACACTCTGCAACGCGCCGCCCCGGCCCCAACTCGCGCCCACTGAGCCCAGTCCAAGTTGAAAACCAAGACAATTTAAAGCATCTGCACCACGCGCAGATCATCAGCCTTGCATGACCACTCGGCCAGGTTCCTCTCTCCTCTCTCTCTCCACCTCCACCCAACCCGCCACAGACCGCGCGAGCCGCGGGCCACAACCACCTTGGGCTCCGGGGGCCACCACAACGCGTCTCAATCGCCCGCATAGGCGCGTCTAACACCACTTAGCTTCTCGACTTTGCTGTTCTGATATTTCCCGGTTACGAGGCTGTGATATCAGCCTTGCAGCTGTTTTTGGGTTTTCTTCCTCGCCCGCCCATCGGCATGGTATGCCCGCCAATGCTGCCTCGACCTCTCGCCGCCCCCTGCCCAATGACACTGACCAACCCCGTTCAGGTCCTCTTCAAGCGCAAGCCGGTGCAGTTCCTGCCCGTGCCTGAGATTGAGGATGAGAACCAGGAGGTACGTATTCTCTATGTTATACACACACCTACCCCCATCCAGCCACCAATTGATTGCAGCTGACGCTTTGACGATCCAGGTCTGGCATATTCCCCAGACCGGCGAGGTATTTCTTACATACGAGGACTACTTGAACAGGTATATTTAGTCCTTTTCTTTTCTTGCTTTGCCGTTACGTCCAATGCCGGGGTTCCCGTACTGACGCGCGGCACAGACTCGACTTTTATAAACAGGTATGCTCATCCCGTGTAAGTCGGGCGACTCGGCCTGACAGGTCAATTTTAGAAGCGCTTTATATGCACCATCACTGGCCACTCCGGCCTCACCTTCTTTGATGCGCTCGACAGCGAGGTGAGGAACCCACCCCCGGTCGTACTTGCTGAAATCAGGAATGCTGATGACCAGCCACTACCCAGCTCGCCGGCGCTGCCGAAGTAGACCAGGCATTTCCCGAGGCACTCAAAGGCCCCATCCTCCGTCGCGTCCAGTTTCGGACCGTGTCCCGCATCGACACCCTCGTCGACCAGATCTATGAAGAGTTCAAGAATGACTACTACCCCGGCGAGGCCGTTACCGTCCACATCCTGGGCGGCGAGAGACTACACGGCGTGGTGCGGGATAAGACGCGCTTCGGCAGCAAGGTCCTTCCAGACGGCACTGTCACACCGCCCTTCTCGCGCTACTTTGTCAGTTTGGATCAGCGTCCCGACGAGGAGGCCGTGGTGGATGACGCCCACATATTCCGCGACCGCAAGGTCTTCACCAAGTCGGTACTACGGTCCTTCATCAAGAAGACGGTAACGAGGGAGGCCTGGAATGGCGCCCCGTGGTTGGTCAAGCATGACGTTGCCGAAAAGTATCACATTGACACACGCGTACCGCCCCATCTGCGCTACGACAATAAGCTTTTGGAGCGGAAGCAGATGCAGGCTCAGAAGAAGCTGTCGCAGCCAGACCCGAATCCACCATCGGGGCCCTTCAGCCCCACCGGTCCGGTCCGGCTGCCGGAGCTGAAGCCCGCGCCCAAAAGCCACAAGTCCAAGGCGCAACAAGCCCTGCAAGCCCAGCAACATGGCTCCATCAAGGGCAAGCATAGCACGTTTGGAGGGCACGAACCGGGCCAATTTGTTCACCTGCCGCTCCCAGGAAACCCCTTTCAGTTCCCAATGTCCTTCCGCGGCCCAATGCCCCCGCCAATCCTCCCACAGCGGGAGCCGTCGCCGCCCCCGCCGCCGCCACCCCCGAAGTACCCCATTGAAGACTTGCAGTTGGAGCCCCGGGGGAAAGTCCGGCCGTTGCTCAACTACATGTGCAGTGACCCGCCAGTTAACGTCATAGCCGAGGGCAAGTCCCCCTTGGGCGACAAGATCTTGATGAAGTCAATAGGACCGCTACTCGAGACGTGGGACACGCTAAACGTCTACTGCGAAATTTTCAAACTGGACTCGTTCACTTTTGACGACTATGTAGAAGCTATGCTGGTTGCCTCTGATACGAACCCCGTCCAGCTCTTTGACGAGATACACTGCGCGGTTCTCAAAATACTCGTCAGTTCCGAGTCGGAAGGGGGTAAGGTTCAGATCCAGCTGCCAGAGCTGGAAGATGAAGAGGAGGACGACGAGGAAGAGCAGGATGAGGATGCGGAACAAGAAGACGAGACCAACGTGCCTACGCCTGAACCGGAACCCCAACCGTCGGGCCGCGCTACCAGGAGTAGCATGGCCAAGTTGGAGGCGGAACGATTGGCAGCGGAGGCTGCTGCCGCCGAGAAAGAACAGCAAGAGGCTGAGGACGCACCGAAACACCGCGCTGAGGAAGTACTCCGGGGCTACGACTGGATTGAACACCTTAAGAAGCGCGATTTCAAGGACGGTGGCTGGCAGCTGATCATGGTCGGGCTCTTGCACCAGTTATCGAAAAAGGAGCGGCTACACGCCAGCTGCGAGGAGCTTTTACAGCAACTGGTTCCGACCGACATCGAGCCCAGCCAGGAGACGGTACGCCAAAGATATGCCGCCCTCGATGTCAACTACCGCGTCCAGGCGCTGCAAATCATCTGCATGCTCACGGCTGAGACCAAGGCCATCCGCGGCTACATGGAGGATTGCAGCGAGCAGATGACAGCGTATAGGAAAGAAAAGATTGAATGGCAGAGGAAGCGGAAACAACTGTGGGTGATACGTTTCATCTTCCGTTCTACCATGTAAGACTAACTCGCTGTCAGAATCGAGGAGCTGAAGGGTCTTAATGACCAACGCAAAATCCTCTTGCCGGACAACTTACCCCCAAGCCCGCCTCTGGAGCCAGTGAAAGTGAACGGGGATGTCAAGATGTCAGACGTTGAGGATGTGCCGGCAAACACGTCGGAAGAAGTCCCGGACACAGACGATGACATGCCAGCCAGGAAACTCCGGCGGGGCAACGATCGTGCGGCCGAACGCAAACGCAAGGCTGAAAAAGAGCAAGAAAGAAAGGAGAAGGCCGAGGCGGCGGCCAAGGTGCCGAAGCAATCGAAACAGTTCCAACGAGTGCTCAAGGACATCCAAAAGAAGGAGGACGAAATTGCCGAGTGCGAGCGCGAAATCGCCGTCATCGACAACGATCTCCGTGAGGCCGACTGCCCGCGCACTCGCGTGCTGGGCAAGGATCGCTTCTGGAACAGGTATTATTGGTTCGAGCGCAACGGCATGCCCTACGGCGGGCTTCCCAACAGCTCAACCGCCGAGGCCGGCTACGCTAATGGGTGCATCTGGGTGCAAGGCCCGGACGAACTGGAACGCGAGGGCTACATCGATATGGCCCCCGAGTATCAGGACGAGTACAGGGCCAAGTTTGACATGACGGTTCCCGAGAGGAAGAAGCTTGAGGAGGGCGACACCAGCGTGTACAATGCCTGCCAGTGGGGTTATTACGCCGATCCGAAGGACTTAGATGCCCTCATAAACTGGCTTGACCCGCGAGGGTTCAATGAGCTGAAGCTGAGGAAGGAGCTGGTCAACTACCGGGATAAGATCATCAAGAACATGGAAAACCGGAAGGCATACCTTGGCATACCGAATGACGAGAAGAAGGTGGAAGACGGGAAGGAGAAGGAGGCGGAGCGGGAGCAGGAAGTGGTGGCTGTGGCCGCGCCTGTGGGTGGAAGCAACAAACGCATGAGTACCCGGGGCAGAAGCGCCGCGGCAACGGCGACCACCACTGAGCAGGACCACCCACCAGCCCCTGCGTATCGGTGTATGAAATGGCAAAACACAATGGCACTGGACGAGATTGGGCACCTACACAGCATGGAACCGCCCCCGGCGAAGTCGAAAAAGCCGACAAAGAAAAAGGAGGTAGTCGCGGCTGTGGTGGCTGCTGCCTCGGCATCGGCCCCTGCCGAACCGGACATGATGGTCACCAGGGGAAAGAAGGGGAGGCAGAATGCGGCCAGGTAGTTGCTAGCTCTATCTGGTTTGCCCATGTCTATCTAGCGAGTTATAGCTGTCTATTTGTCTTGTCGTGGGCATGCTGCATGTCTGGGAAGGGGATGGGGGAATAAACAAAAGGAGGGAAATAACAATGGCTTTGCTTTCGCTCCTGCTGCTTGCTCTACGAGTCTTGGTAACTTTGCCGGTGTTTAGGCGGCCAAGCAGCTAAGACGCTTTTCATGGGAAACGGATGTGTGGCTTCCGCTAAACCCAAACTCTGAATTTCATCATCCCCTCTGCGTCGGCCTTTGCCCTTCTGGTTCTCCAACTTAAGAGGGCCCATGTCATCTGTGGGCGCTTGGAAGCAGCTGGTTTGATCTCGCTGTCTTATGCTATGGGGGTTGCTAGGGACAATATTTACTGCAAGGTGGTTGAGGGTGTTGAACTGCAATTACATACTTACATGGGTACACTTACATACAAGCGGCTTCGCGTTCAAATGCGCAGCGTACATACAGTACAGGAGGGGGTGGATGATGTGGTCTGGACGGCATATGCAATGCAATACGTTGAAAAGCTGGCGAGAACAGAAGGAGAGTTTATCAATGTGTCAAGAAGGTACCATACCTTAGACCTTGATAAATCCAAACCATTGCATTAATTATTGCAGCATGTCAAACAAGGTCAGTGGGTGATAATGCTATGGTGTAAGGTGTGTACAGTACTGTACCTTACGCTGCAAATTAATCTCGTACTCTGTATGCATAAGATGTATCTGTGTAATTACATACAAAACAGAACCCCAGTTTCATATAACTTACCGTGTTTTCCAGTTCCCACTTTGCGCTTTCCAACACCGTTCGATATCATCTGCCTCAATCTACAAGTACTAGCGTAGACTTTGTTTTAGTCTGAATCCATACTCACTCTCTGCGACTTCGACATGGCTTGGATCCTTCTAGCAGCGCTACACCTGCTATGGCTTTACGCGCAAGGGTCCTCTGCGTGGAATCACACGGACATCAGTAATTATTGGCTGCGGAGTGAGATTGGAGAGCGGCTCCTGGTGGCTTGTGAGTGAATATGGATGTTTACTCCCTCCGTGACTGGCACACAAGGCATTGTGGTGTGTGCAGTGCATGTGAAGCTGACTGCGGTGCAGACGTCAAGGCAAGTACTACCAGTAACTCGACACATCCGTTGGGATTGCTGTCCCCATGTAGCAAGAGCGACTAATTCCATTCAATTATCCTGGTGGGACATGTAGCCAGAAGAGTAAGTCATGCACCTAGGTACCCACCTTCCTGAGTTATTGACCCAACGCATCTAACATTGGGTTTCCCAAGACCTGCCAGTGCAGCTTTAGAGGAGGAATGGCTCGCGGCGGTTGACCAAGCTCCAGGGCCTGATCCGCTCATCAGTATTGACTGCTCCCAGCCCGACTCTCGGGCCGGTTGCCTTGGGGCCGAGTATCGCGGTTATCCTTCCATCTACCTTGAGGAGCTGGACCACCCCACGTTCTGGTACCAGGGCCCGCGGAGGGCTGGAGCGTAGGTTCATCCACCAACCCCATAGAGCGCGCCACAAAGCTCTAATGATTTTTCGTTTTCAGCCTGTTGCATTGGATGGCGAGGCTAGCGCGTCCCCTCGTCCCGGAGACCCTCGACGCCGACGCCCTTGCCAAGTTCAAGACGGCTGACGAGACGGTTTTTGTCGCCTACCTGGGCGAAGACACCGCTGCCGCCGCCGTGTTTGCTGATATCGCATTTCGATATCGTGAGGAGTTCAGCTTCGGTACCGTGACAGACCCCGAAGTGATCAGGGCCCAGGGGCTGGAACCACCCGCAGTCGTGTGCTACAAGCTCGTGGACGGTGACACAGTCAGCTTGAACGAGATCAAGGGGCCTGAGGAGCTAGATGCTTGGTAGGTTCTCCGGTCTTGACTTGCAGAGCTTGCAGAAGTAGGACGCTAAGTACGACACAGGATAAAGGAGGCATCAAGGCCCGTCTTGAGTGAGCTCACAGTCCTGAATCACCAGAGACTTCTTGACGTGAGTACTAAGTTGCGTCCCTGCGCTGCGGACCTAGACTAAGTGGCTACAGCGCGGATCTCCGATGGTTTATGTCTTTGCCCCTACCGAGCGCGAACGACAGGCGTTGCGGAAGGTGCTGTACAAGTTCGCAAAGAACCACTATGATTCCCTGACCTCCGCTACGGTGGACCCATTCGTATTTCCGGACCTGATGGCCCAGCTCGGCCTTGAGCCTGGCGTTTTCCCGGCTGGCGCGGTGCACCAACTGTCCAAGGACCGCATCTATCACTATCCCAAGGGAAGGTCTCTGAGCGCAAGCGCTCTTCAAGAGTGGGGCTTGGACGTCTACCAAGGCCGCATCAAGCCCTGGACCCCTCTGGGTGTCACCACCACGTACGAGAAAGCTGAAGCCACTCGAACAGCGACCCGCAGAGTGTCGATCAAAAACATCCCAGAAGTCAAGATCAGGGTTGCTGGCCGTGATGAACTCTGAAAGTTCATATTATCTTTGAGGGGGGGATGTTCCGGGAGGCGGATTCACAGTATTCACTCATATCTCGGCTACAGAACCTCGTCTTTCCGCCTTAAGCACACCTCCAGTCCTCTACTCCTTAGCTCGCGCCCAATCGCCTCCTCCATAACCTTCACGCGCCTTCTACACCACCAATACTGCTCTCCCGGCAACAAAATGCGTACGACACGATATATGTGAAAGAGCACTACCAAGATCCGCGAGTCTCCACTGGAAATCAGCGCCAGCGGCGGCCCAAAACACATCATGGGAAACGTCGCCACATAACGCACCGTGTCGCTTGGCCTTAAAGGTGGCTCACGGCTGCCGGTGGTACTGTTCCACGTTGCCCTGGAAGCTGGGCAACCACTGGACGTGTGATCCAGGACGAAAGCCATGGCGATAGCAAGTCGTGCTGCGATGCGCTTGTAAGCGGCGCGCGCAAGAGCCTCGTCGTGCGTTCCGGCACTTCGGATATATTCCTCGCCTTCCTTGAAGCTCTGCCACAAGGTCGTAACCTTGAAGGGTGGAGCATTGGACGATGGAAGACTGGAAACTATGCCGTCTAGATATGCATTGCTGCGGGAGTTGGAGCCGGAGCTTAGGGCCGATGCCGCGGGCGGGAATGGCGACGCTGGGCTCTGCGACCGCTGGCTCGAGGGACAGGGCGACTCAGAACCAACGAAGGCGTTTGGCCCACCGTGATAACGCGAGTTGTCGTAGAGGTCCATAAACGCCCGCAGAAAGCGCTGCCAGTTCAGCCCGCGGGCCTCAACTATATCTTCGAGGGCCATACATGGCCCAAGCACCCCAACCCGCATGAAAAGACTCTGAGTGGTCTGGAAAAGCGGCCAAGCCATGAAAAAGATTTGGCGGACACCGGTTGAGAGCAAATAGAGACGGTCGCTCGACAAGTCCAGGGGCTGGTGTTGCCGCTGGGTCCCACTCTGGTCTTCCATGAAACTGAGGTCGCACCACATGAGGAACTGGATAATGTTGGCCGTGCCAAGTAGAGCATCACAGTTCTCTGCAGTGATGGGGCGTGACAAAGTCAAGCGGTAGTCGTGGAGCGCCTTATCCAAGAGAGCATACTTGGCTCGACGGTACACGGGATTCTCGGGAACAAGATAATCGAGATGCGCCGCAGCAAGCGAGAGCATTGCATTTACGAGATACGTATGCTGTCTGGACTACATTGGGCTAATCTTCAGTTCTGTATTGACCAGCCGGGTTCCTGCTTTGCATACAGGGAGAGCCCAGGGGATGGTGGCTGCCGTACCTGGAAAGCGAGCTGCAGCATATGAGGCCACAGCTTCTCAAATGACAGGGTGGGAATAGTGAACCTCTCAAAATGGTGCAGGAGTTCCATGTGCAGCATGTTGATGGGTCCGCACTCGGGTTCAGACAGAGGGCACCAGGACTCCTCACGCTGCGGGGATGGTGTCGACATCTGTGACCGGTCCTCTAGCCGGTTGGGCGATGTCGTTATCCGGCGTAGGCATGTCTCCTTTCGCTTTACGCAGTTGCCGCATGGCTCGTTCTCGTCACACTAGACATATGCCGTTGTCAGCCCTTGAATTGATACCGTCCTCCTGTTCCGGACTGCTCTTTCAGGGGTAACACAACAGCAGCATAAAAGCAATGCTTGCACCATGCCGGGATCTCTCACCTTGACTTTGCGTTTCTTACATCTGATACATCCTCGTCGTGATTTCTAGGGCCCCCCAGGGGGTTAGCACGTACTACTCGGTATTCCAATATCCGATCACCTCCCCTGATACTGGACAAACATACGCGATGCGGCCGCTTCTTCCGGCCATCTTCAGGTCCCACGACCTTTAGCTCTGGCAAACCTCCTCCATTGCTAGGAATAAGGAACGTGTTTGTGAAGGAAGCGACTTTCAGAAGGGTCATTGTGAGTCAAGAGGGGGAAAGGGAACGGTTGTTTTCGTCTGCCTACCACTCAACCTGAGTGAAACAAGACTGACGGGCGGATGGGAGGGATGGTAATATTTCCAACCTTGGAAAGCGAACAGGGAATCGAAGCCAAAACTATTTTATATCAACATTGTCGCGCCCCTTCCTTGAACTGGAACTGAGTCACATCAGTACCAAGAGAAGCAGCCCATTGAATACGATGCCCGGCAAATACGTCAGCAGTTTCTCGCTCTCTTCGTCTCCCGACTTTTCCAGTCACCAGAAGCAGTACGAATGGTTTGCAAATGGCGGACTTCTCGTTCTGTTGCCGGAGGTCGGCGTTGCCGTTGGCGTTTGCAGGACCAAATAAACGGCAGAACCGCCCAAGCCCTCCAGTCGTATGACTCGCATCGCCCAAAGCGGAATGCGAGTGTGAGGAAGCGGCCGTCTTGGCGACGCACGCGCAGCAGCCGGCGATTGGTACTCGAGGGGTGATTGTTCAGCGTCAAGCGCCAAGTATGGTAAATTCGGTTCTTGACTACAAGCATTGCTTGAAGAAAGACGTGGCAGGTAAAGAGGTACTGCCAGTGTCCCGGTCAGGCTCTCCGATGCTCCTGGGATATTGATGGAGTCAAGGTAAGGAGTCGTGTCCGTAAATTCCTACATCATTATGTCATGAGAACCCGTCTCTATCTCGCGGGAGTCTATCTATCTATATCTCTATGACCTATTCAATCCCAAACCAACCCCCTTTCCCATTGTATCCAACAGCGCTCCGAAAGAAGCAAACACGACGATCACGAAGAATACTCTCTCTGAGCCGGCCATCGTCCAGCGATGCTTGTCTTCTCCCTCATCTCCTTTCCATGCCCAGCCACTGGCCCCTCATCCTCGCTCAAAACCCCTCGACTCTCACTGACCGGCAGAGCCCTTCCGCCACCCGACACTGCGTCTCCATGCTGCGCCTGCACCAGTCTCTCAGACAGCGCCGCGGCCTCGGCAGCATACCGACACGATTTCCTGATTCTGGCACCGTACCAGTAGAACAGCAGGGGGCAGGGCACGCACGCCAGCGCCAGAAACGCCGGCACGGTGCTGGCCCAGTGGATGCCGAGGTCGCGGTACATGTAGGTGGTGAAGAGCGGGAACGCGGCGCCGAACAGGGAGCGGAGCACCGAGTTGGCGGCCAGCACGGACGCCGCATACACGGTGTAGCTGTCCATCATATAGGTCAGCAGCGACAGGAACACGGCGACCAGCCCCGCCGCGAAGAATGCCGAAGCAATGATGGGCACGCTCCAGTGCACCTCGGGCCCGTTGGTCCACGCGAACCAGAACAGCCCCGCGGGGAGGAGCACGGAGCCGACGATGGCGGGCGGGAGCCTTGCCTCGGGCGGGGCCACCCCGCCGGGGCTGGTCTCGGCGACGCGCACGTACCGCCGGGAGTTGTCGACGACGATGCACCCCACGGCGCAGACCATGCCGACGGCCACGCCGACAAAGGCCAGCCCGCCAATGCCCGCGCTCCACCCCCGATTGAGCTGGAACACGATGGGGAACGCGGCGAAGAGCATGTACAGCGTCCCGTAGACGATGGCCAAGTAGATGGACGTCAGGAAGACGATGGGCTCGCGGAAGAGGAGCACCCAGGGCCGGGAGAGCGTGGTTTTGATCTGTTGAGACCTGGGTTGTCCGCTCGTGGCGAGGTCCAGCTTGGAGATGTACGTCTTGCCCGTCATTTTGGAAAGCCGGGCGGCCCGCCGCCGCAGCAATACCGGGGCGTACGTCTCCGGGACGTACAACGCGCAGGCGATCCACACGACGCCCGTGAATATGGCCATGAGACCTTCGATCCAACGCCAGCCTTTGGCTTCGCCCTGTGGAGTGGGTGTGTTAGAGGATGTTTTGTTTTGAGGGGACTTTTTTGTCTATGACGACGTACCAGGAAACCGCCTACGATGGGCCCGATGGAGGGACCGAGGAATGGTGCCATGGCAAAGGCGCTTGCCGCAATTCCCAGTTCTGGAAAGGTTTGGTCAGCTTACTTCCAATCTCGAAACCCAAAGAAATGAGCGAGAGGCGCATATACCTCTCCCTTCAAACATGTCGGCAATGACGCCGCCGGAGTTGGTCAGCGGCGAGGCTCCGAAGGAGCCGGCGAAGAACCGCAGGATGATAAGCGTCTCGATGTTCTGGGCTCCAGCGGCACCGGCGTTGAAGGCCGTCAGGGCCATGTAAGTGATTAAGAAGATGATTTGTCTCCCGTAAAATTCTGTTCCGCACATAAGCTACTAATCAGCTCCCTTGTCCTGAAACCCCTGAACCGTCTCTTCAGGAGAGACGGCTTACCGCTAAGAGGCGCCCAAAGCAGTGGCCCTATGGCAAACCCAAGCACGAAAAGAGAGATACCAAGAATAGCCACCGTAGTCGACACTCCAAAGTATCGGACAATCTCGAAAACGCCGCCCGAATATGCCGTGCTCACGAAGGCCACCGCCAGGGTGGCAACAGCCAGCAACATGGTGATGGTCCATTTCTTGGCCTGCGGGAACTGCCGAGGGTTGCTCGCATCATCGGGTAAAAAGTCAACGACATAGGGCGACTCGGGTGTGCCTTGGCCGGGGTAGTCGTAGTAGAGCACGTCGTCGGTGACGCCGGCCGGGTTGAGGACCAGAAACCAATGCGGGACGCTGTTCCGAGGTTGTTGGAACTCGACATCGACAGGGTCTTCCTTGGCCGTCGTGGAGGAGGATGAGGACTGAGGGTCGGGCATGGTTAAACGCGGAACAGCTTTCGGATCAGTCAGGGAACGAAGAAAGGAAATTGCGCTTTATCTGACGATCGAGTATCTGATCCGCGGGTATCTGATCTACCTGTACATACAACTTGAGAGGGCAAGCGCTGGAAAGGAGGCTGTAAGCTTCTTATATGGCAAAGCAAAGCCTGATAGCTTCTCTAAGCCCCGATGGAAATATCAACACTGAATCCCGTTCCGCGTTGGCAAGCTGGCAACCCGAGTGTGAGGCTCCACCGGATCCCTCTGGAAAACAAGAATTGCACCATTTTTCTCGAGCCCATCGTAGGCAGGCCAGATCTGAGTATTGCAGCTTGCGACTGTATAAGACACCAGTAGTAGCACTGGAGACGGGAACTTTCAGAGGGCTTTCGGGCTATCCGTATGATCCGTTGGAATAGTTAGCGCGCCGAATTTGTCGTCTGGATATGTTGACCGAGCAGTTAGCACTGAAGCACGCAGCGAAACCTAACCGTTGAAGCCGCATCCGTTGCCCAGTCTCGCCCATCAGCAATGAGTGGAAATACACTGCTGTAGGGCTAGGCAGTAGGCAGTGTAGTGGACGCATCCATGATGTGATAAGATTCCCAAAGAGAGCTGAACGGTGGAGTTCTCCTGAGCCTTTAGCCCTCTGCGGCGGAATCTCCGTCCCCAGTCCCTGCAATGGGCCGAGGTAACTCAGTGACCCCTGCGCCTGGATTGACGATGCAACGATCTGATTATGTAGAACTGTGTTCGACTTGGTTGAAGGCCATTGTATGTGCACCTATTTTGTACCGAGAAACCTCCTTACACGAAGACTGACCGCGCAGCGCGTCGTTATCTCAGTTTTGGGTACTAGTAATTTGTAAGCCTCCCAGGGGTCTCTGAAGTCTGAAGCACTCCTTGAGATAGGAGATGGGGAAGAAGACACCGAGAGTCGGCTACGAATACTCGCGAGGTCCGAGTGCGTGAGTTCAACGGCGCTAAAGCGGCTTGCCGAAGCACCGACTTTGTCGTTGCTCCACAGAGAATACTCGGAGCTGAGGCCCGCCCGTATCCGAAACCCGTCTGGTATGAGGCCGCTTTGAAAGGATTTTCGGAGGGCAACCGAAAGGAGAGTAAGAAATGGCAATGGATTGAGGCCCGTATGGACAGTTGTCCAACTTGACCTTGAGAATTCACATGATCACATTCAAACATGTGAGATGAAGCAAAGATCAATCCGCCCGCCTGGGAACCAATGGGGGAGTCCAGCCGCTGTGCCAGGCTGATCGGTTCAGCATAATGGGTTGGACAGCTCGGACAGGAAGCGAAGGTTGGGAAAGGATGGGAAACACAGGCGAAATGGTGGTGGGCTGGATGCATCGCCGATGCTACCGCTACTCGCAAGCAATCGCCCTGTGCAAACAAACATTTCATCGATGGTGTCCATGTCGCGATCCAGCCACGTGGTCGTGCAGTTCCAGTACCTAATAGAGAACAGAGTGAGAAGGCGAAGCTTTGGGTCCCTGCCTTTAGTTTTAGCTGCGCCGATTTCAACCGGTAGCCAAGGAAAGCTACCAGAAAACGGTTCTGAGAAGAAGTATCGTTAGCAAAGGGGCAGGTGCTTCTGGTTGACGCATACACGTACACAAATGCCAAGCTGAATTTGGGGAAGCTTTTCGCTGGGTGGCGATCCCCGCTCTTGGACCTCTTCTCTGGGAAGCCCTAAATGTGGAGACACAGCCGTAACGTTACATACTGTAACTTGATAAGGCTCAGTATGGTACTCCATATTTACCGCGAAAGTATGTACGAAGTAGCTTACCCAACAAATGCGGAGTTTCAACTCTTTAACTGATGAACTTCCCGCTGCCATGTCGACAATTTCAAAGTGATGCTGAAGAGCAACCTGGAGGAGGCATTCTCTCGACATGCACCACTTACAGTTGCCTACCAACTAACACATCGCCACGGAACAGACAGCGGTTACAATATTGATTCAAGTTTATCGCACATTTGTGAAAACAACTGCCACGCTCGAGAGAATCAGATCCTGCCCAATATTTCCTGTCGAGCAGACGTCTGACTCGGCTGCTCCGAGGTTTCCGGCGTAGGATGGAAATGAGCAGACTGCACAGCCGGGCAACGTACGGGGCATACCAGATACAATATGTCGGCAACGAATCCATTGTGTGAAACGCCGGGGTGGCACAGCATGAAATAGCACAGGCTTCGAGCAGGCTTCGATTTCAAGCTTGCATTCTCCAATTCGGCCTTTGTGCTGGCCATCGCCAATGGCGAAACGGAAACAGTGCAGTCGAAGTGCCGAAGGATGACCCTGTTGTCCGGACATCCGCCTAACATGCATACTGGTATACATGGCCAGCTATCATTCTGCCTGCCCCTTGAAGCTATCTTTTCGTTCCGGTGAGAAGTCAAATGTTTATAAGATGTTGCAGTAAATCTCTCCAGCTACAGCTATTCTCTCCTTCACCCTCACTCGGAATACCAAACTAACAGACACATAGGTAACTGGAGGGACCGTATGAGCTGCCCTAGGGCTCGTCGTATACTCCGTACACGTAGGAGGGCCAATGCTACACTACCTCCGCACAGCTCAGCCCTGTCGTTTATCCGCAGGGGTGGTCGCAGACTCTCGGGATCCGGGTTGGAGCTGAGGGCATCGATTGGACCATGTCCGGATTGATGGTGGGATAACATCGATATTGGGCCTTCTGGTTTGCCCAAGCATCTCTCCTGGCTTCATCTGCCACCCCTGGCTCCCGGTGACTCCAAGAAGCGTGGCATCTGCTGTATCGCGATATCGCGATTGTCTTGTGTCAGCAATCCGCGTTTCCCCTCATTCTCAGTCCGAGGTCTTCATTTTCTTCCGCTCACTGGTGGCCCAATCATCGTCGTTGTCATGTCGCGTCAGGATCATACTCTTCACTCTGAACGATGGCTGGCTCACCGCCACAGGAGATACCGCCACTTGTTTCTTCAAGAGAATTGGCTGCGCTATGCGGGACGGGACGTGGCGTTGGGTGAACAAACTGCCTGCAAGCTGGCCGAGCCACTCACTCGTCAGGCATGGTTGGACAGAGATGGTAATCGATCTACGCACCCTGTGTAACCTCATTGGATGATACACATTGTGCCAGGCTTCCGCTCAGCATTGAGCGTAAGCTGCGAACCTTTCTTATCCACGTCATCGTACGAATTGTTGCTCTTTTTCATCTGTTAGTTGCCACAGGTCTAAGTGCACTCGAAGCTTCGGAAGCGCTGCCGCTCCCCGAGGTACTGAAGTATGGCCGGCACCGTTTGCGTTCCGACATGACGTCCTCCGCTCCGGACGTGGCGGCGCCCTTGCGCTCCGGCACGGCGTACGGGCCAAACCAAGCCCGCGGGCGCTCCCGAGTGCCACCCCCATCCTGGTTCAACTTGCTCCCGCCACTCCGCATATCGCTGTCGATTCTGCTTTTGGTTCTCGTCGAGACATCGCGCGCTCAGCTCGATCCTGTCAAGAATTTCTGCAGACGATTCGGCCATCAGACTGCTGTTATTGACAGGAGATTGTATATCGACGGTGGATTCATCAACTATAGCCCGTTGGCCCAGTACCCGACCAATTATACCAGTGAGCACGTATCCCAAGTGCTGGCGAGAGCGAGCTCTCTTCAGCAAGCTGATGCCAGCAGTGACTAACATGTATCTACTGAGACACCGGCCTTCACTACCATGAGCTGGACACGCCCAATCCAACTGGTCTCATGCCACAGCTCTACGCCAACCTCACCAAGAACTCCACCATCCCTAGTGTTCATGGCGGGACATTATGGGCTGATAACGTGAACAAACGATTCTACCTATTCGGCGGCGAATACTATCTTCAACCCCCTCCCCCCGACTTCATTCTCTGGTCCTTTGATGCTATCTACGAGGACTGGGAGTCTTTTGGATCCCCAGCGCAGAGCATTGACGCTGCCTCGTACGGGGCGGGAACTGCCGTGTCCGAAAGAGGTGAGGGCTACTACTACGGTGGATGGAAATCCAACAATACGGTGCCTGGATGGACCGGTCCGCCAGTTGCCATCTCCGGACTGGTCAGGTACAGCATGGATTCGAACTCTTGGGCGAACCACACAGGCCCGGACTCAATCGGCAGGGCAGAGGGCGCTATGGTATTTCTTCCAATAGGTGATGGCGGAATGCTGGTGTACTTTGGCGGTGTTCAAGACCCTCATTCCAACGGCTCAGTGGTCGGACAGCCCATGGAGACTATCTTTTTGTTTGACGTTCTCAGTTCGAAATGGTACACACAAAACGCTACAGGGACAGTTCCTCAGATGCGCAGACGCTTCTGTGCTGGGGCCACGTGGGCCCCTGATCAGTCAAGCTATAACATGTAAGTTGGGAAAGGATGTTTGAGGACCATCCGACTGACCCATGTGGCAGCTATCTTTATGGCGGCGCCGGTATGCCGCCGGACACGTCGGGGTTCGACGACGTCTATGTTCTTACGATCCCGTCATTTCAATGGATCAAGATGTATCCGACTGACGGAAACGCCACCGGCGAGTTCCCGCACCACTCCCTTAGCTGTAACGTCATCGACAATTCCCAGATGATTATCATCGGAGGCACATTCCCCACCAGCGATCGATGCGACGTGCCCGAGCAGTTTGGGGTTCATAACGTCGACATGGGAAAGCAGAACCCTGAGAAAGCGCTGTGGCAGATCTTCGAAAAGAACCTTACCACATATTCTCTTCCAGACGATATAGTCAGTGCCGTTGGCGGATCAGCCGGCGGCGGCGCAACCAAATTAGCGCCGGATGCAGGTTTCAGCAACCCGGATCTTCGCGTCCTCATGACCCGCAAAGCCAGCCTCCCTGAGCGCACACCTACCCGCTCAATCCCTACCTCGACAGGCAGCCCGGAGAACACTAACCCTCTCAGCACCGGTGCCATCGCCGGCATCGCCGTTGCGGGAGCAGTCGTGGCCGTAGCCGCCATCCTCGGCATCATCTGGTGTATCCGCCGGCGCCGGCGCCGGCGCGGTCACGACCCCAACAAGGCGCACCACCTCCACCCAGCCAACAACCCTGCAAGCCCGAACTCGTTGCACGCGCAATCGCCGCCTTCGTACACCCCCGACAGTGGCTACCCCTACAGCCCCTTTCTCCGCGAGGAAACCCAACGACAGCAGGAGCAGTACGGCCACGGGTATCCGTCGCCCACCCGTCGACCGATAGAACTCCCCGTCGAAGACTCCTCCTATTACAAGCACTCAGCAGCAGCGCCACCGCTACAACCACCACCAGCAGTAGCCGGCCTGCGTTTCTGGCTCGGACCGGACGGCGTCACCTACGCGCTAGTCACAGGACCTCACGCGGCGGCGGCAGGGAGCACAACGGTGGCGAATAGCGGCGGGACGGGTACGGGGACGGGGACGAGCACCACGACCGAGAGCGGCACTGGCGTCAGCAGCGGCGGGGGTGAAGTAGTCCCTCCGCTGACAAAGATTGACGCCGAGGGCCGGGTGTGGGTGCAGGTGTCGCCCGGCGGCGGCGGCGAAAGTCCCGGCGGGTTTGGACACGCACACGGCCACGGACACGGACACGGATATGCGCGTGGTGGATATCATCACCATGCTGCCGGAGAGGGGCACTCGCCGCCGGTGAGCCCCGGGAACCGGGGGAGTAGTGGCAGTCCGCCAGGGCTGGGTCTCTCTTCTCAGCGGCCGCTGTCACCGCAGGAACTGAGCACGGAGCCCGCCCGCGAAAGGGGAGACTCCGACGAGTACTTTGTCCTGGGAGAAGGGGCTGGCTGGGATGCTGCGCATGGACGGCCGAAGCATGCTACTTTCTATCATCCTTGAAATTTTGGTGAATATTTCTTCTCACATTATTATTGGCATGGTGCCCTTCCTTGCCCCTCTTATTATTCTGCTCCCATTGCCCGTTACAACTATACTTGGTTAGGTGGGTATAGTGGTTCGCCACAGATATATGTACGTGGACACGGATCGGGCTATGGTGTTTGCAAGACGGTCGTCTACGGTTTAGGTATACGGGCTCATCTGATTTGGCGCGGACACACGGCTGCATTAGGCGGTACTTATGAGGCGTACAGGATGGGTTTTCTGTTGGATATGGGCTGGGTGGAAGGCATGAGTGCTGTCTGGACGGCTTGGAAAGACAAAATCAGGGTGAACGGACAGGTCAAGATGATGGACTGGTTTGGCAGTCCGAGGCTTTAACCGGCGGATGACGTGATTTATGTATCAGCTCACGAGTTTTAGGCTTCCGAGGTAACATCAGATAGTGTACGCATCCGTACGACTTGCAAATTCTAGCAATATGCTGGCCCCTTGAGGGACGACGGAGATGTAACGAGAGTAATCTGGGGTTGCACGACAACGCTCGTGGAAATCATCCCATCTGGGCGCTACTGGCATAGACTGGGAAAATCCGAACCGACCTGCTGACCACCCATTCTCGCCCTTCATCTTCCTGTATACACGTATACGTCCTTCACCAACAGGGTCCGATCAGAAATCAATCCATTGCCCAAGTGAAGGTAGTAATATGATCTAATTGAGCTTGCGTTATGTCTTGAGCACATGCCCACCCCAATGACTCTTCGGGTGTTTGGGAAGGGTCGGACTTGATCGGAGCCCTATAGTGGAGTGAGTGAGCAATGCTACGAAATGGGTCACACAATCCATACTATGGGAGGTGTATATCTCGTCATCAACACCGCCTCTCACCTATGATCGGAATAGGAATCGGAGACATCGCAAAGGGCGTCGGATGGCTGGACAAACAACGCGGCCCGCCAAGCCACCCGAACACAAAGACCCAGTCTGTCGGTGCAAATGCCAAGCAAGAAGAAGCAACACCATGCTCCCAAACCAAATAACGTTAAGAGTCCGAGAGAGGATGGGACGAAGTAGTGACGTACACAGTACTGGATTGTACATACACTAGTGTATTGCTACACGCCCACGTGTAGAATAAGATCAGTGTAGCGCTTGTTCGAGTAGTGTAAGTGCACTACACTCCATAGGTATGTACAGTACACAGACTGGCTCTGAACAGACGACCAAAGCCGAACCCTCGGGGTTAGCGAAGGACCCAGCTAAAGAAGTGGTTGTCGGGTCGGTCTGGTCGTTTTTGAATTTTCTCGTCCTGTAAGCGCCGATATGAAGTTACCAGTTGAACACCGCGCTCCCGCTGACCTTATCCGATGCTCCTCCCCCGACGTATGGCTTTGTTTATCGACCCAGCCGAGCTGCCAAGCTAGGTATTGAGCTTCGTTCGTTGGTTGACCCCATTCAGTGCGTGCGACAAAAACCAACATCGCGGTAAGTAGAGCTTGTGATCGCTGCGAGACCGGAGCTGAGCGACGTGGGCAGTTAGCCAGCCGTCCGGTAGCTGGAGGACGTTCCGAGAAAAAGCCCGGACCGTGCTACGGCCCGATGTGGTGGGCGAGCTTCTTGCTGTACTCCGGGGTGTCCTCGAGGCCTTATCTTGCCCTAGGCAGAGTACGTAGCGCGCTGTCCGATTCTTGGTTAATGTATGTACACTATGAGTCCCTGGTCGCCCGTTTATCGGCACTAGTTCAATCAAATCGGCGACAGCTTGATCATGGGGGGAAACAAAATGCGACTGGTGGATACCTCGCCTTCCCCCGCCTCCCTCCCGATGCGAGGCCGCGTCTGCCGTCCGGGACCCTATCTCTGATAAGGACTCCGGATCGGGCCCAAGCTGCGGTTAGCGTACCTGCAGCATCGCGATCCGCACTGCAAACCTCCCGTCTAGAGAGCATGTTAAAAAGGGTTCGGCGGGGGTCTGTCCACCCAGCCCCCACCTACCGTGGTGCCAGGCAGGGTTTGGCTGGCGTGCGAGTCTCGCTCAGTTGGCGATGCATATTTGCTGCAGGGACTCCCGAATCCCAATGCCTCGAAAACCCGCCCTTACCCGCCCCGGAACGCGGCTGCTGATACCCTGAGGACTGATAAGAACACAACAAAAGCTGTTAAGTCGGCTGGTGCAGTCGGTGGCACGCCACAACGTGCAGAGTCGTAAGACGGACCTCTCAACGGGATTCTGAATCCCCAATTAAGCTGACCTGGAAAGAAAAATTTTCCAATGGTCGAGACACCTGATACTAGGCAGGAGGTAGATGGTTATAGGCAGCAGCAACTCCCATCACCGTCGCCCGGCGGTCCGTCGGCGGCGCCTCGGTCGTTCCATCCAAAGTACCCCAAAGTCCTGTGGTACGTTGCTGTACAATTTGCTAGCAGCAAGTTGCAGAAGCCCTTCGCGGGTCGGGTCGGATGCGCCTGTCACTCCCGAGATGCAACAGGCTGTTGTGTTGCATGAGAGAGGTGGACCGTACCGCAACGGTGCCAGTAATGTACTGTACTCAGAGCACGCATCTCTTTTCCTGACCAGATGAGGACGGAAAATGCTGGGCCAGGAGTGTTTTCTCAGGTATACTGTTCTTTCGGGGAAAGAAAACGGTATACGGTCTTTTTGCACAGGTGGATGAAGGACAAGCGTGCGCTTCAAGTTATGCATGTGTTGTTGAAGTCGCTCAGCGCCTTGTGTGGGGAGCCGTTTTGGTGGCTGCTGGCTTGACTAGGTTGGCTCGGTCCTGGCGGCGCCCCCACGCTCTTTCATATGGGGAGACCCAAAAGGTGTTGTTGTTGCACGGCTGGCTCAACGGGATCTCTCTGAATGATTGCATGCCAGCTCAAGTTGGTTTCCGGCACAGCCAGGCATTGCTGCACGATCGCCCGGATGACGCACCCAGGAACACGATCGCAACCCGATCTTGAGCGCCCTCCTTCTGCTAGCGTGCATTCGGAGAGACATGGCTGCAACCGGTCTGGGCTTTCATGCCTGAGCTGTTGCACTAGTGGATCATATTGTGGTTGTGGTTGTTGAGCAGAGTGAAAGTGTGGTGTCAAACGTCTCTCGGCAGCTGAAACTGCTCAACGTGAGAGAAGGGCGAGATGAGATTGGTTTGACTCTTTGCGTCAGTACAGTACACTACCAACGGATGCCCCACCGCACAAAGAGAACTTGAAAAATTGAAGAACCAACGCCTTGTGTCGCTGACAGCTCGCTTTTTTCTCTTGTCAGCCCTAGTCATGCCCGTGGCAGACACAACTTGCGATCTGTTCCACCAGTCTGACGGCGGATCCGAGGGTCAGGAAGGGGAGGGTCAGTTGCCGCCGCCGAACCGCCTGTGGGCTGTAGTGTATTTCCGAATCAAAGCCTGCTAACGCCTTGGCCAAACGGTCTGAACTTATCAGACAACCGTCAAGATTGTGATGCCTGGGCCTCCATGAAGGTTCTCTTTGCTCCAGAAGACGCGCCGCGCTGTGCGGGGAGGCAGTTCACGTCATTTCCATATCTCATCACCAGTTCAGATCCGCGTCGCCGGTCCTTGATAGGTAACTTTTTGGTCACAGCGTCTGGAATCTAATATGTTCCTGTGTGCAGGGACGAGAAGTCGAACAGAATTTTTACACCGACATCCGGACAGTAAGGAGAGTGAAAGCTACTAGTAGGCGACTGGACAACTAGTTAGGCACAGTGTTTTTGATGAATGAGGTGAATGGTCGCTGCGCGAGCCCATGACCATTTTTGGGGGCGTGCCTGGCGTGTTGGATGAGGATGACCTTGTGGAGCCTTGACATTTTCCCAGAACGTCAACCAGGAGCTTCGTCCCAGCTCTCTGATTGGCCACGATCCGCACACCTTTACGACCGCTCTCTGACCACGAACGTGGCCCTCCTTCTCGACAAAGTATATCCGTACTACTGCTACCTTAATTACAGTAGCACCTCGATGGACATGGGACGATGCCAATGGTTGAGACGATTAGACCGTCTTCCGATCCAGCCGAGTGCCTTGCATACAATTCGGACAACTCTGCAAGTCTGCATCGTTATTCTCAACTTTCAGTACTGGCTACACTGATCAGACGACTGAGCAGTGACCCGGTGAAACAAGAGCTTGTGTGGAGACAGGTGCGGTATGGAACCGTATGGTAGCAAAAGTGGGAAATATCACAACATTCTTGCAACATCCAAACCGCCCGTCAACAGATGGCATCATACGTACAAACACCCCCACGAACTTATCGCCGATGATATTAACTAGTGTAAGGTAGTGGTATGGAAAATTGACCGAGCCCCGGATTTTAGACCCAGATGAAGTCAGCCCGAGCCTGCCGTGGTGCCGGGCTTCCATGGTCACGGCCCATGCCCCCATTCGTAACCCTTGCAGCACAGCTGCGCCTGGAGAGAGCTGTAAGTGGCACTGTGCAGGGCCCATGGAAGCTCACCCCACACTGCTGGGCGATGACCCGGTGAGACCCCTCCCCTGTGAGCCCCTCTCTGGATGTGCGAAACCCTGCAGAGGTTTAGCTAATCGAGACGGACGACGTGACCTACAAGAATGGTGCAAGCCCTCGTCTCATTCCTCCTGCTTCCCCTCTTCTTCTACCGTATTATTGATTTCGTATTCCTCCGACACTTGATGGTTCTCTCCAACTTACTGTGCTAGTACAGTGAGTAACCGCGGGGGAAGACTAGGTGACCGAACTTATCTCCCTTCGCCAGAGCTCCGGCAGGCTGTTCCTGTCACGCCCTTTTTAGTGTACGCTGTCGCTCTTTCGCCAGGGCGCCAACTCTGATAAAGTACCCCGGTGACCGCAAATTGTGGGCACCCACCACCACCACCAGTCCACCACCACCACAAGCACACCAACGAGGGTGAAAAACGATTGGCCAGACCTTAAATCGATCTCCGTTCTCGGCAGCTTCAAGGTACCCGGGTTTCGGTTGACAAGACGAGAGACGAAGCGCCTGCAAGCTATGAAAAGAGTCATCCAGCCTCGGGTGCAAAAGGGGTCACTTCATCTTCTTTAAAATTCTACACCTTCGAGTACTTTTTCTCCAAGAAGTTTGCCCGAACCGACTCAAGCCGCTTTCTATTGCTTGTTCCCGAGTTCCCCACGACCTCCCTCTCCCAACTTCCTGCCGTGACAGCTCTCGCAGCTCCGCGGTATCTTCCGTCACCATTCGGTTCTCGACAAAACCAATTGTCACTTTGAGAGCGTCTCGACACCGAATTTGTGTTGCCACGCCGGCATTAAATCCGGTGCCCAAACTGAACAGGCTTGCCAATTGTCCCATTGCAGCTTGGAGAGCAACTATCGGCCGGGGGCCTAACAACAGACAACCAATCCGCCTGCAACCAGCGAAAAATCTCTTCTTGCAGGATACAGCAAATATTCGCCACCGCACTGCAACCTCGCATTTCCGGCTGGTCTGCAAATTTGACACTCGTTTCCTGCGGACCGACACAGGCAAGCTCCCAGTTGAAAAGGCACAAGTCTGTCACGGGTTCCAACAAGATCCATAAACTCTCTGTCTCGATTCTTCAATCCCGCACACTCTGGTTCCCCGCAGTCCCTCAGCCCCCGCTGCGAACCCAGGAACTCCTGGTTAGCCAACCAGCCGTCCCTGGCATAACGCCCCGGTTTCCCCAAGGACTAGTCGAACCAATCACAGGCTTGACTGTCCCGATGCACCACCATCGTCGAAAGTCGGGCTCGAGGTCTGGCAACACTTCGCTGACGGACGTACGCAAGGCTGTTACCGCCTCGGATCTCGCCTCCAAGAAGCATACGTCTCGTCCTGCGGCCATGACCAGAAAGACGACGCCCCAGACTATCCCAAAGTTGGGTAAGAATCCTCGCGACCGTGAGAAGGAGTGGGAAGAGGATCGCTGGTGGGATGAGGAGAGGGAGAGCTTCCCACAGTATTGGTATGTCATCAAAAACACTGTCTTGCCCTTTGCCTTGCTTCCAAGTCTTTACGTTTCACAATTGCGTCTTTGGGGTCCTTCCCCTCAGAAGACTTACATTTCCATCACCCCGCATTGTCTGTCACCTGGCCTGCAGGTGATTTGTGTCACCTTAGGTCGCCCTGTGGCCGCTCAAGTGAAGTTGAGTAAATTGTTTCCGTTCGAGGGGCACACCAGGTCGGCCATTGGGAAGTGATGGAGGTGTCCGTTCCTGCATATGCCCCATCGTTCCCGTGACATGGAAGACCAAATGCTGATTGACGCCGACTGCAGTATGATATGTGAGAAACAATTTGTCCCTTCGGACGACCAATTCTTGTACTGCTCGGAGACGTGAGTGTAGATTGTATCTTTGGAAGCCGTGGATTGGGCTTTTGCTGACCCGATCACCCAGATGCCGCATGCACGACCAGAACAGCGCAGGCTTGTCATCAACGTTGAGCCACTATGCCAGCTCTCACCGGACCACTCAATACCCCTTCTTTTCCGGCCCACCTGAGCCCAGAGATATCATACCACGCGCCTCGCCTTCGCGCCCTAACTCGACACACTTTTCCCCGACAACGACATCAACGACGCAGTCTGCCATTGCGGCCCTCAAGTCGCTGGCAATCTCAACCCCAAGTCCCCCGTCCCCCGTTGGAACCTATCATTCAAGCATATGGCCCTTCGGCCGGAGCGCCACGAGTCCTAGCAACTCGTACTCGAGGCCAGCCACTGTCTTTCCGTCCACATTTGATGGGCCGTATTATGGCGCCACCACCACCGACAGCTACGGGACAAGTTCTGATCGGCCACTTCCCTCCCGCAGACCAGCCCACTATTCAAGACCCAAGAGCATAGAGCTTGTCACACCCATGCTGGGGCGGTAGTCTCGCCGCTTGGCAGGCTTCTTCCGAGCCATCTAATTGGCTACATGTCATGTGAGCCTGGCAGGCGCAGATAGCGTCTGTGCTTACAACGTGGGGTTTAGGGCGCTCTGAGCTGCAAGCTATGCTGACCGAGGGGTTGTTGGGTATTACAGCCTGCCAGTTCGAGCTCCTCACGAGTCAGCGGTTCCAGTCCAGACCGAATTCATCGTTTGCCTTCCCTTTATCTCGATGCGGGGGCTCCCCCGGGAGGACAGAATGTTACCCTTCGCGTGGGGTACCTGCAGAACAACAGGCGGGACAGTGAAAGCCGCTTGGCTGTTGTCTGTTGCCAGCATCAGTCGAAGGGCTTTCTGCTTTGTCGGTATTACCCCACATTCTCCCAGCGATGGTCATGGGCTAGGATCATATCGATTCGGCTGGGGTAGCTGGGGGTGGATCTTTCGTTCAGTCATTCCATTTCGGTCGACACTAGCCCTCGGAGTTCTCGGCAGGCTAATGGGATGCGGGGTTTCGGACGGGCTATTCGGACGACGCAACGGCATGATACGACTGCCCGAGAGACGATCTTTTTCCACCGCAGGATGGCGATTGTCTCGCGTCTTTTTTCCTTTTGGTTTGTCCGATCTCTTCTGAGAGATTTTGAGTAATTGTTGTCTGTCTTTGGTTTGGAAAAAAGTACTTTTTTTAGCAGGCATGCTGTGAAGATTAGACGGGAAAAGCAAACTGGGAGCATTAGCTTGCATTGGTCAATGTTGGGGTTCTCTTGGCGTCTCCGGAATAGCTCTAGGGTCGTGTTGTGATGGATATACCAACCTTTACACTACATATCACAGTACGAGGGTCCGGAAGGGGACCCACGGTCTTGTTCCTGGAGTTTATGGTCGCGTACACATATCATTCATGTCCTTTCACTTCTTACCTGGCATTACGGCGTCTTGGGTACCATTTTCATGGACATCGGGTCTTCATTGTACGGTCCTCAAGTAGTCCCAGGGCCCGTACTTTGTAATGTGCATATCGGTTATCTACTCGGTACTTTCCCTACGATACTCAAATGTCAACTGGTAGCTAAACGTTATGCATCTCCTGTCTTGGTGATATTCCGGCGTTCCCGTCCTCGAGGAGCAAGCTTTCCTTGCACACGTTAACTTCTGTTCTGAACGTCGTTACACTGTGTCTTGTTTGAGAGAGACTGCAAATGGCTGGCTTTTGCCGCGTAAGCAGTGCTGTCGTTCAAACGTGCCGATCCGCAGAGCGGGGCATGACTTGGAGAATGAATGGGTCATGTTGTGTTGTACACTAGATGAAGTAGCTGTGCATAGTCCGTAGATAATTAGGGAAGTGATGAGCCACTTGCTTGATGACCTTTCCTTACGAGTTCGATGGCAAAAGGTTGTTTAGCTGGCTCTTCGGACCCGGCATACACCACACGTGCAAACATGGCAGACCATGATAAGTCTACTGTGGTAGGAATTGCAATTTGCATGCTCGGCGACCAACACTGACAGTCTAGAAACTTCTACACTCAGGGGCCTCAAGCGAGCTACATATGTATTCTAGCAGAAACCTAACTTGCCATCGACCACTTCCTTACTGCATTGTTCTACCTCTAGTGCACAATACAGTACAACGTGTAGATGTCCAGAGCTGCTGTGCAACGTTTGCACTGCGACCTCAACTTGAGCAAGATTGAGTAATGGAAACGGGAAATGTATGAAAACATCAAACCTCGTTGTTCAAATCCAGAAGTGATATGCTGTGCGTGATATATCTGGCCGTTGTCGAAATCGTATGTACATACAGACAGAACGCTGCACCATCATGATAATACATTGAGGCAGCTTCTCATCTCTCTCTTTCCAGCATCCCACATAGCACAGTCAAACATACCTGGCACAGTGCGACATTGAACCTTAGTAGCACGAAGTATAGAGGCAGATCTGCAGGCATATCCGTAGTTTCTCCGTAAATTGAATCGAACCCAACGATTCTTCGACATCCCCTTGTCAACGTATGCACAGCAGGCGCACTTCGTCACATCATCACATCAGACGACGTGAAGTGGACGGGGAACATTGGGACAAGGGATACCAAAACCAGGGGGTTGGGGCACTGAACTGCAACACCAAGTGCGAAGTAATTCTTCACTGATTACTCCAGATATACTCACTAGCTTGATGTCACGGTGCAGCCTGGGAGACCAAACGCTGACACATACATAACCACACTCATGCCGGCTCGATTTTGATTTAGACCGGGACAGGGACCGTTCTGACCGACCAAAACCAGGGGCAAGAAGGGAACAGGAACCACCAAACAGCTCGCTAAGTTACGGGTGTGCCCGCGGCTGCCCACCGATCGGCCGGTGATTGGCGGCGGAAGGCGGGAGGGTGGTGGAGACACGGCAGAAACTGCGGGAACTACGGGAGTGAGCTCAAGTCCGGAGCCCGAGATCCACCTCATGGGCGGGAGGCAGCAAGTGCCGGTGTGTTGATCGCTGGATCTTATTAAATTGACGTTATCAACTTGAATGGAAAATATGTGTATAAAGTTGTACGACAACACAACGCTCGTGTTACGGTTGCTGCCGGAACCATAATCATGACCTGAGAGCGGCTGGTACTGAGGAATGACGTCTTCCCTCCCTAAGTTACCTTGAGCGGAAATGTAGGCACTGAGGTGTAACTAGCAGTTACTTATAGTCGTAGTCCTGTACTGTACCTCATGCACCACGGGCTGGTTTGACACTGACACAAGACGTGGGCCCGCTGAGATATGGGACGACAGGGACATCGTCATGTCTTGTTGAACTTGCACAGTTTCAGATAAACACAGTTTAGCTAGAGCCTGGCAAGTGAGTCACAGCTACACTACACACCAAATCCTGGTCATGATCAGCGGCCCTCTTATCTGCACACATCCTGGGCTCCAATGTGTTGAATTGGTTTGGAAATGTGAGCTAATCCGGGGGACAAGCCACCCTAAGGGTATGTACTTGAAGGATTGAGACCGCCGTATACCACCTCTCATAACTGAAAAGCTACATTTATTCAGGCCCAACGACGGCACTGTATATTGCATTGTATTGTACTGTACATATCGTACAAAGACACTCGCGATCCCTAACTGCATACACATCGAAGCCGCACAGCAAGTAAGGGGTAAAATGAGTATGGATATACGCCCAGCCACAGCTGACGAACAACAGCAGAGCGAGAGCATCAAGTTTTTGTACAGTAACACAACACCCCCTTTTTCCATCTACCCCGGCGTAGACTTCATGCCATCCATACATACAAACCCCTTTATATCCATCGCACCCCCCGCCCCAAATCACTCAGCAATCATTCATTAAAGACATCGAAGAGTAAATCAACGCGATACTGAGAAGAAGATAACCTCACACCCCCAAGAACGATACCAACAATCAATGCGGCCTCGAACTCGCCATCTCGCCGTACCGCCCCCGATGCTGCGTCGTGTCGTAGGCCTGGAGGACTCTCGTCTGGGACTCGTCGGCCTGCGAGAAGGCGTATCCGCGCTGCTTGCGCATGCGCTGCACCTGCCTGACCTTGCGGATCGCCTTTTGGAATTGTTCCATGCTGTAGTTGGTGAAACAACAATGTCAGTTACTTATGCCAGCACACGAACCAGCCGTGAAAGGGGGGGAACAGCTCGTAAATCAAGAGAACAGACTGAGAAAAGAGTACATACCGAGGCCTGTAATCCTGAATGTTATACTTCTGAATCTCCTGCACATGGTGGTACGCCTCGGGCCTCCACAGCCGCTTGCTAAACTTCCACGCAAAGTCCCTGGCCAAGCAGAGGATGGCGAGGGTTGGCATCTGAAGCCAGAACTGGGGGCTCGAGAACATGCGAGGGACGACGCCAAAGTACTCGGTAGAGAAATTGAGCTTGGGCGCCACGGTGCCGTACACGGCCACAAAGACGATCCAGATGGCCATGGAGCCCGGTATGGCGATGACGTGGTACTTGGTCCAGTTGTTGGTCACGAGCGACGCCTTCCCGAGCACCGTCAGCAGCACCGCCCCGTACATGGCCGTGCCCCAGAGCCATTTCCCTGCCGGGTAGCTGTCGCCCTGCACGCCGTCATAGATCCAGAACAGAGACGCGCCCACGTAGAGAATGATGGAGTGGTATATGGCCGTGAGGATCCATGCGGTAAAGACGCGGCCCCTGAAGAACTTGTTTTGCTGGCCGAGTGTGTAGAGCTGTGGGTACCTGTCCAAAAGGCGCGCCGAGACGAATTGGTCGAGGATACCGAGCACCAGGGGCGGCAGGACGGTGTAAAAGACGTTGTAGAAGGACAGCGTCCAAGACTCGTATATCACTTCGCCTGAGAAGACGTTTTGGAAGACGTACTATTATGCGTCAGTGGTGTCGCAGCAGTGGAGAGGGAGGAGGGAGACATACCCAAAACTGCGTGAGATAGAGCGTGATGTTCTTGTAAAAGGAGAAGAGAATGGTTTTAGCGATCCTGTGGTAGCTCCACGCACCGTGCACAAGAAGCAGCTTGCGGAGGAAGCGGAACTGAGCAATGGAAACATCTGCGGAACGCGCGGCCTGAAGACCCTCCACGCCGCTGATGCCAATGCCGATGTGGGCTGCCTGGATCATCGAGACATCGTTTGCTCCGTCACCGATGGCGAGAAGAATCGACTGTTTTTGATACTTCTTGACCAGCTTGACCACCATTGCCTTTTGTAGGGGTGAAACACGGCAGCAAATAACAGCCTTGCACATGACGGCGAGATCGAGAAAGAGCTTTTCCAGATCCTTCTCCAGCGCGTACGTCAACGACTTTCCATCAATAATAAGCGCGAGGGTCTCCATCTCGATAGTAGCGTCGCCCTGGTTTTTAATCGCATCAATTTTCTTCTGTATGTTGTCCCGTGTCGCGGCTGCGTTCTCCTCGTTCACAATAAGGAGCATCATGTCCTCACTGAGGAGCTTACAGCTCATACCGATATTGATGGCTGTTTCTTGTCTGTCGCCAGTCAGAACCCAGACCTTGATTCCAGCCTCCTGAAGTGTATGGATGGTCTCGGGCACGCCGTCTTGCAGCCGGTCCTCGATAGCGGTGGCTCCGAGAAGGAAGAAGTCGTGCTCGATGATCTCGGCAGCCTTATCGAGCTCCTCGGCGCGGGTACCACCAACCGTAGTTTGCGCCTTCTCGTAGACCTTGAACCACTCCTGGAACTCGTGCTCAGGAATCTCGCGCATGGCCAGGCAAAGCGTCCGTAACCCTTCGGATGCATATTCTTCAAGATGGCGCAGCGTGATATCGACATGCGGGTTATTCTCGTTGAGGCGCTCCAGGATAACAGTGTCGGCGCCCTTGCAGTAGCAGCGAACCTTGCCGTCCGGACACCGGTAGATGGTGGACATCCTCTTCCGGGTGGAGTTGAACTCGCAGACGGCCAACAGCTCGTACTCGAGCTGCTGTCCATTCACCTCGATTATGACAGCGCGAGGCTTGCGAGCGACAAACTTGTAGCCGAGCTTCACGGCGCCTTCGACCAGGGCTCCCTCGTCAGGGGAGGCGGCCTGATACTTGATCCGACCATCCTCGTCCTGTTCCGGAATCACGGTGTGGCACGTTGCCAGCAACGTAAGGAAGTGATCAATGGCCTGGGCGGTCGGGTGGCTGTTGAGATTCGTCTGCAGCTGTTTGAAATCGTGAATGCCAACCTCGACGCCATCCTCAATTGTCGGAATGCGGTCCTCAGGAACTGTTTCAGCATACATGAGGCCGGCAATCGAGCTTGCTTTGAACTCCATCTGGTTGCAAGTTAACGTGCCGGTCTTGTCCGAGAAGACGTACTCGACCATGCCCAGTTCCTCTACCAAGCTGGAAGTCCGGCAGTTGGCAGGTGTGTCCGTAACGTCGTAGTAGATATCCAAGTCGTCATTGATGAGAATTCCGTGCCAGTACTTGACCAACTCGACCGTGACAAAGAGCGAAATGGGGACCAGTGACGAGAAGAGCACCCAGAATGTGACCATGTCTTTGATGAAGATGCGGGCGACGGACGAAGCACCATCAATGCTATCCAGGCGAAGATACTTGATGGACTCGCCTGAAACGCTCCGCATGACAAGGTCACCGACGGTCGAAATGACGCTGAGTACTAGCAGCATCCCTACGAGGGCCAAGACCAGCATGTTGAGCTTCTTTTCGACCCTTGTCCGCTTGATAGGCGCTGCAGTTGCGTTCCGCATCAGCTTGGTCTCGTGGCCCGTGAAGACGACAACGCCGTGGATCCAGGGAGTGTTGCGTAGAGTGGCGCCTCGAAGCAGCAGCTGCTCTGGTGTTAGGGGCAACTCCTTTTCTCCCCCGCCAGCCTGCATGGTCAGGGTGGCCTCGTATGTGTACAGGCTGCTGTTTGGTTGCTCAGAGCGAAGCCTGCCCCCTAACCGGCTCAGCTCACTTGGGCTCACCATAGACGAAGTCTCGGGCAAAGCCTGCTTGATCTTGAGATTGGTCTCTCCATCAAGATTGGCCGTCTCGATATAGCAGAGCCCCTCGGGTTCCGAGCTAGCAAGCAGCACCAGATCGGCAGGGAAAGGCTCTTCGGACTCTACCCGGACGATATCCCCCACAGCCACGTTGACCCATTTCGTCTCGGTGAAAGAAGAGCCTCGCAAAACCCTGGCCTTTGACAAATTGAGGGCCTTGTCGGCTTGTTTGCGCCGGTAGTCCTCCACCAACTCCTTGCCTGCCGAGACCAGCAGCACGACGATAAGCGGCCCTATAGTGGTGTATCTGTTGGTGGGGGAAAGCCCCGGAATCTGCTGTAGGCCGGCGGTAAACAAGAAGAAGATGTTTGCGAATTTCGAAAACTGCTCGAAGAGGAATTTGGGGAGGAAGGTCGCGATGTTGTATTTTGCCGTGGATACGTGGTTGTCCACGTACTTGTTGGCGCTATTTGCGGGAGGGTTGTTGAGATGTATAATCCGGGGACCAAGCGTTGATGGATCAGGCTTCGAGCGGCCGAAGCCAAACTTGAAGTTGCCCATGTCGAACCTTTTCTCTTTTGGAGGAGGCGGCTCGGATCCCGTTGCTGTCCGCCCTCCCGCGCCCGGCTCTGTCAGCGGCAGGTCCATCTCTGAATACCCCTGGCCCATTCCCAGCCTATTCTTTACCCTGCCGAGAAACCCGCCGCCCAGGCTCAGAACGCTATTTCGATTCCTCGCATTCCCTCGCGCTGCCGACGCGGGTCCAGCCGCAGCACTGCCCTGGTGATAGTACGACCCGGCGTCGTCCGGGTAGTCGTCGAAGTCGTCGGCATACCTCTGATAGTTCCCTAGGTCTGATGTTTGGCTGTACTGTCTGTCGATTTCCGAACCGTAGGGCCCCACGGGCCGCGGTGCGGAACTTGAGGGACCGGCGGGGTGCGGCCGTCCGGGGGCTTGTCTTGGTTGCCCCGAACCAACAAAGTCGTCGTATGATACGGAGGTGCGCGGTTGTGCGCCATCTTGGTCGTAGGCGTACGAGTTGAGGAGGTCGTCGTCGGTTAGGGCAGACCGTTGCCCTGAGTGATAGACGGGTTGTTCATTGTCCAAGTCAAGCAGAAGATCGTTATTTCGGGAGCTCGTTGAGCCTCCGGGAGGCTGGCGGCCGGCCATGCGGAGGACAGCGCTGCGCAGGACAACGGGGTCGCGAGGCAGTTAGGTGCGGGCGTTAAAGCATTGATTGACGGCGAAAGGTGCGCAAACAAGTGAATCACAGGTGAAGTCTCGAGAGATCGATAAGGATACGACGGGCAGAAATGGCAAAGTGATGCCGTGTCTCTTCTGTCGTGTTAGCTGCAAGCACAGCCTCCTTTTCCTCCTTGTTTGGGCCTGGGCAGCGGCGCCGGCGTCGTCAGCCTTAAACCTGCTGTCTGTCTGTCAAACTTCGTGATGCCGCGACAGGTGCGGAATCCGAGCTGTCAAGAGATGCAGGACCAATCAAAGCGCAACTCCAAAGCAGTCTCGCGCAACCTCAAGGCATGGAAGTATCTCGTAGCGGTCGTGGGTTGTAAGCAAATCTGAAAGGGAATCTGAAAAGCAGTTTAAACTGACGAGATGGAAACCTGTTGGGTGGGTTCTACCGCAGGCGCAGCTACGCTAGAAGCTAGGGGTCCGCTGTAACTTTTTACTGCTTGAAAACGTTAGTTAGGCTAACCATAGCAACTGATCCACTTTCAGCAGCAAGTCGAAGACCCTGTTTCGGATGGATTTTTGGCCAATGATAGGCTTTGCCGATTCCTTCACTTTGCCAAAAGGCTTGGTTACCCGAATTGGACGAATTGGAGGGTTGGTTACTAAGCAATTTCGCCCCCAAAATCTCCAGGTATCATAACGTTGTTACTGGCCCTCTCCGTCTCTGAGATACAGGTCTCATCTCACCAAAACACCACAGACACCATCGCCATCATTCTTCGCCTCACTTCCAAAGGAATACAATTCTCCATTTCGTGCTATTCTAGACCGAAAATTAACACACTGTTTCTACAAAGGCGAGGAAGCGTGAAAATGGTTTGCTCAAAGTGCCAGAAGCTCAACAAGACAACCCTCGCCACGCCCGGGGTCAAGAAGAAGAGCGAGATGTATTATGGCTCTCCCGCCTCGTCATCCTCAACACTCGACAAGAAATCCGCTACACTCGGGCAGACCGGCATCTCAAAGGTATGCATAGAATCTCGACAGTTCACACACTCGTATGAAGACATTCGCATTGACAACTGACTCGGCGCAGAGTAAGCTGCTTTCCAAAGCAGCCAAGAACCCCTATGCTCAGTATTCAAGCTCCTGCACACGATGCAAGGTTAAGGTCTCTCAGGGACACACTTATTGCAATCAATGCGCCTATCGAGCAGATGGTATGTTTTCCTGGCGTTTCCACTGTCCGAAATTCCGGCGGCTAACGCTGAGCAGCATGCGCCATATGCGGAAAGCCAAACAAGGCGAAATCCGCCGTGCCTACTGTTGACGGTCAAAAGCGCACCTTGAAGTGAATGGTGACTCTCTACTATGAGATGAATCTATACGAGGGTCGCCGGTAAACCAGCGAGGTGTTGCCCACATTCGGACTGCAAGATTAGGACCGGCTCCGCTCAACGTCACTCGCAGGCCTAGCGGAAACGACGTAGTGAAACCAAAAGGCATATCAAGGCAGCAAGAGGTGTGTTATTTTCGCGCGTTTGTGGGTCATAGCATGCTAAGAGGCTAGAGGATGCGTCCTGGGGAAATAGAACCACGCTGCGCCAAGAAGCCACTGGGGAAATGAAGCGATTAGGGGATGTTCGGGTACAGCTCTGTGGCTCGTCAGCATACACACTCCGTGTACCAGTTTTAGGAGAAGAGAACGTTCAGCGGAAAGGCTGGAGGCCGCTTCCGGCACTCCGATATTGAATGTACAATACATTGGTGGGATGGGAGAGTTGTGGTTCGAAGCCCAGCTAATTCCACGTGAGAGCACTGAGAGATGCCTACATACACCATAGAATCCGTTTTTTATTTATTCTCAAATCGAGGCCTTGAGAGGCCGACCTTCCATAATGGTCCCCACAAACTCCGAGATATGAGCGTTCACCTCTGCGGCGGCTTCCCAGAGCGCCCAGTGAGTAGCGTTAACCTCCTTCTTGACCAAGTGGTCAAAATACTGACCCATCCCCTCCGCCATGGCCGGCGGCAGTGCCGCGTCCCTAGACGCAGTGACCATCAACGAAGGGACGGTGATCTTCGACTTGCCCGCCTTGACCAAGTCCTTTTCCTCGTCATAATTGACTTTAAGCGTACGGTACCAGTTCGTCGGGCCCTTCATCCCTTGCCTCGTAAACTCCTGCACATAGTAATCCATCTCCTCCTTGCTCAGCAATGGGCTCTCCCCAACCTGGTCCTGCTCGACGGCATCCAGGTCGACTCCGTGTGAGGTGTTAAACAGGGCCTTCCCACCCTTCTCACTACCGTCCTTACCCTTCGCGCCATAGGCAACGCTCAGAAACGCCCTAGTCCTTGCAGGGCCCACCACGACCCTCTCGATGTCCCTGCCCTCAAACTGCACCTGGTACCCAAAGTTGGGCAGCCGCTTCACCAAGTCGGCCTTGCTCACAAAGGGGCCCGGGTTGGGCGGCCAGTATGGGGTGCACACGCTGAAGACGCCCAACAGGCGCTCCGGGTACCACAGCGCGAAGCGCCACGCCACGGCGCCGCCCCAGTCGTGGCCGCCTAGTACAATCTGGCCGTTTGCGTCTCCCGTGACGTGGTTGACGATGGCCACCAGGTCGTCGATCACGCTCTTGTACGAGTACAGCGACAGGTTGTCAGGGTCGACATCAGTTTGCCCGTACCCGGCCATGTCCGGCGCGATGACGCGCAGGTTGTGCGTCGTGGCTAGGTGGGGGATTTCTAGCAGGGGGAAGGTTAGGTGATTTTGTCCAAAAATAAAATTCAGGTTTGGCGCTTGTTGTTTACTTTCAGGGGAAAGGAAAAGGGGGTGGGATCCAGTAACGATCATATTGCGTCAACTACAGTAATCTGGGCATGTTTTACTTACGGTAACGCCAGGCGAAGGCGAGGTCGGGAAAGCCATGGATCAGGAGGGCTGTACCGCTTGGGGTGGTGCCCGAGGGGGGCTCGGCCAGGAGGTAGTGATAGGTCTTGTTTGAGTTGGGGATGGTCAAGGTGTGGTGTTGCACCCGCGAATCAGTTGGGGTGAGCTTGTCGACCATGATGAACAGAATTAACGGCCGGGACGGTGTTACGAAACAGTGGAAGCTGTGAGTGAAGTGTTGGAAGAATGTTGTGGTGAGAAGGGGAAGCGATTGAGAATTCAGGGGCTGCGGGGTGTCTCACGGGACGGGGCAGAAAACTGAAAGCAGAAATTGTGAGGGGAGAGATAATCACGAAGGAGAGGGGGGATCGAGATGCCTCGGCCTCATCAATGAATTTGTAATCTGTCACGGGTGTTAAACCTCCCCTCGGTACTTATGTTCGCAGTACAGGCATAATTGACACGGCAACCAGGGGTGAAGAAGTTCGGGACGATGCTGGGTACAACACCCCTCTGTACGTCATAAATAAACCCCACATCTGTTTTCACCAATGTCAGGTGCAGCCAAAGGGTCAATTGGCGGAGGAGCCCCTCCACCACATACGCTCCCGGCATGTCCTGGACGGAATGATTACTGAACTCTCAACATTGGGCGAATACAAAGCAGACACCGGATGTCCTAAGGAACAGCACAGGCAGTTGGAAGGGGTGCTCAGGGGTGTTACGTTCGGTGCGCTGCTCAGCCGACAAGCCGGCATTTCCGAGTTAGCACGCTACGCATACAACACGTATGCCTCCTTTTCAGCATCCCGCCGAGAATGTCTCGAAGTGAGTACGGTAGCTATGTTATTCTACACTCCTCCCGAGCTCTCCGTCTCCCCTGATTAGTTCACGTCTGCCAATCTTAGCAGCACTCGCCTCAGATATCCAGCGGAGTTCCGCCCTCTCGAGCCTCCGTTCATGAAAGTGAAAACGGTAAGCCAATGTCCCACCCAGCTCGGCTTACCTGGAGTCAGGGGTGGCTCTCACCGCAAGTACATTCGCTCCGGAAACGCCCCGAACGGTGATGGGCCGCTAAAATACACTTAAGAATACAGCACCGAAGGAGGCCCAAACTTCAATACTTACAACCTAAGCCACCGGCTTAAAAGGACATGCCGACCCCGACGAAGCAAGTTAGTAGATTACCGTATCCTCCTCATCCTGCATCATCTCGTCCCCGTTCTCATCGTGCTCCTTGTCATGTAAGTTCCGTGCCTTGGATGACGGCCGTGCCGCGGCATCGGGGTTAGTATCTTGCGGTACATGTTTGGGTTCACCAACCGGGGCTTTTCCTGATTGCGCTTCTTGTTCTTGCTCTTGTTCCGGCTCTCGCGGCGGAGGAGACGGGGACCGTGGCGGGGTAGCAACACCCAGTTCTCTGAGTCGCTGCGTCTTGCGCATCTTGAACTCGCGGTTCTCCTTTTGTATGGTCTGCTCCGCGGCTTGAATTTGGTCTCTGATGATCTCCTCTTGGTCTTTGGTGAGCTCCCATGGCAGGTAGTACTGATGAACTCGTTTAGCAGTGGTTCCTGTTAAAGGTGTAGCCCTCCACCTACAAGTCTAGGCTCGCTTTTCGTCTGCAGACTTTGTGCCCTTGCCAGCATACTCGAATGTCGCGATCGCATCTAGACAAGGCATGTCAGTAGCCAGCTAGAAAATAGGGGTAAGCTCCCAACATACCGCCTGTTCCTCGAGTTTGAGCTGCTCAATCTGGCGCACTCTTCTAAGTTTCTCTAGCTTCTCGACTCTGCGCTTGTCATCCTCGGCCCGCCGCTGTTGAGCCTTTTCCTGCTGTCGCCGCTCTATCTCCAGCCTCTTTTGTTGCTGGGAGGCTGACGTGGGTCGACTGAGCGCCGTGAGCAAGCCACCAAACAAACGTTGCCCACGCTTCTTCTCCTCCTGGCTAATACTCTTGCGGCTGGAAAGACCCCCCGAGAGAGACGGCCGCCGCGCCTCTGGCGATTCCCGGGAGTCTCGTTGATGTTTTTGGTCATGCGATCTTGCAGGTGACCTCTCCCTATGTTCTCGCTTCTCATCCTCAACTGATGTAGTGCCGTTGCTCGGCTTGTTCAGCTCTTGGTCGTTGCCGTTCCCGAGAGGAGAATCCCCGTCGCCGCCCTCAAACTTGGCGCGCTTAATGTCAGCCGCATCCTCTACCGGCGCAGGCGACGCTTTTCTCTTGTTCGCAATGGCGTCTTCTGTTTCGGCCATGTGGCTCGGGTTACGGAGCGAATGCGCAATCGAAGATGAAGGTGCAGATGCGTCTCGCTATAGCTGGTGTAGTGGCGCACTTTGTATGTTCGAGCGTGTGCGAAGAGGAGAGAGAGGGGGAGGGGGGGGGGGGTTTTTATAGGTAGCGCGCTTTGCTCTTGTTGGTGACTTGGTGTTTTGGGAAGGTTCCATCCACTTGTTGTCTTCGAACTTGGAAGCTACGACGAGTAGGTCACACTGTAGGTCTCAGCGTTCATTTGCCGGGGCGATTATGTCGCAAACGAAGCGAGGTGCCCAGCCCGATGAGCTTCGAACAAACAAGTGAAGTTTAAACCTTCCGTTAGACGCGAGTTCTGACTTCAATGCCGACAGCCGTATCGATAAGCTTTCAACCGCAGCGTAACACCCAATGGTGGGGCTTGTAAGGCTGTGGCTAGGTATGGAAGTTACTAGACTAGGGGTCGTATTAGTGGCGTTCAACCGCTAAACTTTTACGCCTGGCTCTTCTGTAGAAAACGAACGCCACTGCAGCCTTCTGTACAGTACAGTAGCTTTCAAGTGAAGCCAACCTCTGGAGACACCACCACATTGAAGCCCTGCAAAACGATTTCCGATCTACAATCAATCTCTTCCTCTCGTCTTCATCTCAAATCGCATAAACCGAGAAGACCAAGACAAGCCCACCATGTCCCGCCATCATCCGTAAGTCAACGTCCCTCTGGTCACGCAGCGGCACACCTCTACACCCCCTAGCTATCCGATCAGCCATACTAATTCAAGCTGCCAAACCCCAGGGACCTGGTGATGTGCCGCAAGCAAGCGGGTATCGCCATCGGCCGACTTTGTGACAAGTGCGACGGCAAGTGTCCAGTGTGCGATTCGTACGTGCGGCCGACGACGCTGGTGCGCATCTGCGACGAGTGCAGCTTCGGCAACTACCAGAACAAGTGCGTCGTATGCGGCGGCGAGGGCATCTCGGACGCCTTCTACTGCTTCGAGTGCACGAGGCTGGAAAAGGACCGCGACGGCTGTCCCAAGATTATCAACCTGGGGAGTTCGAGGACAGACGTAAGTTTCCCCCGTACACCTAGTTATGGTCCAACGGTGGGAGAGAGGCCTGACATTTCGTGTGCTGCAGTTATTCTACCAGAAAAAAACGAATCGGGGGACGGCGGCGTTTTAGTGAGCAAGTGGCCCGGGTTTGGGCAGGCTTTCGGTTTCGAGTACCAGGGGCATATGGGTGTAAATGTTTGTTTGGGCATTTGCATACGAGCAACTGCATACGCCGGTACACACTTGGTGGCAAGGGTGGCGGCTTGGGTTTCTCATGGCGTTAGGAGCAGAGGAACACTGGGAGAGGAGATGGCGGGTGATATCACGGGTGTCCATCTACCACTGCTAATTCAAGGCTATCTGAGTGTGTTGTAAAACTACAGCTAGGAGACCGTCCATCATTAATCCAACAAAAGAGATATACCCCTCACCAGCTGGCAATGCAACTATAATCGTACAAAGGAAACAGTCCCCAATGTCAACTCCATCATCCGTTTTGCTGCTCCCTCCGATACAACACTATATATAAGTAACCTTGGTTCCCATACCGGCGGTGGCCTTGACCTTGGCCCAGCTCACAGCAAGGATCCTCGCGATTCTCTCGCGGATGCGCTTGCGCCTCAACAAGAGCAGCAGCCCAACGATAAACGCGAGCGTCCGATATAGCACGTACGGGTTCGTCCGGAACGCCACCGACATCTCGTCCACCAGTGAGCGGAGATTTGCCAAGACCATCGATGCCCTGTTCATGAGCGTCGGCGCAGTCACGGCATTCCCGCCCGAACCAGCTGTCACCCCTCCCCTCCTCGCCCCTGTTCCCCTTGTCCCGACTCCCGGCAACGGCCTCCTCCCAGCTTTGCCCACATCCGAGCGCACCGAGTCATCCGATCTAGGCGGCGGCGGCGTAGACGACGTAGGCGTGATCTCAACACCAAAGTCCCCTTCCGTAACCACCCCCTTTTCCCTTCCCCCTTCCCCTCCCCCCATTCCTGCCCCTACTTTCTTCCCACCACCACCACCACTACCCCCACCCTCCGCCCTTCGTCCACGTTCCTCCTCCAACCGCCTGCGCTCGCGCGCCTCGTTCTCAGCCCTCAACCGCCTGGCCTGCTCGACGTCGCGGCGTATGGCCTCCTCCTGGCGGCGGCGCTCCTCCTCGTCGCGGCGCGCCGCCGCGAGCTGCTCCTCGTGCAGGCCCTGCAGCGCCTGCAGGAACGCCTCGCGCCGCTCCTCGTCCAGCACGGGGCTCGCGCTCACAAACTCGCGCGCGTACTCCCACTCCCCGTTGCGCGGCAGCACGTGCAGCGTGTACAGCTCCAGCAGCTTGACCCGCGCGTTGAGGTCGCGCGGCGTGTCGGCGCCACTGGCAGCGGCGGCGGCGTGACCGCGGCGGCCGGTGCGGGAAGAGGAGGAGTGCGAGCGGTGGCGTTTGGGGTTTTGGTGCGGGGCACCGGTGCTGCTGGCTGTTGGAGGGGGGAAACGGTCTGAAATGTTGTCGAGGTTCGGGGTGCGGGCTGAGGCTAGGTAGTTCTCTAGGCGCTGTTGGTTGACGGTCTGGGTTTTGGCGTGGGCGAGGAGTAGGGTGGCTCTAATTTTGTTTTTGTAGTGTTTAGCGATACTGTTGTGGCGGAATATGGACCAATGTTTTGTGAGCGGTAAGTGAGGACTTACAGGTTAATGACTACATCTGCATCCACATCCCCCTCAACGCCGTGGTAGCCATTGCGGACTACCTCCTCCCAAACCTCGCCCTCGCGCACTTTGTGGCAGAGAGCTCGCCATTCCTGCGTCCCAAACGTATCCTTGCCCTCGTCCGTGTCCAGCTCGAGAATTGCGTTTAGAACTGTCAGGTATAGGCTCCATACTTTGATCCTAGAAGACCGCGAGGCTCTGGCTACCGGGGCGGGCTCAAAGGGAGCTTCGGGATCGTCAGACTCTGGCGGCGTGACCAGTGGTAGGACGGTAGACAGCGCCTCGGGCAAGCGACGCGTGAGAAACAGTGTCGAGGCTTGGCGATATGTTTTGGATATGTGTGAGGACGAGTGGCCGGGCCGCGATGCTGCCGAGGACGACAACGAGGATATTGAGGACGACAGTCCTAAGTCTGCCATGTATGAGGTGCGGGTAGACGACATTGTGGGGTTGATAAGTGCGATGCGTGTGCCGTTGGTGTGGTCCAGGTGTTTAGGGAAAAGTACGTGAGGTAGCTTCGGATTCAGGTCATGGAGCGAGACCGACCAGAAGACCACTCTGGAGTCTGGACTTCTAGCGTCCGGCCATTGTGCAGCCAAAGCAAGGAAAAAACGTTCAGAGAGAGGTGATGCGACAAGGGGTTATCGGTCGACGCGTATGGCCGCCTTGATTCAATTCGCACGACAACATGTGCTTCGCTGAGCTTTCATATTTCGGGCCCCGATTTGCTGCCGTATGAGCCTCGGCTAATCGGTGGATGAGCTTGGCAAGAAAATGCCGACGCTGATGACGGACTGGTGGGACACGGCTGTTAACGATTGACAACCGTTCAGCCGGTATCACCTGCAGAGTTATGGTACATTAAAGCAGATCGTAACTTGCTTCTTAACGTTTGCGAAACCACGAAATACCGGTAACGAAAATCACCTTCCTTACACAGTACGTACTTCGTGGCTTCGTCACCGACGCTGCCGTTCAACCCATGATTTCAATCATTCGGCTGTTCAGGACATTGTACTTGAGAACAGAGTCAATCAGATCCAGATCAAAGTTCCGTTCTTACCTACAAGGGAAAGTTGAGGGCTGCACCGGCCGTTGCGAAATTTCATATCAAATGCATACCTTACATACAGTACATTATGTATATTACAAAGTACCCAACCTTGTCAGTAGTCCTAGCAACCGCTGACTTTAGCCACATGTGATCTCTCAGGGCTCGATGCCATGGTCCTTGTCCCTGAAACCAGCAAAAGGGGGATCTACGTAATTATATCCGTGACCAGCTAGCAATTAGAATTCAGAATTCAAGTAGGGAGTAATGAAGTCTGCAAAATCCAGATTTACTCTCACGTACGAATATTTACATATGTACATATCCTTTTCCTATCCCTAGATATTGAAACCCACGACCACAGGTGCCCTCAAGCGAATATCCTCCATAGATACATACACCCACCCCCTTGGATGCCCTCATTGCAACATCGAGTCCAGGCTCTCGCCCAACTTCTCCTCGATGCCCACAATCCACCTCCTATTCTCTCTCTCCACAACCTCATCGTCATCGTCCTGGAGTTCACTGATGTACGGCAGCATCTCGGGCAGTGCCTGCAGCCACTCCTCTCCCAGTCTCGCTGTCAGTGCCTGCTGGCACTTGACCACTGCTAGCCGCACTGATGCCTGCCCGGAGCGGAGGTGCTTCAACAGCGCGCCGTTGAGTTCCTTGTGGTGTTCCTGGGAGTCCGCCGCGGCCGCGAGCTCCACCACCGCGGGGATCAGTTCGCCCTCGGCCACGTCGGCGGCGCGGACGAACTGCTCGACGAGTACTGGTGCAACAGCACCAAAGTGCGCCGGCGCCTGCCAGAAACCGTCCTGGTCGTGCTCAAAGCACTTGGTGAGGGTGCGGAGAACCCTCCTCCACAGCTCTTTTCCGCTGGGCTCCTTCAGGTCCGCCAGCGATGACAGTACCTTGACAGCGCTCTCAATCACGTACGAGGCGTAGCTGGTCACGATGGACTTGAGATTGTCGAAGAAGACCTCAAGGAATCCGTACACGGTGAGGAGCCGCAGGGTGCGACCGGCAGTATCGTTCTTCGGAAGCCCGCTCCATGTCCACTCCATGAGTTTGGAGAAGATGGGGCGGAAAGCGGCGTCGTTCAGCTTGTAGACCATCTTGAGCGCGTCGTCGCTGACCTTCCTCTCGATCTCTTCCATTTCAGACGGCGTAAGCGAGGCGGCATCCCCCGAAACAATCATCCTCCTCAAGTCCATAGCCTTGAGGAAAATGACTGAGAGGGAGGATACATTTTTAGCGACAACCGACTTGGAATGCTTGTCAAGTGCCATCCCCAGGATGTCGAGATATTCACTCATCGCCTGTCAACTAATTAGAATGCAATGTGAACGACAGATGCAAAATTACTTACAGATAACCCGGACTTGGCGGCAAGGGCCCAGTTATGTTCAAGAGCAACATACAGGGCCTTCGGTTCAACCAGCTTTGCCAAAAACTGGAGGCAGTGTGACCGGTTGCTGCTCGACTCGTCGTCCAGGTGCGCCGCTGCAGACTTGTTTGAGCACGCTAGGATCCGGTCGAGGTAAGCACCGGAGATCATGTACGGGATATGCTGGGCCAGGGCTGCCATGAAAGCATATGCGGCATTGTGAAGTTCGGTGTCGGCGGTATCGCTGCTCAAGCTCTCTTCCAGGTGGCCTAGCGCTTTCGGGATGGCGACGGGTAGGACGGGGACTATGCCATCCTGTAGAACGTCTACAAGCGAGGCCAGGCAGAGTAAGGCCATTACCCGGAGACTCTGAGATGACTGACCGAGGCAGTGATCGCCCGCGATGGTGGCGGCCGCAGCAGCCACGGCGTCGATGTCTTTCTTGCCATACTTTTCCGAGATCTTGTCGACGCAGGTCACGGCCGTATGCTTGTAGTTCATGTCGTCCGATTCCCGAATCACTGCGGTCAATTGAGGAAGGAAAGCAAGCAAGGCGTCCCTCGACTTTGCGTCTGTGGTGCTTTCATTGTCTACCCGCAACTCAAGGGCCCGAAGAACCTTCTGCCGCAGCCCGACATTTGGCCGGTCAAGCAATGCCTCTACACTTCTGATGAATTCGGCAATCGAGAGTAGATTGAGAAGATTGGACAGTGCATCGCCGCAGCGGTTGTACAGCATCTTCTTGGTCTTGACGGTGCCAGCGAGAGTCAAAATACTTTCGAGGAGCGTGGCGTAGAGATCGCGAATTTTGCCTGCCTCCATATCGTCTCTTTCAGCAAGCTGGGCGATCTCACGCTTCAGCCGCCTATTCGCGAGCAAGTGCGGGAGAAGATTGAGCTGCTTTGCGGCCGTCTTTTGGGAATCTTGCTCTCCGGTCGTGTCGGTGCCAAGAAGCACGCTCGAGAGAGCAGGCTTGGGCTTGAATATGTCGCTGACCAAGTCCAGGAGCTTGATAAGAGTTTGAAGCTGGACTTCTACGGAGAATGAACTCATCATTTGGGTCGTGAAAGAGATCATGTTGTCGGTCGCAGCATATCTGTCGACAAACATGGCAAGGACAGCGAAGAGGAAGTCTTCTGGGCCAAGATTTTCCACCAGGCTGATGAAGAGATCGTGCTTTCGGTGCGAAGGTATATGCTCGTAGGCGGTTACAAAGCTGGCAAGAAGATCCTTGGTGCTTGCAACTAAGTTCCGACTTCTTTTCCGGAAGGTGTCAATCAGAGGAGGGATAACCTCCTTGACTGTTTGATTGACGACATGGGCAGAGTAGTCATCAGCCTGCTTAAGCACCGAGCTGCCCATAAACGTGAAAATCGGCATGACACTCTGCAGCACCACATCCGGGGCCGTCCGAGCCAGATTGGCCACCAGGAGCAGCGCCGAATTGATGACGGCAGGACTAGATGACTTCTGGATGCAAGTTGCCAAGACGTCGCCGTGCCCGGCTGACGCATCGATCGTCAGGTCCTTGTTGTTCTTGAACGCCGGTATCATGGTGAGGAGGCTGCTCAGCACCAAATTTTGGAGATATCCTAGCTCGGATCCCACAAGCGCGCCCAGATGATGGAGATCCGACAGGGTTTGAAATAAGCTCGGGAGCAATTCGGGGTGCTGAGCTGGGTTGGATTCTTGCACAAGCTCCAGAACGAATGTTGACTTGTTCAGAGCTGTCTTCAATTCTTGACTCCCTTGCAGACTCACACTACGACTCTGGTCTGCCGTGCTGGTTCGCCTCCGCTTGTTCGCCGGGGTATCGGTCGCAAGTTTGACCTCGTGCTGCAAGGAGTTGATGAACTCGAGCAAGATGTCCGTCGTTAAGTCCACCTTCCTTAGGAAATCCACTGCCTCCGCAATGACGGAGCTCTGCTCGGGAGAGAGACGGGCCGCAGACTGTGTAATATCAAACATTGTCCGCGCTGTTGTGAACTTGGTGTTCGACTTCATTGATGGCCACATCTTTGTAATGCGGCCGAAGATGGCCTGTACGAGGTTGGGCCTGAGAGCGGTGTTCGGATCGTTTATCAGTTGAAAGAACGTTTCGAGACCTAAAGTGTTGTTTGCGACCACGACGTCTACGAAGGCTTGGTCGATCTGCTTCTCGTCCAGTGATTCTTGCGCAGCAAGCTCAGCGGCTTCATTTCCGCTGAGAGAAGCCCACCAGCGAAGCAGTGGCAGCAACAGATCCGTCCTCGAGGTTCCCGAGATGCTGCGTATCTGGTTGATTGCGCGTAGTAATCGTAGTTTGACGGCCAGCAAAGGCGATTCTATGACATGTCCGCAGAGGAACTTGAGAATCGAAAGCCTCGTCCCATGAGAGAGATGACGCTTTCCGGCTGCCTTTTCTGGTGAACCCTTGGCGCTCTCCAATGCAGTAACAATGGCCGCCGTGAGATGATCCTCGTGAAGAACTGATTCCTCCAGGCAAGGTATCAGAACCGACTCGACCAGGGATTTGACGGCATCACGGCCCAGTGGGCTCGGCAATTCGTGATCGCCGTACAGACCCTTAAACCCCCAAGGCTGCTGGGACTTTTCGAAAGCAGTTTTGGCATGGGAACTCAAAACGGCGACGAGGTCTGCTGCGGCACGGCGGACTTTCTTTGCCGGGTCGCTCAGTGCAACAGCACAGTAAGGTATAATGGCCTGAAAATCCTTCCCAGCGCAGTCGCTTTCCTTCAGGCGGGATTTGACGCATTCCAGGGCGGCTACTTTGGCAAGGGATGGAAACGGCCCGCACCAGACCCGGAGATAGAAGCTGAAGTAAAACGAGTTGCTTGGTGCCAGAGACCGGGTTAACACTGGAGCGGTATCGAACCTCTTCAGGTCACTCTCACTGGCGGCGGCGAGCAGAAATGCCGTGCAGAGATCGTTGAACAATACCGCTGGCGTTGGCGACAGACAAGACAAGGACGATGGCTCCAGTTTAGACAACTGTTGCAATGCCGAATCCAGGCTTGGCCCCTTTTCGGCTGGCTTCACCGCCTGGTTCTCGTCCACCTGCTCTGGAATCTGCTCAATCGTAAGTTTCGGGCGGAGAGCGGCCCCCAGTTTAAGCTCGATCTCCTCAATGTCGAAGTCCACCTCCTCAATAGCGGACCTGACGGCATCCCCCGTGAGCCCGCCGGCCTGCGACAGTGTAACCAAAGAAGAGCCAACTTCTTTGCGGATACGGCCGTCGCCGTCAATCTCATCGTTGATCCTGTGGGCTGCCAGAAGCATTGCTTTGTAGACAACCTTGACTTGCTTCTCCTGCAGAAGGTTTGCCAGAAGCAGAGCGTTAATGGCAGGAAGGCTTCGAGCATCACCCTTCTTGGACAAGCGATCCACGAAGGCAAGCGCAAGCCCGTTGGCTAACTTGTCAACGCGGTGATCCCGGCTGATCTCCAACAGAATCGGGACAAGAGCCGGGATCTTGAGGAGAGCCTTGGCGATCCGACCAGAGACCTGCTTTGCGGAGCGGTGCTGTGAGAGGATACTAAGACAAACAAGGCCAGGGCGGTAGGTATCAGCAGTCCAGCCATGGACCAGCTGCTCCATAAATGCGGAGAGCGCACCGTCGTTCAGGCTGCCCTTGGCAGCAAGGATAGCGACGATCATGTAGCTCGCGATCTGGATTCCAGGGACGTCTTTCATGAGCATTGCCTCGCTCAAAACCGGCCCAGTTTGCTGGAGAAGCTTGTGGTCATTCTCAAGCTGGACACTCCGCCTGCCGGACCGCATCTTGTCAAGCATGCCGTTGACAGCCTCGGCCATGACGCCACCCCAGAATGACACGAGGCCCGGGTATTCCTGCTTAGCCCGGCATGACTCAAGCGTGTACTGGGAGATGATGGATAGCAACTCAGGCCGGTTTGTTGCTTGCTGCACAATGGCAGCCCGCGGCGGGGCCGTCAAAGAGCGTTTATAGGGGTCTAGAAACCTGTACTCCTGGGGTATTTTGGCTGGCAGGATATCAAGAAGGGTAACGAAAGCCGGGATCGTGTGGTATGGAAGGAATGTGGTTATGAGGGTTGCCGTATTGAACTCGTGGATCCTGTCGCCTGTAAGCACCATTGCAAGAAGCAGTTGGGCATATCACCTACCGAAATCTCCTCACCAACCACTCAATGGCCTTGATGGCGGGGTTAAGCCGTAGGCGACCGGCAACCAGGTGGAGGAACGAGTTGACGCGTTTGTCCAAGGCCGCATTCTCCTCCGGCGTCATCTGGGTCCGATCGGCCTCCTGGCTCTGCTCGCTGAACAGTGTCGCCCTAAACGGAGCGAAGCGAGGGTCGAGATGGCACAAATCCTCGAAGCCTCCGTAGCATATAGTGTATATCTCGGCGAATGTCTGACTGGCGGCCTCTCGAGGCTCGAATATCAACGACTTGGAATGAGCAGCCTTGAGCGTCTTGGCATTCAAGCTGGTCCGCGAGTTGGCCGCGATCTGCGCCAACTGCGCAGCCAGGGAACTCGCCATCTTCGGGGTGGTAAGTCCGGGCTCTCTTGGCCCGCTGAACTCTTGATCGCGACTAGAGAATCACCGACTGGACATTTGGGAAGGGGCGTTCCACTCGGCTCTCAGACGTGTGTTCAGAAGACGGACAAACGGCCAAGGCAGCCTTCAAGGAAAAATTGACCGGTCGTAATTCAAAGGCAATCAAGTACAGCTTGGTAAGGTCAACAACGTAGCTGACTGGCACTTGAGGGAATGGTTTTGGACATGTAAATACAACCTTTATCTCCTTGGTGTTGCTCGCTGCAGTTATGTTTCGGCAGCTGTCCCACCGAAACTCTCCCGCTCCAGAATTTTTTTGGGCCGGCGGGCAGCCGATAAGACGGCAGAACCAATCAACATGCGTTGATAAGTCTCGCTTTTGGTGGGCTTCGTCAGGGTCCCGCGATCAAAAAATGGGAGATAAAAAAAAGTGATGGTCGCAGAACATCTACCGAAACAATATTATCTCCACCGGATTGCTTCAGATTCAATGGCTTCCCACCCTTCGAAACGACGGAGGCTGACGCCTCCAGGTGAGGATGGGCACGACTCGGCCAGCCATGACACCAAGATCCAGAAAGCCTTCTTCAAAAGCGCCGCCAATTGGAGCCTCGAGCAGGACTACGAATCGAGACCTAGAAAGGGCAAGAGGAAGGATGCAAAGAAGGGCAGCACCGAAGGCGCTGGCAGGCTCCCCATAAAGACAGCCGCAGGAACTTGGGTGGTCCAGGATGATGCCGAATTGGTGCCGAGCGACACGGAATGGCTTCAGAGCGAGGAAGAGGATGAAGAGGTGGACAAAGAGCCCGAGGCTGCTGCCCCGGAAGCGCCCAAAATCCCGGAGCGTGAACAACTGCGGAGAGCGCAGGAAGAACTAGCAAAAATTGCTACGCAGCTCAACGAGGATCCTGAAGAACACCCTGGAGCATTCAAAGCGTTGGCCAAACTCGGGGAATCACCCCTTCTCTCGATCCAGAAATTGTGCCTTGTCACCCAGATGACGGTCTATAAAGATGTCATCCCGGGATACAGGATACGGCCCGCATCGGAGGATGTTGCCGGGGAGAAGCTTTCGAAAGAAGTAAGGCGGCTACGGACCTACGAACAAGCCTTGGTCTCTGGCTATCACAACTACCTCAAGTCCCTCGCGAAGCATGCAACATCACCGCCTATAGAGAAACGAAAAGGAGGGGAACCGATCTCCAGCATTGCCATCACCTGCGCCTGTACGCTGGTGAATGCCGTCCCACACTTTAATTTTCGAGGCGACCTGCTACGGATTCTGGTGAGGAAATTGAGCAGCCGTAAGCTGGACTCGGACTTTGCAAAATGCCGGCAAGCGCTGGAGACACTATTTCAGGAAGATGAGGAAGGTAATGCCTCGATGGAAGCCGTGTCTCTCCTCACAAAGATGATGAAAGCACGCGAGTATCGCGTCGACGAGAGCGTCCTGAATATGTTCCTGCATCTACGGCTGCTCTCTGAATTCGCGGGCAAGGCCTCTCAGGACACAGTCAACCGGCCCGGTGACGCACCCAACGGCAAGAAGCCGAAAGCGAAGAAGGAGTTCCACACGAAGCGGGAGCGGAAGCTCCTCAAGGAGCAAAAGGCAGCCGAGAAAGTGATGGCCCAGGCAGATGCGACCGTCAGCCACGAGGAGAGGGAAAGGATGCAGTCAGAAACCCTCAAAATGGTGTTTGCTACCTATTTCCGCATCTTGAAGCAGCGCGTGCCGCATCTCATGGGTGCTGTGCTCGAAGGCCTAGCCAAGTACGCACACCTCATCAATCAGGACTTTTTCGGCGACCTGCTCGAAGCACTCAAAGACCTCATCCGTGAAAGCGACGGCACTGAGGACGCTGCCGAGGGTGAGACGCAAGGCAACGACCAGGATGACGGGCTGTCGGTCGTTCGCGACACCAACAGAGAGGCTCTACTGTGCACTGTCACGGCGTTTGCGCTGCTCGAAGGGCAGGACGCGCACAATGCCCGCACAGACCTACACCTCGACCTGTCCTTCTTCATCACAAACCTCTACCGCAGCCTCGTCAGTCTCTCAGTTAACCCGGACCTCGAGCTGGGCGCCAAGTCCCTTCGCCTCGACGACCCGGATGACCCGACTTCCCCGGCCAACGGCCACCGCAGGAACAACAAGATCAACCTTCAAACAACCACGGTGCTGCTCATGCGCTGCCTGACCGGGGTGCTCCTCCCGCCGTGGAACATACGCTCGGTGCCACCCCTGCGGCTCGCGGCCTTCACCAAGCAGCTCATGACAGTGGCGTTGCAGATGCCCGAGAAGTCGTGCCAGGCGGTGTTGGGCCTGTTGCACGACGTGGTGCGTACCCACGGCCGCAAGATCAACGCGCTGTGGAACACGGAGGAGAGAAAGGGCGACGGGACATTCAAGCCGCTCAGCGAGACGGTCGAGGGGAGCAATCCGTTTACGACCACCATCTGGGAAGGGGAGATCCTAAGGAAGCATTACTGCCCCAAGGTGAGGGAGGAGCTGAAGTTGATGGAGAAGGAGCTCAGGGCCATCTAGTATCGTGAACATCACGAATTCTTGAGGCAATATTATCACATGTCCGCAATTTTGGTTTCTCTGCCTTAGCAGTGTACATAGGAGGATCGAACTTGCTGATACCCCTGCAATCCATCATGACAAAGGACGAGTTACTTGAGTGAGTTGAGGCTTGATTGTGTACGTCGTACTGTAGCTGATGACTCGCCTTCCCAATTTCCTGAGCTCAACTGCCCCGCGTGTTCGTGATACCAGTACATAGCATTTCCCCTTCTACCGCAAGTGTCGGAAACATTTCCGGCGAGCTGGGGCACCCCTTGTAAACAAACATGCTTGTTAATGCTAACGTTATCCGTTGTGGTTCTCAACAATGCTACCATGAAATTTTCAGAATGATTGTTGCCGAATACAACGCTGGTATTCAGGGGCTGACACGGCGGTTGGTCCCGAAGTGGAAAGCTTGACCGACCCGGCCTTTCCTCTTTTCTCGTTTTCATTCCTGCCTCGGTCGGCATCTGCCCTGACAGGTTTTCTCACCGCATGTCAAGATTGGTTTTTGCACCAACTTACCCATGCCCTTGATGCAGGTGTGGAGTTGGGACGTGAAGCTCGGCTTGTGGCCGAGAGGGACCAGAACGCAAATTATCCGTATGTAGATATTCGTCCAGTACACTGTCTGTTTCCCAAGCACCTGCGATCGATGCCGGTCCTGCGATGATTATGGACAGTCTCGGCCAATCTCGGCCCTTACCACACGAACCTCCCTGAGAAAATCTCACCATGCGCGGGATCTAATGATCAACTCCAATTCGCCATGTGGCCATCATTTTTACAAACTACACGTGTAGTTGCGTACCGGTATTTCATGCCTTCTTGCCGAGAACCGGAGCTGGCTAGCCGAAAACCAACGGCAGGGACATGACGTCGAGACTGTGGTCTAAGCATGGTCCCGGGCTAACTAAGCTAAGCAGTCGCACAGTTGCCGGCCCATCATTGCCGTCACGGTTGGTTGTCTGCTAGTTTTCCCCCGTCCGAGCGCTCAAGGCCGGCCTTCGTATGTACCCCTGGAGTCATGCAGCATGCGCCAGGATGGTACTCGTCACCCACGAGAGTAGTTTGCTCGTGGCCCCCAGGTTGTGCCTAAGGTTCTACGGTTTCAGATGGACGATCTCCTGCTTACCCAGCCTCCCAGCGACGACTGGTGAAGGACAGGCTGGGCTATCGGTTCCTGGATAAACAACTCTTGACAAGGGCCGGTGAAGAATACCGCCAGGCTCAAGTCTCTAAGCCGGGCAAGCGGCGAAAACTAGAAGCCGTCTTTCATGGTGTCCTAAAATCTGAAGGTGGCTCAACAACGAATCGGTCGCGCCACCCACCTGACTTCCATGACGGCACCTCCTGAGTCGACAGTACAAGTATGTACATACATACTCAGGACCAATCCGCGCCCGGGTCATCCTGGGCTTGAGCTACTGCAATGTGTTTGTTGGTCGTCGGCACGGACAGCGAGGCGGGCTACGCACGGTGTTCAGGTAAGCATGCTCGAATGTCGCTGCGGGGTCCCGGCGATTTGGCTCGGCCAAGGGGGAGATGGGCTCACTCTGTTGAGCTATGAAGGTATGGTAACGTATGCAAGGTACATACAGGACTGTACACTGCCTACATGAGTAGATTCATATGTAGACCATAGCTGGAAGGCATATCGCCGCTTGGCAGGGGGAATGTAACGGTGCTGTGCTAATAAAGGGGCTCCAGGGGCGGCTCTCAGTTGCCTGCGGGAGTAGGTGTGTAGACCAGATAATTGGAAGATGACTTACACTCCGCACCGCTCCATCTCAACACCCCATCCGTGAAGTGCCTAGGCAAAAGAAGAAGACATCCAAGTGTATAAAGTGTACAAGTACTGTATCTAGGTAGTATGTACGGAGGGACTCGGGTGTTTCCTTACCTACGCATGTCCCACTGGTAACAGCCCTGTGAAACAGGTGTTAGCAACTAGATCACAGCTGCCCTTGACCTAGGTGACCAGAGACCTCAATTCCGTGCGGCGAGCTTGAACAGCCTGGACCTACTGTGGTAAGTTCCAGCTATGCTAAATACCTTAGGCATATGTGCTTCCCCCTTTTCGCTTGCCTTGCCGCCCCTTGGCCTGCGCTGTTTGCTGTCGCGATCGCGCTCTGGGATTCTCCGGACTTTAGCAGCCGAGCCGTTGCCTAACGTTATGCCTGATCAAGTGAAGGTCAACGTTATCTGTAGTGGACTTGGACCGCTTTGGTGAGTTCGGAAACATTCCCAAAGCATAAGGTATTCAACAGGTCGCTTGCTTGTCAATCTATCTCAAACAGATCGCAGGAGCTACCGGGCTGCTCTATCCAGACGACCCTGGGCCAGGCCGGTCCCTGTCTTGGCGGCTCGATCGGCGCATCTTGTCGTCCCAATTCTCCAGCGCTGTTTTCGGCTTTTGCATGTCAGGTACAACCCAACGTCGGTTTACGCTTTCGCAATTTTTCTGGAAGAAGCTGTGACATTCATGTCAAGTTTCACGTCTTTTTCCTTCCCCCTGAACCCCACTTCCAACCATCGGAGCGTCTGTTTCGGAGACTGCATCCACTTGCTCTAGGCAGAATTCGGAAAGGAGCCGTTTCCTTTTGGGGCAAACCCGAGGTTCCCCACCAACATGGATCTCCCCCAACAACGTGCACGGGCCGATTCTCGAGTCTGGTGTACATGTAACGTTAGGTACGAAGGTACGGACACACTACGAGAAAACATCCAGCCCGGACACGACGTTCCTTCACTCCAGAATGGTCTTGCACTGCAGATTGGCACGTCGCCGCCCGGCCTTTTCACCTTTGGCTCCACAGGCTTTCTATCGGGCCGCCGAGTTGAAGAGCGCCGCTTATGCACGCTGCCAGGAACACCAATCGACGTTGCAGGCTGAGGACGGGAGAACGGCGGCTGGATGGCGCTCGTGCTCAATTGCGCCCGTTCGCCTCCACTTTACAACAATCCCAGTTCACAACCATCCGGGTTGCTTTCCTTTGAGTGTACCAAAGCTCACGGTTTTCTGTCTAGATCTTCTTGGCATATAGGATAGAGAATTGGTTGACTGCTCTTTTCCTTAGGGCTGCCTTGGAAGCTAGAATCGAAGGGAGTTCTTCCCTTTCGTACTTCGTACAGCACAGCACAGCACAGCACAGCACAGCACATAACTACAAGACTTGGGGTTCCTGGTACTGTTACTACTAATAGGTAGCGAGAGGCCTAGCACTACCTACCTTACGCTTACTCCATACACATCGCTACTCTTCCCCCTTCACCTGCTGACGCCCACAGATAACGTTCCGCCGTCCTGAGTCCGGCAAACAGTCGTCAGCTTGTTCTCGGGTCGGCGTGATTGCGCGGGCGCACACAGATCCACCCTGCATGAAGCAGATCTCGCCTGTACTGTACTGTACCTGCATGGGGAGGAATTACCCGTTCCCAACCATAGAGGGATGGCATTTGCCGCCCTCCCAGCGGATATCTTCACTGAACTTCCACTGATAGCCAGACAAGTCCTCAGTGCTTTTCCACCGCGCGATCTGAGCAATCGCCATAGGACAGACCATTGCTTCGTCCTCTGATGAAGCTTTCCGCTGCGGCCAATCTGTTGCGCCACCCGGCTGCTATTCTTGGCCGAGCCCGTCATCCCGCGCCAATCCGTTTAAGAAAAATCGCCAAACCGCATCTGAATGGGCCAATCAGAGCTCTGAAACTCTCGGGAGTCCCACCGCGGGGAAAGAAAAGACTGGCCGACCCACCCACTCACATCACCTCAAGCGAGCAGATCCGATCTCTCTCTGCGTATCGCTTGACCTGCCGGTGATAGACACCAGCACGATGATTGGGCAGGCGGAGGCAGCAGGCCTCGGGGAAGGCGCGAATGTTGAAAAATGGCTTTGTTTGCTTTGTTCAAAGAGCAAAGGCGCAAATGCAACTCCTGGGGTAATCCAGATTTCAGTAATGCCAAGATCTGTCCGGTGCGGACGCCATCCAGATACCTTGGGCAAAAGCAAACAACCTTACATCATGGGTTAGTCAGCCAGAAGGATCAACGCCTCTTGTCATCGCGTAGGATACCGCGAATCCAGGGGTTGAACAGCTACAGCGCAACGCAGCGCCAGCAGCTACGCATGCCAAACAATTCAAAAGAATGCGCAACTGGGTAACTTCAATGTTTAACTGAGCGATCAAGCATGCACTCTCTTAATGTCATAGGTAATTCCACCTTTTCCAGCTCTTAGGGGCCTACTACCCTACAGGCAGCTGATAATTTCATGAAGGATGCGGCTCGACACTGACGGCGTGCCTAGGGTGAAGTACCTACGTACGTACAAGAACAAGCCTGCTGGTGATTGACAGTGGAGTTGCCAATCTGTGGTCGTGATGCCCTGGCATCAGCAGGAGAACAAGCTGTGCCGTCGGCACAGAAGCTCTCTGATACAGCTCGCCCGTTCGTTTCACAATATGCTAGTGACAAGTGATCACCGGGAAACCCTGCAGCGCTCTACACCAACTTACCTATGTACTTTACCTATGCTTCCTTGCGTTCATTTAACTACAGAACGCGAACCAACGTACTCATTCATTCCACACGCGTACACACCAAACGACAATACACTTACCATAGGTGGCACCGGGCGGTATGCGAGTTCACGGATGGCCTCGCAGAATCTTCAACGGTGTATGCGCGCCGGGCACGTGCATACCCCGAAGCATGCAAGTGCGCTGGCGCCCGCCCTACGACTTCTCCCGATGTGGCTGGTCAGGGAGAGAATACGTAGGGCTGGGAGAAAGTAGAAATCGCAGGGCTGGAGAAAGAATAGAATATGTATATCCTGGACAGTAGTGGACGGAACTAGTAAGTGGAATGATGATGACGATGATCCGGTACCGTAGCTCCGTATGATGCTTGGTACTCCGTAGTAGCTGTCGGTGCTACGGCGTATGTAACAGTTATGTATGCTGCCTGGCTAGAGTCCGCGATGCTTACAGCACCAATGTATAAATTCATCCACGGATATCAATGGCAAGACCGGGTTCCTTACCCCTCCAGAGGCCGATAAATGCTGGCGCTGCCTTAGTTTCTGCCGGCGAAGGATGGAGGAAGATTACCTATGCAAGCAGCAAACCAGAGGCCGTGCAGGGAAGGAGAAGATGTTCGCCGCATTTGTGGGGATAATATTACGATCTGGAGTTCTGGACGGGAGGGAAACGCCGATCACTGAGATCATTTGGTCCGCAACAGGCGGGTATATCTCCGAACAGAAGAGCCTCTTCATGTAGTGTATGACCTCGCTCGGGCTCGCCTTACCCAGCACGTGTATTTCCTTCAGTTTCTGGCAGACGCAATGGGCACTGATGTCTACATAATGCTTAACCCAAATGCAGTAACTGGACATTGTCCCCTTTGCGTGATTTGGTTGAGGTTAGGTAGACGGGTACAGTAGTGCAGACTGCTAAGGGTTATACACAGTAGGGGCTAGTACGTACCTATGTACAGTAATACATTCTCCACTAAGCTCCAGCTTTTATGGGTACATCTCGTCCAACTGACGTACTGTAGATCCTTTGACCAGTCATTGCACTTCAAATTCTCGCCGCCCTTCTGGCAGGAGAAAGATGGAGAGACAGAGATGATGAACTATGTTATACATACGAAATAGCGCCAGAAAATCTACACTACCACCTAGTGGCGTACTAGTGGTAGTAGGTACTCCGTACCGCTCGGAGCACTGAACTTCAATTAGCGCAGAGTGCCTACGGTACAGTATACATGTACTGTACTGTACTGTCCACTAGGACCCTGCCTGCCTGCCTGCCGACTTGAGCTATTTCTGAAGCACGTTTCAGAATTGACCGGGTGGGATTCCAAAGCTCGTGGCTGGGGCACTGCCCCCCTGCTGTGACCAAGGGGCGGGGGAACGGCAAGACGGCGGCACAGATGCGGACACGGACAGCCAGCGGATGATGGGAGCGGGAGAGATTGTGGCTTGCCTAGCTGTCCTCGTTCTCGACGCTAATAACGCGGCGACAGCTCTGAATTGGATGTCAGCAGGAACGAGCACAGACAAGCAATCACTCAATACCAGCGCCGCCCAGCCCGTTCCTGTTGCCTGGGTTTCCATCGAGTTCGACAACCATCTGACACAGTAGTTAGGACCAGTACCTGTCTGTTCATTGGTCTGGACAGAGTGACAGACAGCTCCTAATGTAGTTGGATTGCTAGTAGTAGCACTTTGTCGCATCGGTCCAATTTCCAGTGGGACGTTTACCACTGGCGATACGTCAGTCAAACTGGACTTGTAGTTGACGTTTATAAAGTCCACATTCGGCACTGGTTGAGCTACCCGTTGACATAGATCCCTAGTGTGATGCGACCCTGTCTGTCGCCCTCGCCCCTCTTTATGTTTATACTTCACAGACTGAAGTCGCTGTTTTCGAAAGCTGACAAAAACGGCAGTCATGCGGTTGTCGGGTTAAGGTGCTTCTAGCCTCACACGTCCGCAACTTCCAGCATGCTGGTAGCGGAATGCGAGATGTATACACATGTTGAACAACTGGCTACGTCTGGATGAGTAACATTGGCCTGGAGAGAAGGCCGCGTCGTCCCGCCAGCTTCGCGCTTCCGCATCGCGTAGCGGTGACGGCCCTTGCTTCCAACAATAAGAGCGCCCGAGGAACTGTCTGGGGCTTGAGGAAACAAGGGGTTTCATGCCAGAACATCAATTGGCTCGACAAAATACAAAGATGAACGCCATAAAGAATCAACGCCCAATCACCGCCAGGGGAAGTCGGGCGCAACAGACCTACCAGAGGATGAGAACTGTCATAAAACAGGCGGATGTGAATCAAAGTGCTATCAAAGAGCAAATGTGGTTCGGAGACAATAAACACAAGCCGCCTGCGGTATCTGAAGCCTTCGCGCAACAGTGCTGGAAAGAGAGATAATTGCTATCAGCTTACCTCAATCCTAAAAATATGTCGTTTAGTTAGGTACGTGTAGTGAGCCGCATTACCACACAGATCCGAGAGGCCAGTGAGGAACGGGAGCCTCGGCTGACACCATGGTCTCTCTGTGTGCCGTTTCCTCTTCTCCATCCCGGAATCGCTCAGCCGGGTTGATGCCCGGATCCATCCTCCGCACTGGTCGCGTGTACTGTCGAGGCTGACACTGCGCCGACAGCATGGCTACTGCCTCCCATCTCGGCGTCTCGTAGCTTGGCTTTTAGTTACGGTCCTCAGTTTAGGGATATGAGCTGGACACTTTATGCCAGCGAAGAAAAGCGAGCGACAATTCATAACGTTATCGCAAGGCAGGCGAAAAAGAAACGAAGGGCAAACGAGCATAAGCAACTGGTTTGGGGAGGCGAGATGTCTCTTGCAATGCGTAATGGGGGCGACTGGAGAGCAAGGGAGTCTCGACTCACCACGATAGGGAGATAGCGGTGCGAAGCAGGCCGGCCCCGGTTTACATAACCATCCTCGCCATCCTAACTTAAGGTCGGGCCTCTTATTAGCAACAAGCAAGTCAACTTTGGTTGGAGTTTGGTTGCAGTGATCGCAAAGAGCTTTTTTGAGTCGGTGCATTTCTTGGCCCCCCCCGGACGCGTTGTTACCCTCGAGTCATTGTTGAGAGGGACAGCTCTAAAAACCTGTCCCTACTGTATGTATGTACCTCCGTATTGTACTTGCACAGTCCGCCTTGCTTTGGTCCGTTAGCGCCGGGCCTGAGAGAATCAAATGACCAGATACCTCACCCAAGATGGAAACATTGCAAATACTAGTAGAGGAGGTTAGGTATGATCAAAGCTACCATGACCCAATTCTTCCTCTAATCCATTCGTTTATTCAGCTTCTGGGCCCGAGCTGGAACTTCATGCTGGGAGCTGCCCGGGACCAAGAAGGCGCTAACAAATAGAGCGGTGGTACAGCACACTGTGTACTCTAACGTATGTGGCTGGGCATTGGGCTGCCAGCGAATGGGATGAGAGAGCACTGGATGCTATGTGGGATGTGTGCTGGCCCTTGTGCGGTTGAGATTTTTGAGCGGGACCTGCTGGGACCCGCTAGCGAAGCTGGATGCGATTGGCACTTGGACCGTGCCATTGCCAAATGGGTGGACACTGGACAGTGGACACTGGACAGGCTGGGCGACAGGGCGCTCCAGGACGGACCCCAAAGCAACCGAAAGTCATTAAACCCCCAGGCCCCGTCGCCCTCTTTAACCCACAATCCCTCTGCGATCTCTTTCCCCCCCAAGACTCTTCTTCGGCCCCCTTTCCCTTTTTCCCATTCTATCTGGACAGTGTCGCAGGAGGGTCTTTTCCGGTCACTCATCTCTACTGCACTTGCACGCCAGGCCTCTGTCACAACTCACAATTCTCATCTTTTTTCATCCCATCAACACCCCAGAGGTAATCTTTTGCTCTGCAGCAGCCGACCGCAGCGCTCCCGCCGACCGTCTCAGACATTACGTGTCGCAGCCCTTCTCCCACCGCCGCGCGACCCTGTCGACCAGCTCGCCGTGCCTGTGTGATAGACATCGATACCTGGGGATCCTTTGATCGGTTTCGTTTCGTTCGAACAAGAGCTTTAATCCCATTCACCCATTGTTTCTCGGCCCTTGTCCTCCGCTTAGCCCCCGGCAGCTCAACGGCATCCAACGACCGAACGGCCCTAATCACTCTCCCCGCCATCGCCGGCCGCCCACAGTCGCACAGACGGGCCGACTACCGCAAGCAGCTCTACTTGTTGTGCTAATTTCCCATGTCACGGGCTGGCCTCGGGATTTGCGTTTAAAATCAAAACAACCTTTTACTAGGCAGTGCCTAATCATTCATTTACTTTGTGTGTGTTTTTTGGGTTTTCCACACTTGCGCCCCCAACCCCTATTTTTGCAGGGTTCAGCGGTCGCATCAACTGGGTTGCATCTCCGACCGACATCAACGCCGTCTTTGGCCCGACATCTCGCCCATCCGGCCTACCTGCAGTAGTCGGTGGTGGCCGCCGTTTCTGTCTGGGCTCGACAGAGGGCCTTGACCGCCAGCTGCGGCTTCACACACATTATGTACTCGCAAAGTGCATCAATGGCGTCACAACAGAAACCCGAGACCTTCATGCTGAGCACTGAGGCTCAGCGAGCTCTCCCGCATGATGCTCAGGTAGCTCTGCAGCAAGTTGACAATCGTAAGTGCCCCGTTAAGGGAAAGAGAGAATCCCAGGTTCAGTCGGCTAACACCCGGCTGCAGTCAAGTACTTCCTTATCTCAGCGCCAGTTGACTGGCAACCGGATCAGTATATTCGACGGTTCCTCCTTCCGACCGGCGAGTATGTTTCCTGCGTACTATGGAACAATCTCTTTCACATCTCTGGCACCGACATTGTACGATGTCTCTCTTTTCGCTTCCAGGCCTTTGGGCGCCCCGTGAAGAACTCGAAAAAGTTTGAGGAAGGCATCTTCTCGGATCTTCGAAATCTGAAATCCGGTACAGACGCGTCGCTCGAGGAGCCGAAGAGCCCGTTCCTGGACTTCCTCTACAAGAACAACTGCATTCGGACTCAAAAGAAGCAAAAGGTTTTCTACTGGTACAGCGTACCCCACGACAGGCTCTTCCTGGACGCTCTTGAGAGGGACTTGAAGCGCGAGAAGATGGGCCAAGAGGCGACCACAGTGGCTGTCAGCGAGCCAGCGCTCTCGTTCCAATACGACTCATCACAGTCACTTTTCGAGCAGCTTACAAAGGCCCAGCAGACGAACTCTTCGTCGTTCAACGCGCAACAAGTTTCTTTCACTCAGCCCCAGTCTAATTCCCCGGTTTTGAGGGCAATGGATTCGATGCCTCCTCCGCAGATGATTCCCCAGTCAATGGCCCCTTTAGCGGATGGGATGGACGCCATGATGCCTTACGGAACCATGGGGATGGCCCCGGCGATGCCACCCGCCATGGCGCCGACGATGCAGGCGATGCAGCAGCCAGTAATCAAACGGGAACATGATTACCCCAGGGTTCAGTACAACCAGAATGGCGTCCCAATTGCTCAGGGCCACCAGCGCCACGCGTCAATGCCCGCATTCGGCCTCGAATATTCACCCGCGCCCTCTTTTGGCTCCTCTCATTACGATGACTACAGCCAAAGGGGCATTTCATTCGAGCCGCTAACGCCTCCCCAGCAAGCGTTGGGCATACCGGGGGAACCCGCTTACATTGCTAATGAGGAGACCGGCCTATATAGCGCTATTCCCGACCATCTCAATCCAGCTGGCGCTCTCAACGGCATGATGCATCTCCCGCCGTCAAATCTGGCTGGTCCGTCCTATACTCGTCCTTATGCGTCGAACGGTGTTTACTCGGTAATCGAAGGATCGCCGACATACAAGCAAAGAAGACGACGTTCATCCATCACCCCCTCCATGCCGACGGTTACAATTCCGAATGGCGCAACGGCTCACCGGCACTCGGATCTTCGAAGGTCGGTGTCCGCGTCCGTGGGCCCAGTCACTGAAGGCGAAGAATCCGGTGACAACTCGCCACCAGGGTTGACGTATGGCAACGCTGGTATGCAGCTCAACGGCCAGCAGCACAAGGAGATTCTGGAGCTCTCCCGGCACGGCACTCCGCTCTCCACAGTCGAAGGCAGCCCTGCGCTCAATCCCATGGCTCTCCAGCAACACGACTTTTCCCCGGTCACCGGCGACGAGCTAGGACCCCTGAGCGACCAACGGCCGATGATGCAAAATGGTGGTCCCCATGTGGTACGCAGAGCTCGCTCTGCGACGGTCATGGAACTCGGGCCTTATCCCCAAAAATCTCACTCGTGCCCCATCCCGACTTGTGGCCGCCTCTTCAAGAGGCTCGAGCACCTGAAGCGGTAAGGCTGGTGATCAGTTCGTTTGTCAACGTGGTATACTATTCTCCTGCCGGTGATCTAACCTCGAATTCCAGACACGTGAGAACACATACACAGGAGAGACCCTATCATTGCCCTTATTGTAGCAAGGCGTTTTCAAGATCAGACAACCTAGCACAGTATGCCCCCAATTTTCCTTGCTATATCATTTCCTTTGTCAGTCGACAAGTGGGAAGTTGAGCACTATGTTGTGCAAGTGGCACGCCAAACAGCGAAGCAAGCATACAAGCCTACAGAGATCGCCAATTGCCACTGCACAACAGTAGCACTGCACAACCGCTCCAGCCGACACTGTCAGTCATCTGTACGGGACTGAGGACTAACCATGTGGTTTTGCTGTAGGCACAAACGCACCCATGATCGCGCTGATGGCGGCGAGGGCAACATCAACTCGGGCGAGGAAGAAGAGCAGTACTCTGGGGAAGACCAACTTGACTCGCTGGAAGAGGCTTCTCCGACGTCTGAAATCGGTTATGTTACCGGGTCTCTGGACTCGGCCGTCAACCATGCCGCCTCGAACATGAATGGCAACATGCATGGCATGCCCCCAACAAACTCAGCTGGGATGACATCCACGCAAACGTTCAATAGCCTTCAGACACTCAGCATGCCCATGACGATGAGCCAACCGCATGCAATCGACGCTGGCGGGATACACTGAGACCCTACTGCGGTGGTCAAGCCACCCAGCGGTGTAGCGAATTTTAGTCGAATATAACCAGTATACCTAGGCACGGGAGACACGAGTTCCTTGGGCTTCGCCGACCGCGGAGTCTGTTGATCCGTGATCCCTGGCTTTTTTGTTCTTTATCTACCCACTTATAGCGGGGACTTTTGTTTATCCTCGACGTCAAGAAGTGATGTCGATTCGGAAAGCGTTGCGGAGGGCAAGTTGTGCATTCGGTTCCTTTTGTTGGGATTTCCCTCGTCTTGTTTAACGACGATCTCGGCCATTGCCTTGTATGGGGCAAGCCGACATGTGGCAGCGCTGCTAAAAGGTGCATCACGATAGAAACGGGTTGGAGAGGAAACCAAAGCCTTGTTGTTTTGTGCGCTCTGCGCTGGTTTTGCACTTCTCATTTACACTCCGCTCAGGCTTCTAGGGTCGCTGGGTAAGGTTACACCAAGGGCCATTGGATGCTGGGGGAGGAGATGGGGGAAAGAGCAAACAACGCACCGTCTTGTGTATATATATATACTTTTTTTCTTGTGGTCTGAAGCCGCTGCCTTCTCGCTGTGCTCTATGACGTGGAACAGAGCCGGCTTTCCCTCGGTTGGTTGTGATGATGGGAGGGCGGGCTTGAAGTATGCGATACCAAGCAGAGTGATGAAATTCCATATCCATTTTATACATATATGAAATAGCGGACCAGCGCTGTTCTCGATTCGAGTAAATATGCCTCCCATGTGTGCGAGGGTTGGAAATACTAGATTGAATGCTTGTTTGTCGATTGGAAGCTCAAGATAACTCGGTTATCTACCCACAGGCCTCACGTTTGAGCGGGCATTCAGATCCCCCTGTTGAGTCTTTACCTCCTGCGCACTGGAACAGAGTCGAGTTGAGACAAAAGAATTGTCAAACTACGAGTTTATGACTGTATATAGGGATAAGACTTGTTGTACCACTGCATAGCAACTACGTACATACACTATAACCTATCTAAAGCAATACTTCTATCGGTTCCAGTCCAGTCCAGTCCTGTCCTCTCCCATATTCTATTCCGGGGCAGCGAGGAGCACGAGACCAGATCGACACATGTAGATGTCTCTGGGCATGGTCGGTGGAAGCATATTATTATACCCATATTACCAGGTAACCAGATCGGCCGGTCGATCATCCCCGCTTGCATCATGACCTGGGTAGCCGGGGAGCCCGGCGCCTGCCCAACTTTACTACCCAAGTCATGCGTAAACACTACAACACGTGGCGGGCATGGCGGTTGGCATCTTGTGTTCTTTGAACGCTTTCAAGATTCGAAAGGTACACACGGACACACAGACACTGGTCTGGGATAGAAGTGGGAGGACAGAATATGTCATGGGGACTGTGTCATGGTATGGAAGGGTTATGGCCCAAGTGCCTGGCGTAAAGTATGTGAATGGCGTGCATCTGCAAGCCATCCGCCGCTTAGTTCAAACCCGGCCATAAAACCCAAAGAACGGGCAGGATGTGACCCTGATCAAGGTTGAACTGGTCGAGACCCGGTAAGCTTAACCTAAGCTGGCGGCCCGCCGATGCTCTCCGATGGGAACAACAGGGTTGGACAGAACACGTGGACGTGTTTCGGGTTTCTCCCAGTAGCCGTTGCTGCAAGCCTAGTGGTATATTAAGGTTGTTCTCGGGCGCTTCCGGGCTTCTGAGAGAAGTACAACTGGCTGGACTGGATTTATGGGCCATCTCATCTCATACCATAGCCGTTGCGGACGAAGGGCTGGCCGCTAGGTTGTAGTTTCCCCTCCCCTATGAAAGACACGTAGAGGAGTCCTCTGAGGCAACATGACCTGGGGGCGGTGGTAACCCGGGATGGTAATAGCTGTCGGTGTTTGCTTTGCTTGTGCGCACAGCGTGTGGGCAGACAGATGAGGCGGCGTCCTCGAGTTCAATCTGACTGGAACTTCTCCTGCTCGAGGTTACGCAGCTTGGGGAGGACCGCTTCCAGGACTGGTCTGACAAGCTCCGCCGTGGGCTCAGTCAGGATAGTTTGCAGATCGACTCCAATACGGCACAGATGGAGGGAGTGGCCGTGGGCGGGTAGATCACCTCCTTCTTTTGCCCCTCCCTTTTACACCCGCGCCTCTTGCAGATGCAGCAATCGCCTTCGCCTCTCTGGCACTGATCCTCAGCTCTGCGCCTCTCATCTTCCCCACCGCCGGCAAATCCACTGGCCTGGCACCCGAGCCTTTTTTCTTGTTCGATTTCGTCTTCTTCACCTCCTTCTCGAGGATGATGCCGTTCTCCCTGGCTTCTCTCCGCCGTTTCTCCTCCTTGGCGGCGGCCGTGCTGACAATGCCCTTGCGCATGGCCATGGGCATTTTTGACTGGGTCAAAATGCTCTCCTTGGCACCCAATGCCTGCACACGCATGTCGGTCATCTTGAGCGCGGTGCGGCCGGCCGAGAAGGCGCGCGTGTTAGCGGCGGTGGCGGCGGCGTGCTGTGATTGCCAGTGCGACGCGTTGGCGCCGGCGGCAGAGAGGATGTGGGACTCGGCGATGAGCCGCTGCAGGGCGAGGTCGTTGGCTAAAAATGCGGCACTGTCCTCGAGTTGGTCTTCGCCAGACGACGCCGCTTTGGTGCTGCCTGCCCTCTGTGCCGCTGCAACGGCCTGGTCGCTGTGGATTGGTGGTCGGGATGACTAGTCCGGCTGTCAGCACTCGAGAGATAAAAACAGCAGCAAAGGAAATGGGATAACGAGATCGTCTTTACAAGATAGGCTTTGAGCTCGCGCTTGCTCATTTTAGAAGTGTCGATTGGTTTTCCGGTCGATGAGTGGTCGACCACCTCGACGACGTGACTTTCGGCATCTGCGCCGCAGGGTCAGCTTAATGAATGAATGAATGGTCTGGCCAGGCCATTCGTGGGAAGTTGTCCATTGCATACCCTCATCATCGCTCTCGCCTGAATCAGAAACCCCGTCCCATTCTGATTCGGACAGGTCACTGTCAGATTCGCCATCGTCCTCGTTCTGGCTGTCGTCGCTGTCGTGGCCAACGTTCGTCTTTGGCGGAGGGACAAGGGGTGCAACGGCGAGCGGCTTAAATCTTGCCTCAAAGTGTCGCCTTAGGAGCTCCTGGGCATCTATGGGCGCTTCCGTATCGCCGTCCGGGGACCGCGATTTGCGCTTTCCTAGTAGGCTGGGCATCGCTAGACAATCGACTGGACAAGGCTGAGTTGACAATCGTGGGCTCCTTTTATCATACATAAAAATTTCCGGAACCTTGAGGACTAGTGCCTTATCTTATCGGTCCATCATAGTGACTGAACATGGAAGTAACGACCCCTCCAGCCCCTCCCCTGTAAGTGTAAACAAGCTCCATGAAACCATTTCACCTGCCATATTGTAGCTAGTATAACCTTATCCTTCACTTAGACTGTCAAAAATGACACGGTTCCGGCCCTGCATCGACCTCCACGCCGGCCAAGTAAAGCAAATAGTGGGCGGGACTCTGGACAGCAAAACGGCCTCATTACAGACAAACTATGTCTCCCCACATCCTCCAGCATATTTCGCCCGTCTGTACAGGGATAACTCCCTCACCGGCGCCCATGTCATCATGCTCGGTCCCGGCAACCGGGACGCGGCCATGGAGGCGCTAGCCGCTTGGCCAGGGGGGTTGCAGGTCGGCGGTGGGATCAACGACAGCAATGCGAAAGAATGGATTGACGCCGGCGCCGAAAAGGTCATCATCACCTCCTTTCTCTTCCCCTCAGGAACTTTCTCCCAGTCCCGTCTGGACGCCGTGCTCGCAGCGCTCGGCGGGGACAAGAGCAAGCTTGTGATTGACCTCAGCTGCCGGAGGATCAGCGACGACGCTGGCCAGGACAAGTGGTTCGTGGCCATGGACAAATGGCAGACCATAACCGATATGGAAGTCTGTCAAGGTAAATAAAGCCAAGCTGCCGCTGCTTCCTATAAACCGCCCTCCCTTTTACTTGGTTAACCACAAGGCAGAATCAATCAAACGCTTAGAGCCCTATTGCTCCGAGTTCCTCATCCACGCCGCCGACAACGAGGGCCTACAGCGGGGTATTGACGAGGTGCTCGTGCAGCGGCTGGCCCAGTGGTGCAGCATCCCCGTCACGTACGCCGGCGGCGGGCGGAACCTGGATGACCTCGAAACGGTAAAGCGCTTGAGCGGCGGCAAGGTGGATTTGACGATTGGAAGCGCCCTCGACTGTTTCGGCGGGAGTGGTGTTAGGCTAGCAGATTGTGTTGAGTGGAACCGGCACCAGGAGAGCAGTTAAAATAGAAAACATCTGTAAACATACTCGTCAACTCCCCCCTGGGCCTGGCGACTGGATGATTCTGTTAAATTCACCTTGACTCATGACATTGGCCGCGATCCACAGACACATCCAGGCGCTGACCCGGTCCTATCATTCACTTAACCCCTTTACCAAGGTAGAATCAAGATGCAACAGTAGATGCATTCCATACACTCACTCACTACTCCTAACATATGTAACTCAACATACAACACAAAACCAGTGTCTGGGCTGTCTGGTTTGATCCTGCGGGTCTAAACCGACCCCACCTCCGTCGCGTATTAAATGCTAGCCAGCTTCAAGCCAGCTCAGCTTTTCCACGTCCCCGTCTCCAAGTCCCCCTCCAGAACCCAGTCCACCACAGAACAGCGGACATACTGGGGTCGGGAGTGAGGTGAAGGGACCAGCAGATGATGAAGAAAATAAGAAGCCAGATATCTACACCGCCCCGCTCCACACGACAAAGTAACCCAACAGTAGGATAAAATATAACTAAGCAGAATGCGCAACGCTAGACAGTAGAGAGGCGAGCTGGCTGAGACGACGGGGTGTAGAGCCAACCAAGCGCCGAGAAGGGAAAAAAACAAAGAAATCCCTCGTGAGAGAGCAGGACCAGATAGGTAAAAGCGAAAAAGAAAAGAGGGCGAGAAGGACCAGCCGGGCGAGCATGCCGGACCCGAGCCATCGTCTTCTCCATACGGCCCATTCCCATCCATCCTCCGTCATCCATCGTCCGTCGTCCATCATCCCCACATCTTCTTCGTCTCCTCATCTCCCATCCATCCATCATCATCCCATTCCACGCCGTACCAGACATACCGACAAACAGACCCTAAACAACCCATAATATTCCTTCACATCCTGACGTCTTGACATCTTGACTTCGTCCCGTCATATCGAAAACGGAAGCAAAAACAAAATCATAAAAAGAAGGGGAGGGGAAGACAAGAGCCCAAGCACGTTTACATGTACGAGCTCTTGGTGCGGGAATGGACTCTCTTCCCCTCAGCCCTCTTCCTGATAGCCTCCTCCCTTTTGAGCACGAGCTCGCACCACTTGCCCTTGGCCCTGGACGAGCCGGTGGCCTCGTCATCGCTGCCGCTGCCGAGGCTGTCGCGGCCAATCACCTCGCCGAGGACCTTCATCCAGCCCTCCTTGTCGGCCGTCGAGTCGGCGTAAAAGTCGATAAGCTCGCCGTTGTTGAAGCGGATGCGGAACCCTTCCTCGACAAACATGTAGCCCTCCTCGTCCTCGGCGAAGGCGGACCGTCGGCGCTTGCCGTTCTTGCCCGTCGTTTCTTTTTCCATGAGCGTGCGCCGGTCGTCAATCAGCCGCTTGGCGTTGGCAAGGTTGATAGTCGCTCGCGGCTGCCGCGTCGCCTCGTGGTACGCTGTGAGTTTGGTGCCCACCAGCTTGAAGTAGCGGCGACGCCAGTACTGTTTTGTTTTTCCTCGTCAGTTTCCTTTCTTTTCACAGAGCCAACAGGTAGCTAGGTGAGGTACTCACCGGACAATCTCCTCCCTGCTGACTCAAATGCCCCTCCCACATGCGCGCAAGCCGCTCCTCGGCCGCCTTCATCTCCCTGATGCACCCGTTCATGCTCTTGGGCATGTCATCATCGGTAGCCCCCTTGGGGCGAGGCACAAACAGCAGCTGCAGCTCGAGCTTGCCAATCTTGTAGGGGGCGCGGCGGACGACGCCGGTGCCGCTGCGCTTGCTCTTGACGCTGGACGCGAACCCGGCCTCCTCGGTGGCCCACTCGTTGAAGGCGGCCACCTCGACCAGGTACGGGCGGCCAAAGCAGCGCGACTCGTGCTCTTTGAGGCAGACGTAGGCGCGCGCGAAGCTGCCGTCCTCGGCGGCAAGCGGGGACAGCAGATCCCACGCCGTCGGCTGCGCGGCCTTGATCTGCAGGCGGGCTTGCGCCTCGCGCTGCTGGGCCGCCAGGCGCTCTTCTTCCTCCTGCTGCAGCTTCTGCCGGAGGTCCATCTCGCGGCGCTTCTTGGGCGAGGCGAACACGCGGCTGAAGGTGGAGGTCTTTGGCTTGCTCGACTTGGTTGGGGAGGGTAGCGCCTTCTTCAGGGCCGCTGGGGTGGACGGCGGCGGGACGGGCTTCTCCAGCTTGACGTTGAGCGTGAGCTGGAACTCGAGATCGTTAGGCACGACCAGCTCAAATTCTTGTCCAATGGGTGCGTTTCGGGCAAGCTCGAGCCATGCTGTCGTGACGCAGTGCACACCGTTGTCAAGTGTGAGGCTGAACCACGTGCGCTCGTCTGGGTAGGTGTTTTCGTCAGCTGGGCAAGTTTCTTCTCTACGCGCTGTGTGTGGCATGGACTTACTCTTAGGGAGCGGCAGATCGAGGTCCTTGACTCCCATCACCTTAACAAAAAGCCTTCCTCGCTCACCGCTCTCGCCGTTCGACATCTCGGCCGCCAAATCTTCCTCGCTGAGCTGGGTTAGTGCCGCGGCATTGCTCTCCTGACCGGGGAGCGGCGGGACTGGTCCGCTCGCAGGGGTTCTCTTGCGGATGCTGCGTTTCCTCGGCTGGCCGTTCCACGGCTCGACGGTCCATGACTGGGGTCGTGCCGCCTTCACTGGAGAGTTTCCGGCGGACCGGCAGGCGCGCAGGTCGTCGGTATCCTTGTCGCTCGCGGCAACCAGCTTCGTGTTCTGTCGCATGAGGTAGCCGCGCTGGTTTTTGGAAGCCATGTCAGTACACTTGCTGTCTGAAGTAGTGGCCAAACTCATTTCTTGCCGCTCAGGCGCCTGTCTACTGTGACATACGCTGGCTGAGCCAGTAGGGGCTGAGTTAAAGGAAAGTTGATGGAACGCAACCTTTTGTGCTTCAATGACACGATCAAAATCCTTGTCAAGACTGAGGCCGAGGTCCAGATCCAGCGTCAGGCTGCGTTTCTTAAAGCTCGGATGGCGCTCGAGGAAGTCTTCACCGTTGGCCTGGCTCGTCTCGGCGCCCATGTCGCGCGAGATGCGGCTGCGGCTCCGCTCCGGGATCGGTGGGATATCGGGTACCTCACGGCTGACCTGGCGTCGAGCTTCCCGCATGGCCGCTAGGTCCGCGGGAGTTGCCGAGGGCCGTGTCTTGAGCTTTGAGCCGGATGTAGACTTGACAGTGGCTACTTGTTCGGGGATTGCAGGAGAGTGCCGAGCTTCTTCGTCGTCACTGTCAGGCATAGGATGGTGGATGACCGATTCAGGCGTGCCGGGGTCATCGTACCCCTCCTCAGGCTCACCCCAGCCGGATCCGTCGTATTCGGGCTTGGTCATGGACCTTTTGAGTTGCTGCTCTGGCGTGAAGGGCCGATGGGGATATGCTCCATCATCGGTCATGGTGGTCTTCTCAGGCTCTGCAGACGCCTTTGCTTCCTCGGATTTGGCCAGTTGGGGCGACTCACAGTCCTTGGAGAACTCGTTGCCCGCATTTGCAGCCGGAATTTCCAGTGATGCCGCAGAGCTGAAGTCCTGAATACCAGCGGGCGGGTCATTGACTGGGGTAGTGGCTCGGGGAGTAGGAGCCTGGTCATCTTCCAGGTCCTGACCCTTGTTCTCCTGAACCTCGTTGTCATTGGAATACTGACTCTCGCAGTCATCGTCGGACTGCCGTTTGTCGCCGTTCAGGTCCTCACCATCCAGGGTCTCAGATACATCGTACATGTCGGGGATGGAATAGACATCAAACTCCTTGTCCTCGGCATCACGTTTGACGATAACGCTGCCCTCGTCGTCGGTCTCCTCACCCAGCATGGAATCCTCAGTGCTTGGGATTGGCACGTCGGGATCATACTGGAAAGCGTGCTCGGGAGACGAGGCCGGAGGAGGCGACGAAAAATGATAATCTGACTCGCGGTCCAGCATCTTGTTTCCGTTCACGCGGCGCATGATGGACTCACGCGAGATGCGGGGAGGAAGCTGGTACTCCTCAAGACCCGAAAGCTCTCCAATGGTGTCCTCTTCCTCGTCGCCTGAGCGAGGCTGGGAGCTTGGGCTTCGGGTCTCGCGCTCCGGCGTCTGGCTATCACCGCGGTCCCGAGGTCCGGCGCGCCTCATACGGCGTTCCCGCTGCTGCTCAGCCGCTGACTTGCCATCGTCGGAAAGCATCATAAGCTTGAGGCGCTCTTCAAGAGACATCTTGCCTGTGCCAATGTTCTGCAACTCAGATTTGGGACTTGATGCTTGAGGGGGCGAAGGCAAGCTTCTCTGGCGCTCCGGCGTCCCGAACTGACCCATGCCGGGGAGGGGCGGCAGAGGGCGACTCTCGCCATTTGAATTGGACGAGTCAGTGCGATGGTGAGGTGGCTTCACAATGGGCGCCACATCGTCTGGCATTGGGCTTTTCTCAAAAGGGTCGTCGTCATGGCCATCGTGTCTCCAGTCATCGGGACCGACCACGGGGGTCTTGTCAGTATCCTCCAGAGAGGCGTCAAAACTGTCGTCCATGTCGATACCATCGTGAATCATGTAGTGATCGTCATCATCATCATCCTCATCGGAATCATAACTGCCTTCCCTGGAGTTGCTGCCAATGGATGACAGATCCGGGGTGGCCATCTCATACTCATTGACCTGGGGCGGTGCCGCGTCGAAGGTGACGCTCTTGGCATGCCGATGGAGTGATCTGCCCTCGGGCAGGTGACGTTCGGAGCCAGAAGTTTCGGACCAGGTTCCGGTCTCTGTATCAAAGCTACTCTTGAAGCGGCTCGACGAGAGCGACGACTTGGTGGGCGACGCCTGGTCCTTGCTGGGCGTCATGGGGCGCACCGGCGGGCTTGTTGGCCGCGGAAGCGACGACTTGGTGGGACTCAGGACGGGTATGCTGGTCTTGCTCTCGCTTCTCTTGTGGCCGACTCCGCGGTTCTCAGAGCGGAGACTGGCAGCGCTGGCACCGCCAAAAGCGCTGCCCTGGACTTTTGCCAGCGGACGCTCGATGTGGGGAATGCGAGTCGGGTCGTACTCCTGCTTTTGCTCGAGCGCCAAGATGTTGCTGTTCTTGACGCGCGAGGCCTTTTGCAGGCGCTCAATTGAAGAGCGGCGGGTTGGCGACGGCGAGCCGGAGCGACCGTCGTGGCTGTTCTCAGAGTTGAAGCTCCGGTTCTGCCAGAAGAGACGCGGCGAAGTCGCCGTGTCCAAGGGCGACGACTGGAACGGAGATGAGTCGGTGAGTGTCATTTTCTAGAAGTCTGCGTCAGCACACATGGAATCACTTTCATAGCAGTAGAATAAATAAATGTCTTACTTTGGTGGTCTGGTTCCAGCTCGGCGAGTTCCGCCGCTTCTCGGTCGGCGAAATCTCCGACAGAGGCCGCGGAATCGCGCTGGCGGCCTTTGCGGGAGAAGGCATTGTGCTGCTCTTTGAAACACGAAGTGGCTGCACCTGGTGTGAGCGCAGTCGTTAACTTTGGGGTGCAAGAAGACGAGGGTGGGGTTTGTGGAAATTGACAAGTGCAAGAGCGACCTACCGGATCTTGTGTTGACATGCTCAGAATTACTTTTGGTTCTTTTTTTCGTTTCTGGTTTGACTCGGATTGCTGATGTCGGCTACTGCGACCTCATTTCCGCGAGTGAAAAAGAGAATCTCAAAGAAAAAAGTAATTGTGGAAGGCAGGTGTGCGCAGTCGCAAAACCGGCTGGTCGCGAGACAAGCTGATGAATTGCGACGGGAATCGCAATGAATTGGAATTGGGGTATCAAAATGAGGGCTGAACCACAGCGCGCACGTAACCAAATATCCAGCCACCACTATCAAAAGATGTGATGGTGAGGTTAGGGAAGTGAGGTCAACAGTTCAACCGGCACTGCAGCACCGCTGGAATCTTGTTTGTGATGTTTAAGGGGAGCTCGTCCGGCGGCAGAGGTGCGGTTGCAACGGTGTAGCCAAGGCCTGATTGGCTGTCGCAAAGTAAACAACACCCACAGCCCCTCGTCTGCGGTTTCGAATGGTTGCCAGGGCAACCCAGCATCCCCTCTCCCGTTCCTACTTCATCCAGGTCTTTCCCTGCTCGCTCTTTCGACGAGCCAGGTTTTCTCGGGTACCGGTAGGGAATGAAGATAGCGCCTAGCCAATTCCAATCAAGCACTCTACGTTGAAACACGTTGATTCTGATCTTGTACCAACGGATTTCTGGACAGTGACCGCCCGGCAAGTGCTGCGGAAACACGGAGTACTTGGCACAAGTGCACAAACGCAGTTTGGAAGCCGAACTTTTCTATCTCGTCACCTCCGGTTGCCTCCTCGTTCACTCTATGAAGTGTGGTAGCAAATATGTTTGTATCGTATTGGTCAAAGGCTGCCGAAGCAGCACGATTGTAAATTAATCACTATTTCAAAATTATAATTAATACTACATGTAGAATGTAACGGATGGCCAATTCCTACTCCGCCCACTCCTTCTTTCTCCGTCTCTCGATACGTGTCATACGCTCACGAGGATGGTTCAGCCGCCTATATTCAGTGCTTCACCGGCTCAGGGCAGGTGGACGTCTCGGAGGACTGGACGATGGCGGCGTGGATGATGAGTGCCGGGCCGTAACCCTTAGGGCAGCTCGGGTACACCAGTGCCGGCGTCGAGTATTTGGTGGCATGGCCAACGTTGTCATTGCCGAACGTGTACGAACCAGGCGCGCACTTGTCGATGGGCAGGCAGCTCAGGTCAACATGGACCTCATCAATGGCGTAGGGCGGAGTCACGAGGTAGGTGACCGTGACCTTTCCAGACGAGTCGGCTGTGGCTGTCCAGGTGCCCACCTGCGTCGCCTTTGAGATGTCGTTTCGCCCGGCACCGACGTAGAGCGGTCCACTTATTCCGGCTCGCAGCTCCGACTTGGTCGGTGTTTGGTACCAGCCCCAGCGGTTGCAGCCTTGGCCAGGCTGTGTGTCGAGGGTTTGGGACTTGCCCGGCTGGTATCCAAAGGCAGTACCAAACTCGCACACCGTGGGAGTTGGCTTGGTGGTAGATGTGGTAGTGGTGGGAGTGGGCTTGTCGGTAGTTGTGGTAGTGGTGGGAGTGGGCTTGTCGGTAGTTGTGGTAGTGG